ATTTGCCAACAACACAATCAAACACATAGCTCCGTAATCCTCATTTCATATACATGGACCAAGTACCCCGGGACCATTACTTTATATAGTCTGTTCACAAGACTGTATGGCTCATGTATGAACCATACCAGGCACATGTATGTCTGGCCAAGAAAATGATTAGGTTAAATCACCTGTTCAGAAGCAAGGTTATTCAGATGATTTATTTTAAGTTGTTTATGTGATTTCAAGGTATGAGGACAAGCGATAATAAATGATAATATATGTCTGGTTGTCTGGCCAGCACAAATGGAGGTTTCATAAAAATGGCTTGAAATATTTCATATTTATAATATTTATCCTAGTATCAATAGTATGTACTATGTACTTTGGTATAATAAGATGAGAAAACCTGAGGGGGGGGGTCCTGTCACTCTTGTGGTTCGTATTCAAACTAAAATATGAAATTCAACCTCTGAGGCTATGATGATTGTGCACAGCTTGATCAAATGCTCCAATCCATTATAATGTACATGTAAGTTAGATTCTTATTAAAAATCATAATCTATTTTATATTGTGTTATATTTGGGAAGTAGAGTTTCTTTCTCCCTTCCTAATTCTTATTTTCTTAGGCTAGGATTAAAATATTACATATGAACTACATCATGATTTAGTATTTAGAAGTTACTATCTACTGTATAATATGAACTTTTACACAAAAATCAAATTATTTTCCTAGTAGAGCACTCAAATGTTAAGAAAATTATTAGAAAATAGTAGATAACAATGTATTTAAATTTAAATGGGACTAAATTATAATGTTAACAGAATTTTTCAGGAAGTACATTTTGTGAATTTAGTTGAAACTTCAAAACTTTTCTCAGAAAGTAGTTCATAGCCTTTAAGAGTAAAGCATACAAAACAAAAATATAAATTACAAGTGCGCATGACACAGATTTTAATTTGAGAACTTTTCAAGGAGGTTTTGAGAATATAGTTGAAATTTCAAAACTTTTCTAAGAAAGTACTCCATGGTATTGAGAGTACAAAATTATAAATTACAAAGAATACAAGTGTTAGCAATACACAAGGTTTTAATTTACTAAGATTTCTATGAAAATCATTTTGGTATATAATATCATGGTCACTCTGAACTTAGCATTTTAAGTATATTATTTATTTTTAACATTCTTGGTAACTTTTATAGAGTGCAGCTGACTTGATAAAAGGCAGGTATTGGCAGGTATTGGCTAGAATAGTCTATGCTCTTTGCCATATTCTTCAACTTGACAATGGAAAGCACAGCTTTATCCTGGAGCCGAAAAGTGAATGCTGTATATATTTGTGTGTACTTCAATAGTAAACGCAATACAGATATGAAAATGACAGAGAATTAGTTATTTCATGGACTTCAATTCCCAATTCTTTGAACAATGTTTCACCTGAATAAATAATGACATCATTGGACATAATGTCAGTACAAATGCACTCACTTTTGGTTCATGCTTTATCATGTTTATACTAAGTTCTGTCAAACGTCAGGCCTGTCGCCAGAATTTGCCAAGGGGGGTTCACTTTTGACAATCTTGGTCCATAAATGGCCAAAATCACTTAAAATGTGCTCAGAATGGTGAAAAATTGCATGATTTTGAAAGAATTTTTGGCCAAGGGGGGGGGGGGGCTAAAGGCCTGAACTTGTGCTGGATTTCACCACATTGAAAGCCTACAGCATTTAAGCCTACTCGTGACTGAATCGCTTTTCAGTAACCCGATGTTACTATTAACATACGGGTAAAATATTTGGATACAAATTGACCGCCTTTTTAGTGAAAATGATGAAAATAAAAATTTCCTTCGATGAAAGTTCATCCATTTTGCTATAAAGATGTAATGTCTTCAGGCCCGTAGCCAGGATTTGCCAAGGGGGGTTCAGTTTTCAAAAATTTCCAAGGGACGTTCACATTTGACCCAAATATGGCTAAAATCACTTGAGAAGTGCTCAAAATTGTGAAAAACTGCATGATTTTGAAAGAATTTTTGGACAGGGAGGGGGGGGGGGGGATTTGCCCAAACCCTGCGAACCCCCCTGGCTACAGGCCTGGTCTTTATACAATGTAACCAGGTAGGGATCAGTGAATGTGGGATCCACAGCCTGTTCTATCCCTTGGAATGCACACCTCACCAAGATTTCGATAAAGAGAGACTATAACATGTAGGTGTTAACAAAGATAAGCTCAATTCAGGAAGTATATCTCACCAATATAGCATGCTACAATGTTATAAAACTGATAAACCCACTTGAAATATGACAAATTGTTCTTAAATGTGATCTGAAGGACTAACAATCTAATAATGATTTATAAGAATTGACGGTTTAGAATTGTAACACACACTCCCAATATGTTCTCTGAAAGTATGGTACTGTGGTATAGCAGTATGGTTTGAGTCTATAGTACCATATATCATGGTACTCAGTTATCTCGGTTTCCGGACAACTTGGACCCAGGACAACTCGGACCCTGGACAACTCAGTTACCGTTATCTCCCAATGATTTTTTCTCAGTTCAAGTGCTGAATCTTTATTTTACATTTTTTGGTCAAAATATTTCAATGATCCACCATTTTTTCAATGAGCGAATTTTCAACAGTATAGTACACCAAATTATTAGTTTTTCAACATGGCACAGTGCCTGCTTTCTCTAATGCTTGGGCAATCACTGCTTCTGTATTTAAGTTACAATTGTTGATTTCATACAAAAGTTTTGATCTTCTGGCTTTTATCTTTGAAGTTATTGATTAAACTGCTACATCAAGGATATTACATTGAAGTTAATAATAAAGACAATTGAGAAAATGGTTAAGTGTTTCGGTTGGCCTTTAGTTGAACCTGAAAAGGTACAATGTTCTCTGTTAATCTGAATCAAATCATTAACCTTATTCTCATCGACGTCATAATAGTTTAATATAACACAAAATTTAAGACAATTGAGAAATTGATCTTTAATTGAACCTAAAGAAGATACACAGCAATCTATTAATCTAAAACAGATCGTGAAATTAACCTTATTCTAACTGAAAGACCATAATATCACCAAGGATCAAGGTCATGATAATAAAATTTAAACAATTGACATATGGCCTTTAATTGAACCAAGAGAAGATACACAGCAATCTATTAATCTAAAACAGATCATGAAATTAACTTTATTCTAACTGAAAGACCATAATATCACCAAGGACCAAGGTCATGATAATAAAATTTAAACAATTGACATATGGCCTTTAATTGAACCAAGAGAAGATACACAGCAATCTATTACAGATCTAAAACAGATCATGAAATTAACCTTATTCTAACTGAAAGACCATAATATCACCAAGGATCAAGGTCATGATAATAAAATTTAAACAATTGACATATGGCCTTTAATTGAACAAAGAGAAGATACACAGCAATCTATTAATCTAAAACAGATCATGAACTTAACTTTATTCTAACTGAAAGACCATAATATCACCAAGGATCAATGCCATGATAATAAAATTTAAACAATTGACATATGGCCTTTAATTGAACCTAGAGAAGGTACAATTTACATATGGCCTTTAATTGAACCTAGAGAAGGTACAATTGACATATGGCCTTTAATTGAACCTAGAGAAGGTACAATTGACATATGGCCTTTAATTGAGCCTAGAGTAGGTACTAACTTACCAGAAAGTACAAGGTTCCATCCATCTTGATCAAAACAAACCTTGAGATTAACCTCACTCATCAATTACACTGCATCTATACTGAACTTTGAAAACTTCAACAGCTGATCACCAGACAAAATGTAGATCAAGTAAGTGCATTCTAGATTAAGTTTAACCCAATAAAACATGTTTACTCAATTTGTTTGTTACATTCTCTTATATAAGTATCAATGTCTGCTTTATCATTGAGGACAACTTGATATATCATAAGTCTCTCTATATTAACTTTCATAATTAGTCAATCGCCAAGAGAAATCGAAATGATTAATATTTTTCACAATTCCATGTGTATTCACTCATTATGGTGAAATTCTAAATCAAGTGGAATTGAAACATTTCTCCTAATTTTAATATTTTTTGTGAAAGTGCCAGTACCATTGCAGAATTCTGGCCTACAGTTCAATGATGTCATGAAATGTAGTAAACTAATATGGAAATGAATTAAAATAGTCATGTAAATTAAATTGTAAATGAAGACATGCCTATTAGCCAGGATTTGCCAATATGGGTTCACTTTTTAAAAATTCTGGGGGGTGTTCGCTTTTTGCAACTTTGGCCCAAATATGCCAAAAATCACTTGAAAAGAACTCACAATGGTGAAAAACTGCATGATTTTGAGAGAATTTTGGTCAAAGGGGATTTGCCCGAACCCCCTGAACCCTTCCTAGCTACAGGCCTGAAGAGTTCAAACTGTGAAAATAACCATAAATTAAATAAACTCTGTAACAGAGGAGGCCAAGTTGATGGTCACCTGGTTGCAACACATACTGATGGAGATGCCAAACTCAAGTTACTACTTGAACAGAGAGATCAACCTGAGGCAAAGCTGGCAGCAAATGGTATTGCAGTTGAAGTGGTAAAGGAAGTCAAAAAGAAGGAAATACAAATAATGAAGTTCAAAATTCTATTTTTCAAGCTGCTAATCAGGAACACACCATTAAAATGTCAATGAATACTATAAATAATTAAATTTTAATCTGTGAACGTGTCTGACTAGTACTCAAAAGTTGTCACTAATTGAACTAACTTGCTCTAAATATATTGTTAAATAATATCAATAAAGATATGATACGACATGCCATGCTCCAACCCTGACTTCATTATTCAAGGACTTCCTATGCCAGAATACCACCCAATGTTTATTTTAAATTGTTTCTTTCCAAAATTTGAATTAAGCGCTATTTTTTTATACTTATATAATTTAGTGTGTTAATATCACTCCACTTTTTAATTCACCATCCATATTGTTTTCACTCTATTTCGCATTTTAAATGCCACGACAACCAGGATGCGTTTGTTGTTTGTAAATACATTGAGGGTCTTCTGTCAAGTAGGAGATAAGGTAAAGATCTGCATAAGAGTACAGTGGTGTATGTGAGACAAGAGGACCCACTAAGTGCCATATGTGTTAATTTCTGTAACTTTATGTATTTTTTATTTTTAGAAGTTTCCATCAGTGCATTTCAGGTTGAAGAGAGAATGTACACAGACAAGCCACAGAAGATTTTCCAGCTCTCAACATTGATTTGCACGCAGTTGAAAATCCATTTACAACCAGCTGAAAATCCATTTGCAACCAGTTGAAAATCCATTTGCACCCAGTTGAAAATCCATTTGCACCCAGTTGAAAATCCATTTGCACCCAGTTGAAAATCCATTTGCACCCAGCTGAAAATCCATTTTCACCCAGCTGAAAATTCATTTGCACAAATGCATTGGCACCTGGTAAAGAAGTCCAATTTGTTCTAGAATATTTATTAATGAGAAATGATAAATCTAGGAACAAAATGGGATAACTTTTAGTGATGCAACAACTTTCACTTACTTTTGACTCATCTTGCGGTCGCAGATGTAGCAGGCAAAATGATTGGTGCACCATGCCTTGTTCAATGCACTGAACACTGTAAAAACAAGATAAAACACAAGTTGAAATACATCAAGGGGATAGAGCAGTTTTCATACCGAGTACTAAGATAAAGACACATAATATACTTCTATGTTTAAATAAATATGCTAAAAGGGGGTGACTGGAAAAATAATAAGGGTTTTACTTAATTATTTTTAGTAAGTTTCTTTGATGAATTTAGATCAACTTACCATCTCCTGCTATGACTGTATTGCACACAAAGCAGATGTTACCAAACAGCTGAAAAACATAACATACAAAATATGAGTACTTGCATTTGGAATAGAAAACAGATACGTGTATACCATATGAGAGACACCCTAAAGGGCATATGACCCTCAGGCCCGTAGCCAGGATTTGCCAAGGGGTGGGGGGGGTTCAGTTTTCAAAAATTTGCAGGGAGGTTCACATTTGACAATTTTGGCCCAAATGTGATTAAAGTCACTTGAGAAGTGCTCAAAATGGTGAAAAACTGCATGATTTTGAAAGATTCTTTGTCCAGGAGGGGGTTCGCCCAGACCCTGCAAACCCCCCCCCCCCTGGCTACGGGCCTGAAACTACTGTCTTGAAACTATTGGAACAAATCTGACAATGCCATGCAAATCACTGCATATCAGCATGACAGTATTGGGAATTGGGACACAATAATAAAGCAGATTCTTAAAACATAATATTACTAATATAATATGTTGCATGGACAGTAACATGGGGATAAGATGCCTTTTAGCATGTCTTCCACATGATATCATGACAAGAATCATACAGACTATTATAATATTTCATGAAGATAAAGAATATAACAAAACATGAGTTTTTAAGTGAATTTTACATAATGTTCATGTAATAATGTTCTGGATTATGGTGACAGCTTTGTCGATTGATGCCTTTGTTGCCATGTGTAGATCATGCTTTAATAGCACAAGATCACTGTATTGCTACATGGACAGTACTCAATGTTCTCAATCACTTGTATTATTCAAATGTACTTTAAAGCATGCATAAGCTCCTGTTTATTGAAGGCCACTTGGAATAAACCTGGAGTAAACAACCTTCAATTAAGGTATTCATTTGCTATGAAAAAATGCCAGTCTTGTTCTAATAAGGGATGCTGTCCAAAATTTGACAGTTTTGGAAAGAGGTTAAGGCCCTCCCCTACCCCATTTAATGAAAGATATTTAATCCTGTGGTAACTTGACCCCACCCATCCCCCATCTTGATCCATCAAGGTATTACATATTGTATTATGACTGAAGGAATAGACTGGTTTAACAGCCATTACCCCCATGTAACAAATTTGAAAATGATAATTTGCCTTTGCCTTAGGTTTAGCTTGAAAATCAGAAAACTCCTCCCAAACAAAATTCCATTTTTCACAACTGTTAACAACTGGATACTATCCATAAATACAATGTACTCTCTAAAGTACATTGTAGATGGTAGCCATTTATTTGCTCAGGATGACATCTGAGTACATGATGATCTCTAAGACATGACACTACATACTGCACTGTTAGATTTCAATTAACATCAAATAAAAGCGTAATAACTCGTTCAATCGGACTGGGTGGTACTGTTTAATAAGTACAAATGTAATTACATACTTATGTTGATAATCAAACACAATTGTGTTACATCAAATAATGTAACAGGTCCAACTTAATGAAATTACTAAGGACTGATGTAATAACGTTTGGACTTATGTGTGCTAGGGTGATGCTCGTTAGCTGGACAGCTCGACCCAAAGTCAAATCAACCCAAGTCAACTAGGCCCTAATGATTTTGAGAACAACAACAATGTAATGAAAATTAAAGTTCAGGTCTTACATGTACAATGTATAAGGCTAAAATAAGGTTTACTTATTCCCATGAATGGGATATTACTGATTCAATTTTTGGCAAAAAGTTGGTCTCTTGTGCCATAAAAAATGACAAACTGTATTGTTGCTAATATTTGGCATGGAATGCTATCTTTGTTAGTTGCCTAAATATTTACTAATTTTTTACACCATGGTGAACTTCTCCAAATAGAAAGACTTGCATTGTAACTATGTATTGATATAAAAACAACTCTGTTTTTCTCATAAAACATTAAGCCCCAACAAATATAGTTTTTACTCAATTCCAAAACACTGAAATGTTCCTAACCTTGAAGCATTAAATCCAATTCAAATATATACAACTACGCAATTCAAATAAACACATACAATTACCCCCATTCAAACACCAACACAATTCTTTCAAAGTCTTCGTTGATTATCAAATACAAAATTGTAAATCTTTTCTGCAGAACAGAGAGAGTCTTACTGTATTACATGTTTATATTGAATTCCAAATTCGAAAACATATTTTGTAGACTCAGAGGGGGTGCCATTTTTGTAGTTTATCTTTTACATCATCTACTATTCTTACAAATCAATAAAATTAAGAATTGAACTATTTATATTTTCCATCTGCTTTTTCATGCCACTTTTCTATTTCGATGCCATGTCAGATTTTTGCATTTCTACATCTGTCCTAGTCCAACAACATTAGACCTAGCCTGGGCCTCGTTTCTTATCTGACATGTCTTATGGCCCCGGCTAGGTCTAACTTCCATGATGATTTTGCCCTTGTTGCGATCATTTAATCGTTCAGCAGGTTTCGACATGCGGAACTAATTAAACTCCGAAAACATGGTAATATTACATAAAGAATGTGATTCAAGCATGCAAACATACCTTATAAATACATACACACCATCCCGTACCCCCCTTAGACCATATTGATGCATAATTACGAAAATATTGGAGACAGGTTTGGAATTTTACGAAAATATCGGTCAGCTCCGGTAACATCGAAATTGCAAATCGTATCAGGAATTAACCGTCATTGCGACACTGCATCAACGAACAGTAGGTTTGCAATTAATAACGATTTTGTGTGTATACAAGCGCTATATAAATCAATCAAAGATACCTGCTATCCTCAAAAATGGCTATTTTATCCCGAGTAATCGTGTGATAATTATAAATCTATTTGACAACAATTTCGTTTCAATAGTTTAAATTTTAACCCGGGACGAACAGACACAATGAAGGACATGCGGAAATGTCATTTTAGAGATTGGTAAGTTTAACCTCATTTTACTTGTATAAATGACCATTTAATACAATAATATTGTGTTGAATCGCTTGATGTTATGTGTTTTTATATTGTTGTCAAGTATCAGTTGCATGTTATCGCGGAAAAATGGTTTCGGTGGATCCAAAACTTGCATCAATGGAAAGAATAGTAAAGAGGTTAAACTCAATAATGGCCCCAAGAAAATTCTTAATAATAAATAACGCCGTTATTGAGTTTAACGACGTTGAACTACATCTGTCCATACTAATAGTTTACATTTCAGTTTACTTTATAGTTTACACCATTGCTCATAGATTGAATTTTTTCCAATTTACCATTGATTTCCTTCGTTTTTTAATGCCCTCTCAAATCTTAATGAATGGAGAATTTTCAAATATTTTTTAAAAGACCAGTCAGGAAAAAAAACTAAATACATTTGTAATTAACTATATTTTTCATTTCCCAGGAATCCATCAGAATCAATTGAAATCTTGAAGAATATTCAGGTAAAATAGCGTATTCTTCAGCTTAATAAAGGTTTCCTAGAAAACGTTTGTTAACTGGACATTTTAAAACAATCACCCTTACATATTTTCATGCAATTAAAACTTTTATAATTCTTATAATAATAAAAACAATATACTGATTTTTGTAAAATGTCCAGTATTCCATATTTTTGACCAACAGTTTATTCTTAGTTTTTCCACTCTAAAATTCAAACAGGACCTAATGACATTTTTTGCATGTTTGCAAATATGTTATTTTCCAATGAATGTAATTATGTAAACAATCAAATATTGAATTAACAACCTTACAATATTGAGAAATGAGATAATTATTCAAATATTAACTTTGGCATTGATTCAACTACAATCACATTATTTTAACATTCAGATGTATTGATTTTAATTCTACCAACATGGACGCCATCTATAAATGAGTATGAGATTTAGCTTACACATTTCTGTGTCATAAATATGAAATCTCTGAATAGTAAAGGCGAATATACATTTATTGTTTTATGGCAATTTAAAGATGGGAGTTCTTTCTCTTTTTATAAAGCACAATAAAAAATATTAGGATTCTTATGAGATTTCTTTATTGATTTGAACTTGTTGTAGTGAGTACCCATAGCAATATGACCACTTCAAGTCAGTTTTACTGTATTGACCTTCAGTAAAACTTTCTTATCTGAACACCATTGGGACCAGCCAAGTATTCCAATTGGCAAGTGTTCACATTTCAAGGCATTTCTGAACATGGACGTCTATGCCAGATTTAAAAATGTGACCAAAAACCTGCTCCTATTTAGATATATGTTCAGATTAGGCAGGTGTTTGGATATACATGTTTTACTGTAGTTGAAATATGTTTATTGTTAGTACTGCACTAATAAGTCTCACCTGATGATAATGTGTTTCACAGTAGGCAAGTCCCTTCTTCTCATAGTGCCGGTGCCCAAGGAAAGGTTTCTCACACTTAGCACACACGAAATGCTGAAAAATAATTAAGATTAAAGATTCATTGTTTCTGTGACTATTTATTGGATTTGTGAACTAGCAAAGCAGCACACATGTGTATATATATTTCACATAACTCACAAAATATCTGTAGGCCTATCATTTGTATTCATTTGTAAAAGTAACATAATAACGTTGACTTTTCCCAGTTGGCATTTTGTTGTGAAACTCCCATTTTGACATGTTATCATCTTTGATGACCTTTTTGAAAAGACAACCTTGTGGACAAATCATTAATTTTACCTCTCAAAAGCAGAGACAAGTGGTTTACAGTTGCTATTTTTAGGAAAGATCACAGAGAGGGGGACAATTCAACTATTAACTGTAAAACAAATGGGACAAGCCCATACTGACCTCTACATGCCAAGCTTTCCCCAGGGCATGTACAACTCTCTCCTCTATTGGACGTCTACAAGCACCACATATAGGTATCCCCATCTTGTCATGGCAACGCAGACAATACAGCTCCCCACGTACCTCTCGAGCCTCAGAGTTTAACTCAACACTATGAAAGCAAAGAGAAAAGTGTTCAGATGCTACATCAAATTGGTGAGGCATATTTAAATCATTGAGGCAAATATCATCCTCTGATCACAGGGCTTCAAAATCCAGAATATATTCTTCTTTTTACCCCCTGCGATAAGCAGTTAGCATTTCCCCGATTAAGAACTCGCAATCTGATTAGCTGTCGCAACACTGCGACAGAAATCATGTATAAGTCATTGCGCAAAATTAGATCATGTGATTCAGTTTAATCAAGCGCTTCCAAATTGGTTATAGCAGGGAGAAGGAGGTACGGATCCTGGATACTTGCTTACAGGAGGATGGACAAAGATAAAACAAAAATTTAAAAATTGGCAAGGGTAGTGCCTCATAAATCGAAACAAGGTCAATGTAAAACAAACCAATTCATAGATAGTAACACAGATTTAATACTATTTTGCGAACCATAAGAAAGAGAAAGAACAAAGGTAGGTTTTCTCTTTTATAAAGTTGTTCTTACTACAAGGCAGTGCTTCTGCTATGAAAATGCGATAAAAACGCTTCCATCTTACCTGCACTCATGGCAGTTGTAATGATAGGGGTGATATGCCTCTCCTTTATATTTGATATGTCCTTCCTCAATAATTGAGCTGCAATGTAAGATTATTATGTGTTAACATTACATGCTCTGTTTTATAACACTTTTGTAACACATAGAACTTTCTTTTTGGTACTTTAGGATACAGGATACATATGTATGTACTGACACTTATATGTACTTACTGACACTTATATGTACTTACTGACACTTATATGTACTTACTGACACTTATATGTACTTACTGACACTTATGGCAGACATATTTTCCTGTCCCTGATGCTTTCTCCTTTGCATTACATTCTCTACACAATGCCCTGAAATTCACAAAACATATATATAGCATGTTAGTGGCATTTCTGTAATTAAAATAACACACAGACGATGTATCTATATTCTAAAACCCCAAAAATTAATAGATATGACTATATGTTGTATAAAAAGAGATTTAAATAATATTGTGGCACAGAGATAAATAAAAAAGAAAAAAATCTTGGGCATGACAATGGATCAGTTATTTTTGGCACCTACCCCATCCTAATAGAAAGGTAAGACTATTTTCTTGAAAAATATTCCTTGAAATCCCAAATTTCAGTCTCTAAAGTCTTTGAAAGTCAGTTTAAGCTATTTCCAGAGTATTTCAGTTGTAAACTATTGGTGAGTTACATACTCTGTTAATTGAACCTCATTAAGTTCTACAATCAGAGTAGAAATTACTTCTTAAAGTGCAAATTGTTTGAGGAGTTCAGGATTTCTTTCTATGGTGATTCCAGCGAGAGGAAGTTTGTCTTGAAGATAGAGGAAAGCCATGCCTAAACAATGTTTATGGAAATTGTCATATTGACATCATATTGACATCTGTAGTCTAATGGGTTGTTTTTCATGATTCAGCGATACAAACAGAGGAAATATTTGGACATCCTACTCCATAAACTCATTCGCTACGAAGAATGTGAGATGACATCATAAAGCACATACGTTGACTACGAAGGATGTAGTGTTTCCTAATAGAGGTCTATCTCTAATCAAACCACACAGTCTTGCAGCGATTGCATGGTTCATGCTCCAAGTGAGTCACACAGAAGATGATACATGGATACACAAACTACTCAGTCTCACTCAGGACCCCAAAACACCTAAGTGGTGGGACACACAACTTATTAAGAGTGACAGTGACAGTAGACATTTGAGAGATTTGATGAAGGTAATCAGGAAGTTGACAGTTGGTTGAGAAGAATCAGGTCTGTCAGTTCTGTTGGGTGTAAGAGTCCAATCACATTAGAATGGCACGACGGAGAAGGCACTTTAAAGACCTCATACCCCTGATGATGCCAAAAACAAACAAACATTGATGTCACTGTGCCATCCACTTTTATCTATATCTATTTATATGATGATGTATTCCATCATTCCATTCCTGTAAAATTGTCTACAACACTCAGAGAGTAGTTATTCCTACAAGTCTCTGGCCCTCAGGGATCTAGTGTTTCTTACCTGCCAGCGTTCTTCACAAAACCAGCATCTGCCAATTGACCACTGCAGAGTTGACATCTAAAGCAGTCGGGGTGCCAGTTATTGTTCATTGCCTTGATAACACGACCAACAACAAACTCACCTAAAACACATGTAAATCAAAGTGAAACACATGTTAATTACAAGTAAAACCAGCATCTGCCAGTTGACCACTGCAGAGTTGACATCTAAAGCAGTCAGGGTGCCAGTTATTGTTCATTGCCTTGATAACACGACCAACAACAAACTCACCTAAAACACATGTAAATTAAAGTAAAACACATGTTAATTACAATTTAAACCAGCATCTGCCAATTGACCACTGCAGAGTTGACATCTAAAGCAGTCAGGGTGACAGTTATTGTTCATTGCCTTGATAACACGACCAACGACAAACTCACCTAAAACACATGTAAATCAAAGTAAAACACATGTAAATGAAAGTAAAACACATGTTAATTACAAGTAAAACCAGCATCTGCCAATTGACCAGTACAGAGTTGACATCTAAAGCAGTCAGGGTGCCAGTTATTGTACGTTGCCTTGATAACACGACCAACAACAAACTCACCTAAAGCACATGTAAATGAAAGTAAAACACATGTTAATTACAAGTAAAACCAGCATCTGCCAATTGACCAGTACAGAGTTGACATCTAAAGCAGTCAGGGTGCCAGTTATTGTACGTTGCCTTGATAACACGACCAACAACAAACTCACCTAAAGCACATGTAAATGAAAGTAAAACACATGTTAATTACAAGTAAAACCAGCATCTGCCAATTGACCACTGCAGAGTTGACATCTAAAGCAGTCAGGGTGCCAGTTATTGTCCATTGCCTTGATAACACGACCAACAACAAACTCACCTAAAACACATGTAAATTCATGTAAAATATATGTAAACCAACATAAAACACACACTACTTGAATAACAATGTGTAAACATGCGAACATGATAATTTAAGTGGATTTTAGAGTCATATCTTTGACCATGAGGAAAAATAAAGATATATTGTACTTACCACATTTGCCACAGCAAGGTGCAAATAGCACGTGGAAGTCATGTTCACAGTACTTGCGACCCTCAAACTGAAAAAAAAACAAAAAATGAATATGAAAATCACTGTATATGGTTGATTCATATGATTTATGGGGGTTTGTTTCGATTGTGTAGTTTTCCAAATGTAAAGTTTTCTGAAAGTGCAGATTCTACAAATGAGAAAACTGATTCCACTAAATTCTGTGAGCTGTTTTGTAGTTTTAGATGAAAATAACAAATATGACAAAATTGTGAAAGTTATTTGATTAGTCACAGAAATACTGGAAGATTGAGAGGATATTGATCAAAACTCAAGATTCTGTGAATCTGTGCGCCAAGCCAAATTTTGTGTGCGCCTTGAGAAAATGAAAAACTGGGATATTTAGCCTCACATTGGTTTAAAACATATGGTACTATTCTACTGTAATGCAAGTGCATGTATTGAAATATACTTTGAAAAACTGAACTTCGCGAATACAAGGTACCAATAGATCTCTTACCTCATAAAAGAGTCCCTCTGGAAAAGGCTGGAAGCACTGGGCACAGCTGAAATATAAAGAATACAATTCTTTAGCTATTACGACTCATATAGATGGCAGTGCTTGCTATATTTCACTTCCTGTCCCATTTTTTTGTGTGAATATATTACACTTTTATCAATACTCATTAAAGACCAATATTATTTTTTTCTTTTTTTTTTTTCTCGCATGTCCATCTTTGAGATTTTTGATGCAATGTGTACATATTTCCAATGCTTTCTATTGACAATTTTCAAGACTATTGGAAGACACATCCAAAGATATCAGCCTTGATTCAAGCCTGTAACCCCCACCACTGGATAAAACGCAAGCCAGAAGTGTCAGTGATCTCCCCAGCATTAAAGCAAGTGGGCGCAGCACCCACCTGAGATTTTGAAAATAGGCTTGCACCCACCTGAAAATCCATTTGCACCCACTTGAGAATGAGAAAAATCATGAAAAATTGGCATATTTTGACCAATTTTGGTCTGAATTGTGAAAATGAAATTTTGCACCAGCTTGAGAAAAATCCTACGGAGATCATGGAGTGCACTTGGGTAGTATGTTTTATGTGAAAGAGGGAGGATATAATACAGAGAATTGCTAAATGAACATCGCATTCATTACATATGATAAGAATTCAATATATGCGAGGGGCATTTGAAAACTTTGTTTCTTTTTGTTCTTAAAATATCAGGAATGCTCAGAACAAGGCAAAATTTGCAGGATGTAACTTTTCAAATTCCCCTTGTATTATACTACCATCATTTTACATGCTTTTAATTGCCTCTATTTTTCATTTTTTAATAAAACTCTTTGAGCCCTCTGCTAAGTCACTATCTGTAATACATGTACATGTAAGCGTAAAATATCTATTGACATATAAGCTAGAAATAAACTACAAAATATTTTCAGAATAACAGGTAATGATTTTAAATCATAATTTTGAGATATCTGGTAGAAATATCATTTCATGGGGGAGGGGGGTCAATACAGGACCTTGAAGCTAGACTGAGATAGCATGTACTTACACATATTGATTTTGAAAACCAACAAATAAGTATTTATACATATTATATATGACTTCCTCATTTTTGGAGTATCTTGCACAGAGAAATACATTCCATTAAACAAACTTGAAGTTGGGACTGAAATCAAATATTTACACAGAGATTAATAATCAATTTTTTACTATTGACATTCCTGACTCAAATGGCATGTACCAGGGTAAATATACCAAAATAGGTCTTGCTATTTTCCACCATTTCTCTCTTACACTAGAATGAAAACTCAAATTTTCTTGCATTTCTATACAATTTAGAGTGTTAACTACATGCCTGAGTATTTCAATCCTTGCTAATTTCATTCTTTTTCACTGTAATTTGCATTTCAAAACATGACCATTTGGAGATTTTTTCGAGGATTGTTTCCTACATTGTTGACTTTAATCGTAACTGTCATATCTGACTTGAGTTGATATATCGCTTGGCAAATATACTAAAATACTAATAGCTGCTGTATTGGATTGAACCTTTCTCTTTTTATATCAAAAGTCGAATTGTACAAATACAAATCAACCTCACTTAAAGTGGGGGCAAAGAACAGATATTGTAAAATGTTGGATGTCATTTTCAAAATGTGACATAACACGATAACAAAAAATGACAAAATGTGATGCAAAATGAGACACAATGTGAAGTGTGACATCGTCACATCAATCAGAAATGTGACATAATACAAAATTACACATGTAGAGCAAAAAAGAAGCTTGATGCTCAGTTACATTTGATCTATGGTAACCATATAATGGCCACAGCTTCCGAAAATCAAAAGAAATATGCAGCATAGAATAACGGGACAAACAGTATGTAGATTTTCCATATCCATTTTGTGAAGCTGCAGCCGCTGTATGGCACCATAGACCAAATGTGACTGAGGCTTTAGTGTGACATCATTCTAAAATGTGACATAACAAAATCACAAAACTACACAATATTATGCAAAACACATGACATCACTCAAAAATGTGACATAATACAATGACAACATGAAAGACAATTGAAATACAGGACATATTGTTTTTAACGTTGAGGAAAACCAGGAACCCGTTCAGGATAACGGCAGAATGTTTAATCACAAAAATAATTTCATCTTGATTATCAAACCTCTCCAAACCATCACCAACCAATTAATAAGGTTAGGGCAATCACAAGGTCAATTGTTAATTCCACTATTCACCTAAAGGTGGCACTGACTTACACAAAGCAGGAAGGATGCCATACGTCACCATGAAAGCATACCATTGGTCGGTTTACACATATGACATCATCACAATGTGCACATGGCATGCCAGCATTGAAAGCATTCATTTGACCCCTATATAAAACCCGAAGATATATACATATGCACAAAAAGCAGTTAATGAAAATGGATATAAATTTTGGGTATGTTAGTAATGGTTAATTTACACAAGTTGTGACTGGGGCATAGTGTACTAAAGTAAAACAAATCTGATCACTATTGAGACTAGCATAAAAAATGTTTGGGTTGTCAAGTGTTTGCATTATCAGGTTTTTAACATGCAGGTTTTTAACATGTATGTAGTTATCTATGGTTGATTAAAAATGGAATGAAGCTTTACTGAGAAATGTTCAAATTAGAAAAGTGTTCAGATATACAGGTTTTACAATAACATAAACATTGCAGATCCACAGTTAGGTTTCAAGAGTGGGAGGGGGCTATAATTTCATGAGAAGGTAACTTTGCTCTAAACTGCCAAAGACACCAAGTTAGGGTATAATCATGAGGTAAACAGGGCTAGAACTACAACTTGCAAAGCAAAGACAAGTTTAAAGATGTACTAAATCAAATTTACTTACACAAAGCATTGTGTGTGCCAGATCTCCCCATTCGAGTTGACGATCTTCTCCTGGGGAGTGAATCCCTCGTTACACCTCGTGCACACAGCGGCACCCAGGGACATGTTTGTACTGCAAATACATAATGAAACATTTGTTATTAAAGAGCTTATTTTATTTCTTCATTGGTGTTCTTAAGTTTCATGCAGTGAAAATAGAGTACTATTTCTTAGTCTAAGGCCCAAGTGAGCACCCTGCATTTGTACAGTAAAACCATTGTACAGTGAACACCTATCGGGTTGCAAAAATGTGTTCTCTGTAGGTAGGTGTTCACTCCAGAGATGGTAATTTATACAGACATTAGCGGAGTATGAGCTTTGAAGGAGTGTAATGAATAGATGTCTAAGAGAGGTTTAACTGTGCAATCAATAAAATTTCACTATAAAGGTACATAAGCATGTCAAGAATTTTTATGGAATCTTAATGATTACGGTGTTCTCCACGAAATTCTCATTTTCACAATTTCATATCAACATTGGTCAAAATATGTTCATTTTTCATGATTTTTCTCATTTTCAAGTGGGTACAAATGGATTTTCAGGTGGCAGCAAGTCTGTTTTTAAAATCTCAGGTGGGTGCTGCGCCCACTTGCTTTATGCTGGGGAAATCACTGGATTATAATCATTGATAATCAATGATTTGGGTAATGTTTACATTTCAAGGTGAATATTTACAACTTATCATATACAAGAATATACAATATAGAGTTCAAAATTATCATTTTTCAATTAAATGAGAGCACTTTTATCAGAATATATGGATCGCACCTGGTATATACAATACATGTACAGGTGTATCAGGGCCGTCAGATGGGGGGGGTGCGATGGGTGCGACCGCACCCCCCTTTGTCACCCCCCAAAATAAATTTGAAAAAAAAAATTGAAAAAATTTTTTTTTTGAAAAATATTTTTTTTTGTAATTTTTTTTTCATTGACTCATACACTTTGAAAGTACCCAGAAAGCACCAAATAGCATCTTAAAATTGCAAAATTTTCTAGGGGTATTGACCACCCCTCACACCCCCCCACAAAACAATGGAAAAGTTCTAAATTTATTTTAGAGTTTTGTCTCAGACACTAAGTCTTTTAAAGTGCCCAGATATCATCAAATAGCTCCTTGATATACCTGTAGTTAGTGTTTCTGGGGGACTTACTCCCCCTCTTGCATCTTGCACTTGCATAACCTCCCCCCCTCTCTGGCGCCCCCCCCTTGACCCCCCCCCCAAAAAAAAAAATTGTGATTTTCTCAAATTCTTTAATTGACTCATACACTGAAAGTGCCCAGAATGCAAATAGCGTCGTAAAATTGTAAAATTTTCTTGGGGGAGTGGACCACCCCTCACACCCCAAACAAAACAATGGAAAAGTTCTGAATTTGTTTTATGTATTGTCTCAGACACTTTTAAATTGCCCAGACATCATCAAATAGCTCCTTGATAAAGTTAATGATTCTGGAAGACTAACACTTACTTGCCCTCTTGCATCCCCACTCCACCTCCCCCTCTGGCAGCCCCCCTCCCTTAACACCCCCCCCCCCAAAAAAAAATTGAGATTTTTCAAATTTTTTTATTGACTCATACCCTTTGAAAGTGCCCAGAAAGCACCAAATAGCATCTTAAAACTGTAAAATTTTCTTGGGAAATAGGCACTTTTAGGCACAGACACTTTTAAAGTGCCCAAACTTCATCGAAAAACACCTTGATATTGTAAATTTTGATATGGGGGACAAACACTTGCTCCCCCTCTGGCACCCCAGCCCCACCTCCCCCTCTGGCACCCCTCCCCCCCCCTTTGACACCCCCAAAATTTGAAAAAAATTGCGATTGTTTTTTAATTGTTTTATTTACTAATACACTTTAAAAGTGCCCAGAAGCACCAAATATCATCTTTAAATTGTAAAATTTTCTAGGAGAGTTAGCCACCCCTCACATCCCCCACAAAACAAAATATTCTGAATTTCATGTATTGTCTCAGACATTTTTTAAGTGCCCAGACATCATCAAATAGCACCTTGATATGGTCAATGTTTCTGGGGGACAACCTCTTGCTCCCCTACTGGCACCCCACCCCACTTCACCTTCTCATCCTCTTTGACACCCCCAAAAGAATTTGAAAAAAATTCACATTTTTCTTATTGACTTATAACGCACAGGCGTACCAGATGGCTGCAAATTCGCTCCAAATACAACCAATTTTCAAAAATTTCCCCAGACCCCCCTGAATGCTCGTTTTTTATTCACTCAACTCTTATTCCCGTGGTGGTGGCGTACTACTTAGAAACTTACACTTTGAAAGTGCCCAGAAAGCACCAAATAGCATCTCAAAACTAAAATTTTCTAGGGGGAGTGGACCACTCCTCACACCCCCCACAAAACAATTGCATTTGTTAATTCAAAACCAATATAGGGAGTAACTGACCCCCCCCCCCTCTGTCTTACGCGATTTGATTTACGCGGCAAAAAAATGACAATTTTATATTCTCTTTAGTAATCTAAAAACCGCACCCCCCTTGGAGAAAAGTGTCTTACGGGCCTGTGTATATAGTTCAAAATTGTCATTTTCAATTAAATGTTGAAACAACTTTTCTTAATTTCTTTTTAAAAGCGTTTATTTTTGAATGAGAGACCGTATTCAAATGAATGTAGCAAAAAACTGAAGTAGATTTAGGACTATAATGAAAAGGATCAGTGGACTGTTACCCTCAAGGCCAAATTAACATCACCAGACAGTGTGTTGTAGAACTTAATGCCTATGTGTTGCACATTGGGCGATACACAGTGGACAATTTATAAGCTTCATACATAAGATACCAGTAGAGGTAAGTAAATTTTTTGTAATGGTTTTAAGGTGAATGTAGGTAATTGTGTTAACTTAATAATATCCATGTGTACTTATATGCATATAAGTACATGTGTACTTATATGCATGTCTTTTAAAATACTTTTAAACTGTTTGATTCAAGTTTGTGATTCAAATGCTCAGTCTAGAATGATGAAGGGGCGCTAGTTTTTTTAAGCGGTAAAACATTTATGTACATTGTGGTATACATGAATGTGCATGCACAGTTTGCATGAATGTGCACAGTTTGCATGAATGTGCATAGTTTGCATGAATGTGCATAGTTTGCATGAATGTGCATAGTTTGCATGAATGTGCATAGTTTGCATGAATGTGCACAGTTTGCATGAATGTACATAGTTTGCATGAATGTGCATAGTTTGCATGAATGTGCATAGTTTGCATGAATGTGCATAGTTTGCATGAATGTGCACAGTTTGCATGAATGTACATAGTTTGCATGAATGTGCATAGTTTGCATGAATGTACATAGTTTGCATGAATGTACATATTTTGCATGAATGTACATAGTTTGCATGAATGTACATAGTTTGCTTGAATGTGCATAGTTTGCATCGAGCTGTGCCCCCCCCCCCCTCCCATATTAAGATACTATAAGTCATTTCTGGGGTATGGTAAGAGATGCTAGTGTCCCGTCAAAGGCTTTGATTGATTCATCAATTCATGTGCTACTTTACACATGAGGACTAAGCTGCCAAATACACAAATATCAGATGACACAATTTACTGGTTAGTCTTTCAGTTTTTTGACAAGATCAAGGATTCCTTGCAAAAATATTTCACATTATGCAGTTAATTTCACAATAAAAATTATTAAAACCTAACTTGATCTATTCTGATGTTTTTCAGAAAAAATATCAAAATGCCTGACACTCCAGTATCCGAGGACCCTAGCTACTGGTCAAACAGTCCCTTTTGGCTGCAGAAAATCAAGACCTACTTTAACCTCCTTGACGATAACAACGATGGCTTGATCATTAAAGATGAATGGGATGAAATAACCGCACGATTTGTCAGTTGTTCCCCAGGGTACAACAAGGACGCGATAAAGAAAGCTCGCAACGTCATGTGGGCCTCTTTTCGTGCCGGTGACGCACAAATCGTCACTTTTGGGATGTTCAAGAAATGTCAAGCCTTCAAACAAGTGCTCTTTGAAAATGACATGGAAGCCAGTAAGAATTTCACACGAGCGTTTTTCAATGTCTTTGACACTGACCGCAATGGACACATCGACCAATCAGAATATAAGAAATATCTGGAGTGTCTGGGGATCGATCCAGGGTTTTCTGAAGTGGCATTCAACTCAATTGATACCAACAAAGACGGGGAGATCACCTATGAAGAGTTTCATGAGGCATTCCTTGATTTCTTCCATGGGTTGGACAGAGCAGGATGTGGAACATATTTATATGGACCCATACCTGAAGTTGAAAGTGAAAACTCTTAAAGTGAACAGAGTTGGATGATTTGAGATCAAAAAGAAGCCTTGTGATGAAGGATGATCTAATTAAAAAAGTTATCCATTTAATCTTAATGATTTAATAGCAGCTTTGTATCAAGCCCTTGTTAACAACCTCATTATACCTTCGGTAAGAAACAGTAACATTTGACAGCATTAACTAACAAAATACACCAACAAGGCATTAACATGCAAAATGTCACCACCTACCATTTGTTACAGAAACCAACCACCAACCGCCAACCACCTACCACCATCCACAAAAAGTTGGATACTCTAACATATATGTCAACACTTCTGGTGGTGACATAAAAAGTGTATTGTAACAAATTCTGAATGCTGATGCTTAACACATTATGCCAGTCACCAAAAATGGTGGCTCTGACAATATGTATGCTGAGCTTTGTTACAAGATTAAAGGCCCCCTCACATATGAACAAATCTACTAAACTCATTATTGCAAATTGGACAAAATTCTGGCAATTCGGAAGGTAAACGTATGAACAGAAGCGCATGTTTGCGCATGTTTCTGAAGCCGTCCAAAAGCTTTTAGAATCGGAACTTACACAAACGAGCACCCCTATGATATAAAATGTACATATCCTAGTGGGAACAATTTTTACTAAATCTTATTAAGTTATTAGCTAGTACATGCAAGTTGATGTCGGAGGGACTTTCGTTCATATGCGAGGAGGCCTTAAAGGACATAATATTGCAAATATACATTGTGTACTCCGTTACACCTTATGTGAACCATTAAAATGTTTATCTTTTAAAGATAAAGTTATAAATTAAGTCAAAGTGACTTCAATTCCTTCAGCATGTTCTGTTTGTAATATAAATGGTGTAATTTAAGAACCTAAACAGATTTTTGATTTATATAGAAAATAAGTTCATTCAGAAGTAATTGTGTTACAAATAGAGTAGAATAAAATATACTGTACTGTTGATCTTTAAAGTTTGCTGTACAATACTCTTTTGAAATAAAATTGAAATGGTACAATTACACGCCATGCTTTAGTTAAGTTCAGATGTTTGGTTGGTGTAGGAATAGATGAGGCCATGTGAATATCTCCCATTTTCTCCTTAAGGAGAAGCCTCTGAGCTCAATAACACCCCTACCATTTACATAGTCTCTTTTATTAATCATCATTATTTCATTATTTTACTCCATCTGTACAAATTGACAAAAATAAACAATTGACAAAGTCAAGTGAAATTGACAGCAATTTTGAGTCTCTCCATAACTGGGGATGGCACACACCCCTCCCTCTCATTTTTCAATAATCTCATGTTTTATGTCACCATTGTACTAAAGACAAGGCATTAACATGCAAAATGTCACCACCTGCCATTTGTTATAGATGCCGACCACCAAATACCAACAACCAAATGCCAAACACCAATTGCCAAATGCCTGAACACCTTCCACAAAAAAGGTTTGACATTATAACAACATGTCAACACTTCTGGTGGAGACAAAAATACTGCAGTGTTTAAAGAATAGGCTATGACATCATGATATATTACAACTATAGAGTACCACATTTTTGGGAAATACTGAAAAGAATTATTTCCTCTTTAGGGGAGTATCCTGTCTGTTGAAATGTTCCAGAGGAAGCAAGCTGAAAGACATGTCAGTATATGTGATAATCCAAAGAGAATTGTCTGGCACTATTTCCAATATAAAAAGCATTGGTGTTTACTCTAAATTATATGCCTTTAATCTCTGGTGGCATTGAAATTAAGAAGTACTATTAACTGGTCACAGGATGTAACTGGACTTTAGTACCTTTTAACTTTCCTGTTAGCAGGAATTTGGAACCTATAAGGAAATTAGTTCATCTATTTCATATCCTGAGAAAATATAAATAGGCCACTGGGAATTAAGAATACATATGAGCTATATAATATTAACAGTAAAACCTGTTTAGTGGAACACCTCTGTAAGTAGAACACCTCCATAAATAGAACACTTTTCAGAGTTCCACAAGCTACTGACTTATTGTTACATGAACCTCTATACATGGAACACCTCCCAAGTGGAACACTTTTTAGAGACACCAAAGGTGTTCCACTTACAAAGGTTCAATCCCAATAAGTGGAACACCTCCCAAGTGGAACACTTTAGAGGTACCACAGCTGTTCCACCCACAGGCTTTATTTTTTTTATAAATTGATGTAGCTGGGCTTCTATTTTTGCAAGCAAATTGCCAAGTGTATATAAATACAGCCAAAATCTGACCATGATAATCCAGACGGGTATGTATTATGTATTATCATCATAGTAGATTAAATCATATAATTTGCTATTATAATTTGCCAAATCTGTTTGGATTGTGAACAAAACCCTGGAGCAATATTATTGAAAACATCTTATGTATAATTACATAATAATTCATATTTTATGTCATACTGTTGAACAAGTGTATTCCTTTCAGTCATATGACCTTGATGTATCAAGATGATTTTATGCAGCGATTTGTCCCATTTGAGCAACTGGCCAGGTACTTTCCCAGTACTTTCACTATTGATGATTCAAAAATTAAATGTTATGGCAAAACATGCTTTAAGTATAATGATAACAAGGCATTAACATGTGAAATGTCACCACCTGCCATTTCCTACAGATGCTGAGCTCCAAACACCAACTGATAAACACCAAACACTGTCAACCAAAAAGTTGGAGACAATAACAATATGTCACCACTTTTTATCAAATACACACAAGTTCACACCCAGAGAGTCTGACAAAGGTGTTATCCCATGGCATTTACAAAAATATCATCAAAATGTTAACTTCATAGGTGTTCACACATAAGGTTTAACTGTATATGATAATATACACGTAAGGTTTTACTGTATATGATAATATACACATAAGGTTTTACTGTATATGATAATATACATCCCTATGCCTCTAACTTGTGACTTTTGACCTTACCCAACATAAAATCTTGAAAACATCAAATGAATGAGGTAAGTTCAATTGTAGTTTTAAAAACACCTGTGCAATGTTCTTCAAAAGATCCCCCCCCCCCCGAGTGCAGTTTAGTTTCTAAGTTTACCAGTAGATTTAAAAACACTCTATTCAAACAAAGAAATGCCTAAAAAGAAAAAATCTCTAAATTTCTCATGTTTTTTTCTATATTATCTGGATACACATGATACAGCACCATGTGAGTATAGTTAGCAATGAGAGAGGTGAGGCAAATATATCACCAAAATAGCATTGGAGTTTTGCCTCTCCCATTTTGCCTCATCTATTTTAGGAGAGGATTTAGAATAGGCAAGAGTCTCTTGTCCTATATCCTTTTCATTATATGCTAAAATCACTGAGTACCCATGTAATGCCTTGGTCACATTTGCTCTAATTTTCTCTACGGCGCCCGGCCGATTGAGTATTTTGTTCAAAATTGAATACAATATTGAACAAAACACTCAATCGGGTGGGCGCCGGCCGATGGATCAGAGCAAATGTGACCAAGGCATAAAACACAATTAAACATCTAAGATCTCCATGAAAACATTTCAAACTGTTTAATTCACTCCTACATGAAATAAAGCCTCAGATAGTTTGCAATAAAAAATATCTGGGTGGTTCTTGCATTACCAAACATAAATATACAGTGAGATAATGCCACACTTGCGGTTACCCTTAATGTAACATGTAAATAGCACACCAGCTAGTAATTTAAAGGTGAAAACACTCTCTATTACAAAGAATTGATGAACAAAATGGCACAATCAATTGTAAAAACACAATGGCACAATCAATTGTAAAAACACAACTGCACAACCAATCAGTACACTCCACGATTGTTTAAAACACAAAATCATTAAATGATTACCATACAGATATTCAAACTTTTTTCCTAAGGATGTTTTTTAAGTCCCCCATTTCCCTTGTTCCATATTGGAGCACCCACCGCCCTTCTCTGGTACCCCAAGTCTACCATATCACGTACATACCTTTCATTTTCAATGAGAGTAGAATAATCGCCATCTTCTGTAAATGCCTGAGCTCTAGATCTCTCGTCTTGAGCTTGATGTTCTCGCCTCCTTAACAACAAAGGGCTGTCTTTAACCTCTTCTAATTGAGGTAACTTGCCGATATATCCACCAGTTTGCATCTTGAGGCAATTGAGATAATCACACAATCACTAAGACTAACTAATTCTTTGGAATGTCAACTGCTTTGGATTTGCTGATAAGGTGTACTGGCTTTATCCTTTATAGGCACCTTTTTTCGTTGTATTGACTATTTCAGTTATTCTTGTACTGTCAAGGTATTATTGTGCTTGTTATTATTGTACTGTCAAGTAACTATTGTAATCCAAAGTTATTATTGTACTGTCAGGTTATTATTGTGCTCCAAAGTTATTATTGGTCTTCCAAGATATTGTTGTACTAGAGAGTTATTCTTGTATTGTTAATCCAAGGGAATGTAAGATATCTTTTTTATCTGATTAAATCACTCCTGTGATTACCACATACGTTGTGAATGCTATAACTGTTTGTTTAACTCTCATAAATAATTGTAATCCAGGTCCTTCTTTCAGTAAAGGACATTAGTCTATATTCCCCAAAGTAATCTCTCTACCTTTTAATAATAAATATGATTTTCTCTATTTCATATCCCCAATTGTCAAATACTATTCCTCATGAACAATGGTTTCAATCAGGGGTTTGATGTAACGGAGAGTTCCTATAATAGCCAATATCATTATCCTGTCACAAATGTGTATTTTTGTGACCTTTTCCTCAGAATCAGTTTCACTTCAATATATTTACTCCCCCATGTACAAGATGTTTTTCTACCTTATAATGTTAAAGCACAAGTCTATTATTACTACAGTACAAGGGTTCCAATCATAGAGTTAATACACCAGCAAGTTCCTGTCTTTTGTCATGTTCCTCCTACTCACCTATCATTATGAAATAGAAATCTGGATGATTATAATCATCTGAGAATTGGTACAGTTAAACCTGTATGTATGTGACCAGTTGTTGTGAAATAGTGAAATACTCCAAATATGAGCCCTTTCAAGAGTGTAATTTAAGATCTAAATCAAGGTGAGACAAATTGAGATATGACTTCACAATTTGACTTCATTTTCATAGTTGAAGTTGAAAAGTGTTTAAATAGAAAATTTGTTGTAAGCCCCTGGCTTCATTGTTTCCAATGTTTGATAACTTCTTTGTCTTCCATGTTTTTAAGAACCATTGTTCTAATATGCAAAACATGAAATCGAACATTATAAGCTAAAGTCCACAATAAGCAAGTTCATTATATACAGGTTTCACTGTAACTGGAATTCATAAATCAAAGATGACTATTATCACCAGAGAATGTGTATAATTTGATGTTGATAATTGAAACTAGTCTTGTCTATGTCTCTTTGTCCTCTCCCTCTCCCTTTCCGCCCCCCCCCCCCTCCCAGGTTTGTGAAAATGCATAGAGTCACAGATAGTTAATATGAATTTCGCACATGTGTCCAATGTCCATGTTAAAATGATAATCCAATAATTTTGTTGTTTTCATTTCTGTTGCCTGTTATGAGAAATTCGAATAAAACGTCTGAGAGAGGGATATAATATAGACCTTCAATGAAGTAGCAACCTCTGAGAGAGGGATATGATCTAGAAATTCGATGAAATATTAAAACCAAATACTGAAGATGTGATTATAACTGACAATTATAATGTCAATCAATGCAAAGTGCTTCTCCCAAATTGAGTTATTCTCAATTTACTTAAGTGCCCCAAAGTAAAATTTTCTGTTTATGAAGATCGTGGTGAAGCAATCCAAATTCAGCATTTCCTGAATAGTTTTCATGTGACTGTTTTATTCCACTTGACAAAAGTGAACAATCGTGTTCTATTTCCTTGTAAACCAGAACTTCAATTATATTCTTACATTAGAAAATAAATGTGGTCATTGATACTGATTTTGAAATGCAAAATAGAGTGAAAAAGAGTAAAATTAGCAAGGAATAAAATAAACAGGCATGTAGTCAATAGTCGAAATTATATAGAAATTCAAGAAAATCAGATACTTTGTTCAAATTTTAGAGAGAAAACTTGTAAAATAAGCATGAGCAAAAACTCAATTTTGCTCATGGTATCATTGAAACATCTTGAACACAATATGGCCTTTTCATGAATATTTCATACTAATGAAAGTGTATCAAGCAACTTGATAAACATTTATTGAAATAAAACAGTAACCAATCAATTACTGTAATTAATGTAACAACAATTTTGACTTTTACTCACCAATACCTAAAGATACTTAATCCAAATTCTTAATACTTAATCCTTCAAATTCTTAATTCCTCTAAGTTCATAATACTTAATTCCTCCAAATTCTTAATACTTAATTCCTCCAAATTCTTAATGCTTAATTCCTCCAAATTCTTAATACTACATTCCTCAAAATTCTTAATTACTTAATTCTCCAAATTCTTAAAATTTAATCCTTCAAATTCTTAATTCCTCAAAATTCTTAATACTATATTCCTCCAAATTCTCCATCAACAGAAAATCCTAACAATTCATATCAGAATAAATTTGTATCAGACTTCCCCTGTGTAGTATGTACATGACTTGAACACTGAACTTCAACTCTAGAGCAATTTATTCAAAAGTTAAAACAATACACTCTACAACATAACCCGAGGAGCACAATGTCAACTTCAACTTGACTCAAGAGTTGTGACCTCAGAGTGTTGATAAAAGTCTGATAAGAACCAAATATTTCACTTTGGGCACACTTGTTTCATTCAAGTTTACATCTCTAAAAGAATGAACTGCTGGATGTTCTTGCATTTCTTTACAATTTAGAGTGTTGACTACATGTATGTTTACTTTATTTCTTGCTGAGTTCACTATTTTCCATTCTATTTCATATTCTAAAACAGCCAGTAAAGAGTCAATTTGTCATGCTTTTTTCATACAATATCTCTCTAACATTTGAATGAAGTGTCTGATTTTCTTGCATTTCCATACAATTTAGAGTGTTCCCCACATGCCTGTCTACTTTATTTCTTGCTGAGTTCACTATTTTCCATTCTATTATTTTTAAAAGCAGCCAGCAAAGTGTCAATTTGTCATGCTTTTTTCATACGATTTCTCTCTAAAATTTGAATGAAGTGTCTGATTTTCTTGCATTTCTATACAATTTAGAGTGTTGACTATATGCCTATTTACTTCATTACTTGCTAATTCCACTAATTTCCATTCTATTTTATGAGCGCAAACATAACCATCATATCATGAGAATTCGGTCAGAGTGACCCAAGACACAATGCCTGAAGGTTCTGCAAGGAGTGGTGATAATGATAAAAAGTAGGTATGTGAAACACCCTTATGTTCACAATACCCGAAATCACAAGGAACAACATCTCAAAACAACAATACATGCCCTACAAACAATATCAAACCAGAGCCCTAATGAAACAATATGTAATTAGCAGAAATCTCAACCAGGAATCATATAGTGACCCCCAAATCCAATGAAGATTTATCAAACCAAAACCCCCATCATCACAAGAACCTAGTTAAATTAACAAGATACATTACCCCAATACTAAATGAATATTATATTGAGTTTTTTAATCCAAACCAAAATTGATTCAGTTTGATGAAGAAATTGATCCTAATCTTAGACTGAAAATCTCTTTATATCTTCTTTCCAATATTAACCAGGGGATTATTTGATTATTTTGTAAAAAAACGGTACCAACAACCTTGAACTTCACCCAATTCAAACTCTATCCTGTACCTCCCTGGCAATATGTTTAAAAATCCAATCTGTGTCTTTAATCTTACTGTTTCCTTTGATTCTATATTTCCAGTTATCCCAATAAATCCTTCCTTGTTTCATTTACAGTATGATCAGATGATATCCTTATTGTGTCAAGTTACAATGCTGTGGTCCAAATAATGTCCAAAATAATTTGTACACTTGCCCTTATATCTAATCTTTTTAATATTTATAGTTTCTAACTACTGGTATGTGTAGTATACAGGGCTCCAATAGTTAATATGTAACTTAACAAGCTCTGAATATTTCCAGAAAGAAACTTAATATTGAATAAAGCAGCAAAGAAAACTATTAATTATTTGAGCAGATTAAGAGAGCATCCTATAAAATATTTCTCCTATTGGTCCAACGTTAAAAACTCTCCTCATAAAGCATAGTCTCAATCTAAATCAAATCCAAATTGAACAGCAACTTAATAAATGTGAACAAAATATTGGCAACTCTCGAGTAAATCCAACTGGTTCAATCCACATGTACATTCATAATTTTCTCCTCGAAAACTTTAGAGCCAGTGGTGGTACAATTGATAACTGGTCCAAAGTTGAAAATTTAATCAAATATATATCAACTGTTTTGAAATGATTTCTAAAGGAATGTTGACAGCTATAACTTTATCTCTCTAATATCAAGTTTATAAATGTCCTTCACAAATTATTACCTCTAAATATTTTTAACTGGGTTTTTCATTTTTTCTATTTGTGTTGTTTATAATGTATAAATACATACACATTTAAATCAAATTTATTTTTATCACTTTTATGAGCGCTTTATATTTGCTTTTGACTTGGATTTACAAACAAGTGGTATTATAATTCAATGCTAACAGATGCTTACATTTTTCCAAATAAAATCCAAGTGAAACCTTATTTTCCCAGATAATTAAATACGATAATCAGTCAATAGTTTAAATTCACAATGTTGCAAGCATAAACCAGAATCCAGCTTAATTATTAAGAAATACATCCTATATTATTATGAAATAATTTGAAGGGGAAGCTGCCACTGAACTACTGTACACTTTGAGTTCAAAGGTTAACAGATGACAAAATTGCTTTAAGATTTGCTAACAGTGTCCCATTCTCTTTTACCTTTAATCCATAAAACCCTTTCACCTTAACCCCTAACCCTGATTTATTTCAATCTACTATGAAATAATATTTCCTTTTTGAATGCACATAAACAAATCAAGATTTCTTATATTGACTATTCTATACATTAATTATATACAATTTTGGTTGGCCAAAGCTCGAAACATCTCTGAAGGGAACACCTGTCTACAAGGAAAAGTTTTGGTAAGTCTGGAGAGCGTTCCTTGTTCACAGGTTTTACTGTACATTCATCAGTTTCCGAGGATCCGAGTCATCATTCTGCGAAGGATAGTATCAACAAGCAACAGGATTGGAAAGAATGATGAATCGGATCTGTGAGTTTCAGCAATGATGAAGCCACAGTAGAAAAACTTGTATAAATATTAACTTTCATTTGATAAAGATGTCATCAGATGTCAATCATTAACTTTGTAAAATCAAATGAACATTCAATTCTGCTCAAGAAATAATGATATCACAAAACCAGACCTTGAAACTATTTCTTATATTTTCAACATTTCCAACAGACAACCATTTATTTTAGGATACACCCCCCCCCTCCATCCAACATAATTCAAAACAGAGTTGCTCAATTGCCAAAGCCAATAATTTTTTACTCCTGGCAATGAATTTGAACAAACTGGTTGCCAATTGGACATTGAACAGATTAAGTACCCACATATTGTGATAACCATGTTTTCCACCCAACACCCAATATTTTGGACATCACCATCTCAAAATAATAGGACTGAGGTTGACACAAGCTTCCATAGTCAAACATCTTCAATACTGAAGAAGAACACTACACGTATATCTATATCATCAAAGCTTCTATACTTGTTAGATTTAAAGCAACCATATGCAAGTTTCCTTAAAACACTTGTTTAATATCAAACTATCATCACCATATCTGTTAAAATAATCAACTCCTGGAGTGTAATAAACCTGAACTTCAGTGTGCAAAAACCTCAACCTTTTTATTGACCTTTATTTTTTGGCCTTGATTTTTCCAATGAATGCAGTAGTATTCCAAGAGAGCGCTCTCCCTAGTCTTGCATCAAGCCAATGCTAAAGAAATCAAAATATTCTAATGTCACTCTTTGGGTTTTTTGTATTGAATTGAATGGAGTAAATATAACTATTTTTCATAGCATTAACTTTGTTTGTTTCTTTGTTCGTTTGTTGCACTTCTTTCAAAATCTCTAGATTTCTTATCCCTTTTCTATGCAAAAAGTCCACATGTATAACTGCTCAAATAATCCACAATTTGTATTCCCTTTTCAAGAATAAATCCAAAAACTGAATATAAATTCTTTTACTGCTCTTGATACAATTCCTTCATGTGTATATCCTTTATTTATCCCATGTTATAATATATGCTTAAGCCATGGGGGTTACTTCTTCACAAAAGAACGCTATTTATACTGTAGGTAAAAGATCAAATGCCAAATGTACAATCTAAAAACAGCCTATAGAAATACTGCCCTAATCTTGTTAAATCCTAAAATAAATACGAGGATGGCCTACTGGTAAGGTAGGATGTAGAACACAAACTTTAGATAAGTATACAAAATCTAGGCACTTTAAAATGGCATTTGCAGTGACAGTTAATGTTATACACTATTCTTTGGAAGTTGGATTATTGTTTGGGATTCTTGGGATTTGTTTCTTTATAATTTACTCCCGGCATTTACTAGTACTGAAATTATGAATGCTGTATTTATAGGAGTACATATGAACAAACATGTATTCCTCCCGCATGACCTTCTCTTATGCATTGTTTAAAACACTGAACAGCAAAATACAGAATGATAACTGATATACAAGTTGCACATTTCCAACAAAACAGAACAGACTCCCTAAACAGCCCAAGGGAAATCATAGAGAAAACAGAACTCTTTGATTTATATTAACAAATCAAATCAAACTAATGAACACAAAACAATTTTGTATTTGTTCTTGTATTTTCAAATAGACAATCACTCCCTAGCAGTTCAAAGAGCAGATGTAGTCAGCTGTAGTTCGGGCGAACCCCCCCCCCATGGCCAAAAATTCTTTCAAAATCATGCAGTTTTTCACCATTCTGAGCACTTCTCAAGTGATTTTAGCCATATTTGGGCCAAAATTGTCAAATGTGAACCCCCCCTGGAAATTTTTGAAAACTGAACTCCCCTTGGCAAATCCTGGCTACGGGCCTGTAATGTATTTTAAAAGATATACACACTAATGGCCTCTTTTGCAGCAACAATAAACAGAAACATGCTAGACATTCTTTTTGCAAATACCTAGAGTGGCTATCCTGAGCAGTGCAACGAATGCCTTTAGTTAGGAGAACTGCCCCCTTCGAAAATCCAGACACAAAAATTCCTTGAAAAATATTCATAAACTATATCAAATTGACATTACTTTTGTCATTTTTGAACTAAATCCTTTGTAAAATGACCAAATGCATGCTCCAGTGAAATATCAGAACCCCTAACACTATATCATATCCCATGAACGTGGGTTTTCAAAAATATGTACCATCAAATGATGAAAACAAATGCTTCTTAGTTTTGCACCATACCCACTAGCGGATCTGCCCAAATTTCAAAATTTGGGCCCACTTTTGGGTGTAAGGGGCCCAAAATTTTTCTCTGACTTCAAATTTGGGCCCCTCCTTGTTGGTTCCCAGATCCGCCACTGATACCTATATAATAGAGTACCCATGTACAGCCAACAACAACACAGGAGCCATGTTTCCTCAAGTGGCTACTTGGAATTGCCATTCACTGCTAGAGTACTGTATATTATCTTATCTGTTATGAGTGTTATACCTTTTTATGTGATCTTAACATAAAATAATTTATCTGAGTCATATTACAAATACATGTACTTGTATATTTACTATGGCATAGCGTCATAATCGCATAAAACCCCATGGCGTAATCTCAAAATTTAGAGAAAAGTTGATTTTTTATATTGAACTGCCACATACTTTGAAAATACTGGATAATCTGAAAATGGCCAATAATTTACATTTTATTGGCCCATATTAGTCAGAATTTCATATTTTGAATAGCCACAGAATGCTGCCAATGCAATCTCATTTTCAAATTTTCTTTGGGGAGAACCCTTCCCAAACTCCCCTCAAAACTTATTTGCTTCACTAACTGGTGGCGTACACTCACAAAATACCCACATCACTCCACTGAATTATATCAATTGTATATTACATCAATGTATGTTTTCTTTTATATCAAGATGATTGTGTTACTAACCTTCAAAAATTTCAATAAATGTATGCTGTGTTATTGAATGGATAGATAATGTTGATTTTTGAAAAGCAAAGTAGAATATATTTCCAAATTCGTCAAATTACTTTGCTTTTCAAAAATCAACATTTTGTATATTCCCAAGATAGTATGTACTGAAAAATTAAATATTAAAAGGTTACTTCTTAATTTAATATACCGAGGTGAAAAGTGTGATCTAACAATGTGTAAATCAAATGATGTAAGAGATGAAAATAAAAGTTTGTCTATAAATCTTTTTATCTTATAGACATTGCTACGTAATTAATAACTGTAACCACAATTAGAAAAAGTTTATGGGAAATGGGAGTCTAACCTTATATCCTTTGGTTTATTCCAAAGCAATATACTTACACTTTCTTGACCTGTAAATTAATCACTGTAGTGGTTAACAATGTTATTAATTAGTTGGGGCATATAAATACTTATCTATTTGGACTTTCATTGAGTAGGTAAACTAAATACATTTATAACTTTAAAAGTCTAGACACTGTGGCATCTTTCAGCACTCATGGGGAATGCCGTAAATGGGAACAAATCAACAAAAGCATCTGATTAAAATTGTTTGAAAAATATTTTGAGAAATAAAATCTGGTCATTAAAGATATCCCAGATAAGATCAAAAGATTCTTAGATCATTTAGTATTTAACATGAGAGAACATTTGTGAAAATGTGTTCAAGAACTATTTCAGGGATTACATTTATTGCATATTTGATGCTATTCTTGTTCCAATTCACAGTTTCAGAAAAGAAAGGTAAGATTTATCAGCTATTATTTCAAAATTATTATTGTCATAATTATGTGTACAATGTACAGATTTACAAGTTCATATTGGTAGGGTTGATGCATCTAAATATCTTATTTTTATTTTTTCAATTCAAAATTTTTTAGCATTGCACTGGAGTGTTTAGACTGCAGATTTCAAATTGACACAGACACTATATCGATGGTTGTGCCAGAAGTAATGCACTATATGCTCTAACTTTCTTTAATATTCTTCAATTCAGCTGAAATTTTGTGTATATAACAATTGAAGTTTTTTTTTCTTATATCCTCGTATATATTATTGATGAATTGATGATTCCATGAGCTCTTATTAGAAGTTCTCAAACAACCACCATCAAAATTGTAATAACAAAGAGCCAAAATATCAAGTATTCAACTTCTTCTCTTGATTTTTAGATGGTTGCTACCCTGGAAGCTACCATACTTTGGGGAGAGGATGGCAATCAGAATCTAACTGCACTGAAAAGAGCAAACTTTTTCGTAGAAGTTTACGACATTGCCTAACATCAACATGTAATTTTAGTGACATAAACATGGTCATAATGAAACGTTATACGCATAAAAACTATTCTTGCAGTATGTACACATGTGCACCAAACGATATTGAAACTGATTGGGATCATGGATGGCAAAAAGAAAATGATGGGAACGATACAACAAAGGCTTTTGCTTTACCACACTCATCTACACCAAAATGTGGAGCCTCATTTTTTATTAAGAAGACCTGGAATACACCTCTAAATGTTCCAGACATTTGTGACAACATTTTTAACAGTAGGAAAGTAAAGGATGTTGCAGAGTGTTTGAGAGTTGCATGTCTTATGGAAGCAAATGTTGTTGACTATTTTAGAAACACTGGAAGATGTAGACTACTGCGCTGCAACTGGCTTATCAAGCCCTGGAAAAGTAACAGCTACTTCAAGCGTGTTTTCACACCATCTAATGAAATGGATACATTTACCTTAGCATCAAACGGCAGATGGAAAACAACCCTGAACAACCAACAACAACCGACAACCAAGAATAACAAAAAAACTGATTTCAAAACAACTGAAACTATAATGACTGAAAACATCATTACGGAATCAACAAAACAAGTAACAGCTACAACAAAAAGTTCTCAACATGACAAAGAAACTTCAAACCAAACTTTACCATCTTCAACAGAACAAATGGAATTCATCAGAAAACAAAATTTTGACTTCAGAACACTCTCCATGATCATGATTGGTATAAGTACAGCATTGTTCATTGCATTAAGTGCTCTAATAGTTGTATTTCTTTATATAATAAGACAAAGAAATGCTAGAATGAGAAATAAGGCACCTAGGTACAATCAGCAGCATGAGAATGCAAATGGAAGAAATGCAGCAGAGGAAGCAGACTTTTTCAGACCAAATGGTAGAAATCCTGTGGAAAATGATGATATACATCATGAGGCGATTCCACTCAGACGAATACAGAATGTATATGATGAAACTCAAATTTGATATCAATCTATGCAACAGTAACAGCAAACTGAGACTAAACATACGAAGGCCATATTTCATTATTACTGTTTTTGTCATATAGACAGATATCACTATATTATTACCTATTTAACAAATTCACCATTATACATTATACCCCTACTACCAACTGTATAAAAACATATTATTACCTAAATTCACCATTATAGATTATACCCCTAATACCAACTGTATATAAACATAACTTTATCACATGGAATCACATTGAAGAAAAATCTTATCATGACTCATATTATTACTGTACAGGTCTGTACAGGTATGTTATCAAAGGCAGACTACTTAAACATGGTTAATGATTTAACAAGAAGATTTAATGTATTTTAAATAATAAAATAAAAAATAAAACAAAAATTTGTTTCTAATGGCTGCCTACTTATATGTCAATAGCTAGTATTATACAAAAATATTTAATGTACTTCAAGATAAAATGTTAAGATCAGTCTACTTATATCATGTCAATGATTAAACAAGAATTTTATGTTTTTTAAGATAACAAAAGTAAAATGAAAATAAAGATTGTGAAGTAATTCTGTATCGGTTGCCAATTTGATCATCTGTCATTGACTGTGCAAGAGAAAGAAAACATGAAAATGACAAAATTCATATCAAGGATTACCTTTGTGGTAGCTTTGTATATCTACAATTGCAGTGCATTGGAAAACACAGGTAATATTATAATAAAATCATAATAATACATTATATGTATAAAATGAAGTATAAGAGTGAATTGAGTTATTCAAAATTAACTTATCATGCTTTACAATAACTTATCTAGTTGGCATGTATGTTATACCTGACAGAGAAAAAGCTGAAACATAAAATGTAACCAGACTGAACAATCATTAGACAACATGATACAAAACATCATAGCAATCACCAGGATACATGTCACTATCATATATCTGCAAGAACAGTAATATCAAATCTTGTTAAGTGTTATTGCTATTATTTTCTATAACTGGTATCGATGAGAAAAAGTGTTCCAAAATCAATGTCTTCAACTGTTTCCAAAGCACAAGAAAATAGAGGATTACTTTAACGTTGTACTTTGAATTCAATATCCTTACTTGGCTTATCTATTTCATAAACTAAGGAAAATAAGTTTAGTTGGAAACCTGTGCGAACACTTCAATGGTATAAAGAGGTTTTCCTGTATTCTCCTGGAATTCAAAAAGTGATCCTGTTTAACACATAAAACACTGGAACAAAGTAAAGATAATTTACAAATATTCCATTCTATTGAAGTATGATGCAGTGATAATTTTTACAAAACTGAAATAATTTTGTGAAAGTGTAAAAGGTATTCACCGAATTATAGTAACAAATATTCATTTCATTGCCTTACTGTCAAGCTCACAATCTTTAATATTATTCATTCATATATTCAACAATGTAAAAATGCATTTATATTGATTACAACCTTTGTTTGCATGTCATTGATTAATATTTTTGAAAATTCTGTGAGCAGTACCATTCTTGTATGACATGATTTAACTAATCAAACAACTGCAAATATATTAGCAAGTAAGAATTTATCTATGCATCATGCCAAGGACTGTTAAATTCAATAACAATTAATGTCTCGTTTCTTCATGTTAATTTAAAAGTACCTCAGAATTAAAATGAAACTAAAACAAGATTACCTATTATTGGTTAATGTTATTTATAATTCTACTTGACTGATAAGAAACGTTTAATTATTTCACAGGGGTGGACATAGAATCCATATAATCATTCATGCATTATATAACACCCACATCCCCTATTAAAACTAAAACATTTTTTTTGAAACAAAAATATGGTGTTAAATTAGATGGGTTTGGAGGATTTGTGTACCAAGTCCCTCTCAGTTCCATGCTATGTTTAATTTTGCATTTATGACAATGACAGATTTCTATATAAGATTACATTTGTTGTCTTTGCTATATTGTTATATACATATCTTCATTTGTACCACATCGGAGAGCACTGGTAATGTTATATCAACCTAGTAAAGTCTTTTAATATTCTTTCAATTCTTTTGATTATTCAATATGCATCTTTGGACTGGGGAACATATTTAACTAATCAGTACAACACTAGGCAGAAAGAAGAGGTTATTATCATGTTAATTCAAACTAACTTCAAACTTTAATTTACTGAAGAAACAATTCATGTTGCATTTTATATTTCATCTTATTTCATTCTATGTGGCATTTTGTGTTAAAATTTCAAGCACTTGATAATTTTAATGTTATGTATAAGACATGGCCATGAATATTGTTTTAATTGTTTTAATAAATAATAAAATGAAATGCTTGATTTTCAGATGTATGTAACCATGGTGATTACCTTTTGGTAAGAAAAGGCATGCAATTAACATCCAATTGCACAAAAATCCACATAAGTCTATATGAAAATGAAGAGCATTGCCTAAATGCAGCATGCAATGCTAGTAGCAATGTGGTAATATATGAACATTATATTCACAAACTTTATGCTTGCTCCATGTGTATATGCCAATCGAAGGACGGATACACTGATTGGGATTATAGATGGCAAAGAGACCACGAGCATACTGAAACAAAAGCTTACGCTTTACCACACCCTTCTACAAAGAGATGTCGCCACTCATACTATATAAAGACATCCTCAGAAATAAGTGTAAAACAACGAGCTAATTGCACTCAAAGGACATATGTTGCTGTTGTTGATGTAAATGCTTGTATATCACGAGCATGTGATGAGGAAGCAGATGTATTTGACTACCTTATTGACAGTAGAACATGTAAAATAATTCACTGTACATGGGATTACGAGACTTGGGAATATAACTTTTACTTCTCAAGTACATTGAAAGTATCAGACAAAGTGGCCACATATACATTGTCGTCACACAGAAGTAGTCCAAAATCAAACATAACATTAAAGAACATCACCGCAGAACCAACAATTCAAATGACAGATATGACAAAGTCAAAAGCTAGTTAAGGTGGAGGTGAAACTACCAGGGAAACAGTGCAAATGGATTTTAACCCATCGCAAATTGTTTACTTCAGATGACTTGCTATGATAATGACTGGTATAACAGCAATGTTCTTAGGATTGATTGGTTTTACAGTGGTATACCTTTTAATAAAACGATTTAAAAGAAGGAAGCAAATGACATCTACAAAAAATATTTTTGTGAAATTTTCAAATCATACTTCTTGGGAGAATCCAGTGTCCTCTTCAGGTGTCTCAACAGACACATATCTTGAGACTAAAGCTCTTCAAATGTACACAATGATAGATGAATCAAAAATGAATCAACATTCTCATCAATGTTATCAAAATTATGAGGCTATGATAAATGTAGCTGAGGAAAGTGAGCATCATAATAAAGTTGACGTAGAATTCACAGAGTACACAGACACTCAAATAATGCAAGACAATCATTGAGGAGATCTATTATCAATATTAACAGTAATCCATTTTGTTTTGTAATCCATTCCTTGATGATAATTTCCCTAAACTGGCATGTAAATCTATTAATATTGAATAAATCAAATAACAAATTCTTGTCTTCTTTTATCTAATGGTTCTATTTTTATTGGTTATGGGGGGGGGGTGAACCAAGCACATCTCCCCCCCTCCTCGCAATACCCATGTTTATCCAATACGATGTTGCTATGGTAACCATGAGGTGAATATGCCAGGTGAATCAGACAATGCATTGATTGCGTAGATTAACAGAAACATGCAAGACATTCTTTTTGCAAATACCTAGAGTGGCTATCCTGAGAAGTGCAACGGATGCCCATAGTTAGGAGAACAGCCCCCTTCAAAAATCTAGACACAAAAATTTCTTGAAAAATATTCATAAACTATATCAAATTGGCATTACTTTTATCCTTTTTGAACTAAATTGTATATCCTTAGTAAAATGACCAAATGTTATGCTCCAGTGAAATATCTGAACCCGTAACACTATATCATAGCCCATGAACATAGGTTTTCAAAAATATGTACCATCAAATGATGAAAACAAATGCTTCTGACCTCAAATTTGGGCCCCCCCCCTTGTTGGTTCCCAGATCCGCCACTGATACCTATATAATAGAGTACCCATGTACAGCCAACAACAACACAGGAGCCATGTTTCCTCAAGTGGCTACTTGAGTTTGCCATTCACTGCTAGAGTACTGAATATTATCTTATCTGTCATGAGTATTATACCTTTTTATGTGAACTTAAAATAAAATGAATTTTCTGAGTCATATTACAAATACATGTACTTGTATAATTACTATGGCATAGCGTTATAAATGCATAAAACGCCATGGCGTAATCTCAAAATTTAGAAAAAAGTTGATTTTTTATATTGAATTGCCTCTGAAAAATGGCCAATAATTTACATTTTATTGGCCCATATTAGTCGGAATTTAACATTTTCTTTGGGGAGAACCCACCCCAAACTCCCCTCAAAGCCTGTTTGCTTCGCTAACTGGTGGCGTACACTCACAAAATACCCACATTACGCCACTGAATTATTTTTCAATCAATGTGTGCTGTGTTATTGAATGGATGGCGAAGTTGATTTTTGAAAAGCAAAGTAGAATATATTTCCAAATTTCTTTATACAGTGTTGTAGGAATGAGCTTTCTAACACATCTATCAACATTTCGATATCATGCCTTATATGGATGAGCACAGTAGCAATCATAGAACCACATGGTACCCCCTCATAATCTAGCAGCACCAACACATAATTTATGATTCATCATATGTGTTTGTCATTCACTTCATTACCAAAGAGAGTTGATATTTTGGGAAAGGAAAAGTAATGTTTCCAAACTTTCTTTGGAAACACAACTATCAACATTTTCACACCAAGCCTAACATGGAACCACAATAATATATTGTTTTTCATTGTCATCGTTACCAAAGAGAGTCAAGATGTTTTTAAAGGTAAAGTAAAATTGCCAAACTTTCTGTAGGGCGATGGGGAATGAGATGAACTTTCTTCAACAATTAAACCGTCAACATTTGGACATGAAACCACACTGAACAGCCAGGAACACATTCATATGCATGAGTTCAATGGACGTACCAAAGTGTGATGAAATGCAAAAAAACCAATGCAATTGTTGTTCAAATAAATGATCTCATAAAAATTGATATTTTGACTACAAGATTATGATCCAATTTTTAGACCTTGACACATAGAAAACTCAAATGCTAAACCACAATCAAATCCATATCATTTGAGATGCCCAAGAATGAACAAATGAATGTTCTAAAGCATAAACTATCAAATGGATAATATTTGGATTTAGATATATTTGAGGTGAATATAAGCAATATCTAACAGTGTGTAAACCAAAATGATGTCAGTCTGAGTGAAAATTAAAACGAAAATGAAATTTTGTCAACAAAACCCTTTGACATAAAGACCTATTTATAATGTCCTTGATTGAAAACGTAAAGTAAATATAACTTCCATTATATGTACAGTCTAGACACTGTTAAATGGCGTATCTAAGCACTCATGGAGAATGCCCTGAAATGAAACGAATCAACGAGTGTCTGAAAAATTGTTTGAAAAATATTTTGAGGAATGAAATCTGGGCATCAAGGATATCCCAGATCAAAAGATTTTGAAGATCATTAATTCTAGTGTTTAACATGAGAGAACATTTGTGAAAATGTGTTCAAGAACTATTTCAGCGATTACATTTTTTGCATATTTGATGCTCTTCTTGTTCCAATTCACAGTATCAGAAAAGAAAGGTAAGATTTATCAGCTATTATTTCTAGATTATTATGATATAAATATATGTACAATGTACAGATTTACGTGTCTGTATTGGTTGGGTTGATGGAACTGCAATTAACGTTGTGACTGAGATGGTTTGATTCAATTTTTTAGAAATGTGGTCTTTGAAATGCATGTACATTTCAAACTGACACAGGCACTATATTATATTGGTCAATTAATATTTTCAACACTTGAATTGCCATCAATATTGAAATAAGAAAATAGTCCAATATCAAGTAAAAAGATATATTCTTTTGATTTTCAGATGGCTGCTACCCTGGGAACTACCGTATGTTGGGGAAGGGATATCAATCAGACTCTAACTGCACTGAAAAGAGCAAACTTTTTCGTAGAAGTTTACGACATTGCATTACATCAACATGTAATTTTAGTGACATAAACATGGTCATAATGAAACGTTATATGCATCAAAACTATTCTTGTAGTATGTATACATGTGCATCAAATGTTAATGCAACCGATTGGGATCATGGATGGCAAAAGAAAAAAAATATAAGAATGTGGCTTATGCGTTACCACACCCCTCTTCACCAAAATGTGGAAACAAATTCTTTATAAAGAGGACCTGGAAGGAACCTCCAATAAAGGTTCCAGACAACTGTGTCAAAAAGTTAAACAGTAAGAAAGTTACTGATGTTGCTCTCTGTTTGACACACAGTCACTTGAAAGCAAATGTTATTGACTTCTTTAGAGACACTGGAAGATGTAGACTACTGCGCTGCAATTGGATTATCCAGCCATGGCAACGTAACAGCCTCTTCAAGCATGTTTTCACACCATCTAATGAAATGGATACATTTACCTTAGCATCAAATGACAGATCGAAAACAACCTTGAACAACCATAAACTACAAACAACCAGGAGGAGTGAGTAGCTCCCATAATTCTTTCATATTCTATCGTATTCGGGGATTCCCCATTACATCATCTCTTGCATCATCTCCAATCAAATTGCAGGATTCGATCACGTGAACAAACCTTAGCGTGTGCTCTCTCAGTGCTGCGCATGCGCAAAGTTAAATTTGAAATCGTGGGAATGGCGTCAACATCAGTTCAACATCATCATTTCAAACCTACGGTAATACTATTGAAGTTACTCGATCCATACGTGTAGAGAATACTCATAAAACTACAGTGAACATTTGGAGATCCATTTTAACGGCAAATTGAGGCCTGTTTATAAAATTTGTTTTCGAACGTGCTAATATGATAGGGCATCTTTGGGAAATCTCCCCCCCTGACAAACAACCAAGAACAATAAACCTAATTTCAAAACACCTGAAACCATAATGACTGAAATCGCCATCACAAAATCATCAAAACATGTAACAGCTACAACAGAAAGTTCTAAAAATGACAAAGAAACTTCAAACCAAACTTTACCATCTTCAACAGAACAACTGGAATTCATCAGAAAAGAAAATTTTGACTTCAAAACACTTGCCATGATCATGATTGGTATAAGTACAGCATTGTTCATTGCATTAAGTGCTCTAATAGTTGTTTTCCTTTATATAAGACAAAGAAACGCTAGAATGAGAAACATGGCACCTAGGTACAATCAGCAGCATGAGAATGCAAATGAAATAAATGCAGCCGAGGAAGCAGTCCAAGCAGACTTAATCAGACCAAATGGTAGAAATCCTGTGGAAAATGATGATATACATCATGAAGTAATTCCACTCAGACGAATACAGAATGTATACAATGAAACTCAAATTTAATATCAATCTATGCAACAGTAACAGTAAACTCTAAACATACGAAGGCCACATTTCATAATTATTGTTTTTGTCATATTGACAAATATCACTATATTATGACCTATTTAATAAATTCACCAATATAAATTATACCCCATGGCCACTTCCAACTGTATATAAACATAAGTTTATCACATTGAACCACATTGAAGACAAAGTCTTATCATGGCTCATATTATTACATCACTGTACAGGTATGTTATCAAAGGCAGAATACTTAAATAATGTCAATGATTTAACAAGAAAATTTAATGTATTTCAGTAATAAAATAAAAAGTAAAACAAAAGTCATGTTATCAATGGCCCCCTACTGAAATCATTACTTGTCAAATTATATGAAGTTTTAATGTACTTTAAGATAAAATGTTAAGATCATGTCAATGATTAAACAAGAAGATTTTATGTATCTTAAAACGAAAATAAAAATGATTAGGTAATTCTATATTGTTTGCCATTTTGATAATTTGTTATTGATTGTGTGACAGGACAAGTGAACAAATATGAAAATGATTGCAATAATTTCAGGAATTGCCTTTCTTATAGCTGTGTTTTTCTCAAATTGTAATGCATCGGAAACCAAAGGTAACATTATTACATTATATTAATAGATATATGCAATATTATTATTGAAAGTATTGAAAACATCAAAAATTATGCAGGAATTTTTATTGGAAGCTAGTTCTGATCCAAAATAAAAAAAATATTGAAAACAGCACAAATGGCAAACACTCAGACAGAAGCTCAGTGAAGATGTATTCAGTAATTTTGAAGATTCGAGTTCTTGCTTATTGGGTTTGTCTAATTGCACTGTTTCAAATTACAATAGATATCATAAAAAAGTTTTTTTATTCCTCTAAATCAGTCATCCAAGAGTAGATGGACCAATGCATAACTTATCAAATCATTGCCTTATTTTCAGGGAACTGTTCCCATAACAATTACCAACTCATAGGACGAGGCTTGCAATTAAATTCCAGATGCGAAATCATTCGAATACAACAGGAAAAAAAGGTGAAGCATCAAAGTTTAGAACTTTGCCTGAATTCAGCATGTAATAGAAGAAGCAATTTGGTGATATATAAATATTATTATAAGCAAGGGTATTATTCATGCTCTATGTATAAATGTGCAACAAATGCCGATGGGTCTGACTGGGATTATAGATGGGAAAAAGGCTTGGAGCAGCATCCAACATCAGTTTATGCTTTACCACATCATTCTATACCAAGATGCCACAATTCTTACTTTATTAGAAGGCCCTGGGATAGAAATAGAAAAAGCTATGCTAACTGCTACAACAGTATATATTTGATGGTGGATGATATCGAGACATGTATGAAAAATGCGTGTGACAAAAAAGCAAATGTTTTAGATTATTTTATTGACAACAGAACATGTCGAATAATGAACTGCAACTGGAAATGGAAGACTTGGGAAAACTTCTACTTTTCAGAAATATTGAGACTGAGATTTTCTGATACAATGGTTACATATACTCTATCATCCCAAGTAACAAGATGGGAATCAACTATCACAACAACAACATTACATTATGACAAAACTGGATCACCCACAATACAAGAAATATCAACAAGAAATATTGAAAATGTCCTAGAAACTGGCAATGAAACATTTACATCCTTTACAGACCTAAAGGAACAAATAGAGTCACAAGACCCATTTTTCAAAAGACTCACAATGATACTCATCGGAATGGTAGCAATATTTTTGGGATTGAGCACTGTAGCAGTGGCTTATATCATAACTCAAAGATGCAGAAAAAGGGGACAACCAATCTCCAGGAATGTTTCTACAAATTCTTCAGATCATTCATTTCGGGGATTTCCGATCCGCTCGTCAGCAATCTCAACTGTGAGAAATTCTTGGATATCGTCATATATTTCTGGTTACGCATACATAGATGAATCGATGATGTTACAACGCATTCCTTATCTTTATCAAAATGATGACGCTGCACTTTCGAGACATGAAACAGGAGGCATTTTCAGACAAAATGGTAGAATAGTTCCAGTAGAAAATAATGATATGCATGAAGCAATTCCACTCAGAGAATTACAGCACCAAAACAATGAACCTCAGAGACAATTGTAAAACAGATCATGCGGCAGATGATAAAATTGAAACTCCCGTTCAAATTCTGAACATAAACTGAGTTAACCGTAATGCATGGAGCATGTTGTTACGTTTTTACATGTATATAGAGACATGTGACTTGGCTTATGAAATATCAGCTTGGAGTGGATATTAAAAAAGAAATACTAACAATCTAAGATGACATCATGTCCGAACCTGAAGAGTAAAAATTACTTCTTATATCTTTAGGATACCGAAAAGCTCCTTGATGATAATTTCTCTAAACTGGCTTGAAAATCTATTAATATTGAATAAATCAAATAACAAATTCTTGTACATACTTGAAATTCAAAAATACAATACTTTCAAGTGAATTATTACCTCATTTCCTGTGTCAATATCGTGATTTAAGTTCGGGTGATCAAAAACATGAATTAAACTTTAATCAAAACGTAACTATTACCAATCCTTATCAGATAAGACCATTTGAATTTTGATAAGAAGCTATTAAGAAACATTCTTTCGTTTTTTTATATTCAATCCATACACGTTTGAGAGGAGTCGAGAACATTATGAAAATGAGTTCAATTATTTTAAGAATTACATTTATTGTATTTTCTATATATTTATACTTCTACAATTGTGCCGCACTGGCAGACTCAGGTAATTTTTTCTTTTTAATTTTCTGGACAATAAAAGATTAATTGAATTGTTGTTTTACCTATATGGTAAAGATGTGGGGGTAAAAACATTCTCATAGATTAACACAATTGTACAATTAAGTATGAGTTAAATTCCTTATATAGAGAGGAGGACAAAGAACACATTTAACTAATTGAATTATAAATGCTCTACTTTCAGACAACTGTTACCATGGCAATTATAATTTGGTGAAACAAGGTGGACGATTGATATCAAGTTGTACAGAAATTAGAACAATTTTTGATATAAACTTAGAGATTTGTCTAAAGATTGCTTGCGTATTCAGGAGCAATGTGGTTACATATAAACATCGTACACATCAAAACTATTCTTGCTCCATGTACAGATGTGAGTCAAATGATAATGGGACTGATTGGGAATATAAGTGGCAAAAGGGAGAGGAGTGGGTACAAACAAAAGCCTTTGCTTTACCACACCCTTCCACACCGAAATGCCACAACTCATACTTTATACAAAGGACTTGGAACGCACATGAAAATGTCCATGATATATGCTCCAAAAGGATCTATGTGGGTGTGAATGATATTGAATCTTGTATGTCGATTGCATGTGAAGAGAAGGCAGATGTTTTAGACTATGTAACAGATGACAGAACATGTACAATTAGCCATTGTAGTTGGAAATTTAAAACTTGGGAATATAACTTTTACTTTGCAAAAACATTGGAGGTATCAGATAAAGTAGCCACATACACATTGTCACCACCTATATACCCACCTATGTCGACAGAAAGCAAAACATCAACAACAACATTAAATAATACTATCAGAGAATCAACAAAATATATAATAGCTACAACAAAAGATCCTCTAAATGAACACGAAACTACCAAAGGTACTTTCGCAGCTTTGACAGAACAAATGGAATCAATCAGATCCAAAAATTTTGACTTCAAAACACTTGCCATGGTAATGGCTGGAACAACAGCATTGTTCTTTATATTAAGTGCTCTAACAGTTATTTATATAATTTGCCAAAGATTCAGTAGGAGACAAACACCATCCAGGAATAATAGACCAGCATCTTCAGCTTGCACATACAATTGCATTGATGAAGAGGTTTCAACAGTCCCACTACAAATATCACGATGACGAAGATGCCTTTGTGAGGAATACATCAGAGAGAAGTGAGCCTGTCCACAATGACAAAGAAAGATATATATGCTCAAACATTTCTAACAAATGGTAGAATAGACCACGTGGCAGATTAAGTATAACTGAAACAATGCCATTAAAATCAATTGAAACTAAGGTTTTATATTGTCCAAAGTTAGTTTGACATGCACTGGAATGTACAGTCTATATATCACTGACATGAGAATTTATTATATCATCAGAAAATATTAACATATTATTGTAAAATATTAACTAAAGTACATGTCAATATAATTATATATTTTTAAATAAATGTTACAGTGTAGCATGGGAATTTGTAGTCTGTATATCGCTGAACCATACACTTTTTCGTTTTCCTGACATGAGAAAAATTAATTATGTCATAAAAGAAAATATTAACATATCAATGTAAAATATTAACTAAAGTATATGTCTACATGCTTTTATATTTATACTTTTTAATTTATTGATACAGTGTAGCATGTGAATTTGTACATTTTTAATATAGAGCAATAAAGATATTTACAAACCAAACGTTTTTTTTGCTATTTTCAGTCATTGCCAAGATGGACAGCTTTGATCCTATACAAACTTGTAATGCACAAATAAAATGACATAAAGAGAATATTGACATTGCTATTCATGAAAGCAACCACACATAAAGCTGAAGTAAAGAACAAAATGAAACCACTTCTCATCTACAGCGACAAAAATAAAGGTATTCTTATATCACTGATGATCAAGTTGAACTCGAGTTGAATTTTGAACTCGGGTTACACCTCTAAATACACCTTATCACACAATAAATTAACATATAACAAAATGAAAGTGACGTCATTTTCCTGATTGCTAAAAATCCAGGCACACTATATACTAGCTTTTTGCATTACTTTGAATTGTTACAATTTGAAAGATTGAGTAAAGCATTAATTTCATAAAAATGAGTTCAATTGTTTCAAGGACTACACTTGTTGCATTTTTGTATTTTTACTATTACACTGCAGTGAGAGGCAGTGGTAATATAATAGGTAATGTAATATCAATTTCAATAAAAATTAAGTTATACACTTTAAATATTATGATATAAAAAGGATATGTTCATGACTTTAAGACAGAGAATGGTACAGCAGTGAATTTAAACAGTGCTAAGGAAGAGAACATTCCAGAGAACATTATACTTCAGACATAAAAACATGGAAATATTGAACTGATTTGAACCAAGGATTACTGCTTATATTAATGAAAATATTAATGCTTGATTTTCAGATGACTGTTATCAAGCCAAATACATTGCAATGGGTGTTGAAGTTAACACTCCTACAAGTTGCAAAGGAATCGGAGGACTTTCACTTGATACATCAAAGGACACAATGGAATGGCAACTGTCAGCGTGTATGCAAAGGGCAAATGTGGTATTATTTGATATCAGTAGGCAATTTTCTGTAATGTTTAGATGTGAGTCAAACAAAGATGGAACTGATTGGGATTATGGATGGCAAAGGAGCACATCACATAATCTTTTATTTGCCTATGTTTTACCACATCCTTCTTCGCCAAAATGTAGAAACTCCTACTTCATGAAAAAAATATGGGATCCTTCTAAGAATATTCATGACATTTGTCCTAATATTACAACAAAAACGGCAGTAATTAACGTTGAGGCATGTATGGCAATTGCTTGTCATGAACGAGCAGATGTTTTAGACTTTTTAGACAATGGAGTATGTAAAATTATGTATTGTAAGTGGGGTTTTTATCGTAACCTTATAACAATACCTTTATCATCCAACAAAGTAACTACATACACCTTATCCCATAGAGATTGGGATGATTCATTATATAATTTAAAGGCAACAACTTTAAAAACATCAATAAAATCAACAACAAAAACATCAAGAAACATCACATCTGAGGACTCACAGAACCTGGACTCTAGAACTCTAGCAATGATAATGACTGGAACTACAGCATTACTTTTAGGATTAGGCATTGTACGAGGGGTGATCAATAAGTAATGGACGCTTTTTTACACAGATGCTTTTTATGGACCAATCCCTTCGATTTTCTTACCAGTGATACATCATTCAATTATCTATCAACTCTGAAGATTTGAAGACAAAATATATAATACATGTTGATATATTCTTATTTCCGTGAAGGAGGTACAGGTACCCCGGGACCGACATTTACGTCACATATTCTGAAGCTATTTTAGCTTGTTTAACATACAATGCAGTTGAATGCAGGCTGAACAAAACAAACCATTATGGTCATGAATTACCCCATTTTGTTTTGCCATAGTTGATTTTGAATATTTTATCATCACTACGTGGTATTCATGCCACATTCATTCCACAGGGCCCTCTAAATAGGTTCCATCAAGTGCTACATGTACACAATTCCTCATCCTCTAAACTCAAGATTGTGAGAGAAAGCTGAATCCATTCTCTGACATGGTAGCAAGATGCAGTTGCACGGGTTGTTTTATTTCATCAATGTCAATAGACCTGCGTCCTTTCTCTATAGAAATAAGTAGTATAGAAATAAACAAGTCACATATGAGCAGATCTGGACAATATGGTGCATTGGCAAAGGGCTCAATTTTGAGGTCCAGGGATATTGTTTTCTGAATTCATTTTGAGCTCTGTGGGCAGGTGCATTGTCCATATGGAGTAGGGTGTTCCCTTCTCTCACCAACCCTTTCTTCCATAATGCTTTCTAAAATTGACCTCCAAATCCCTTCCATACAAAACTCTGACATCACAATACTTTCTGTTTATGTGTTACCAGTCAGCAAAAAATTTCAAATAACACAACACTTGTTGCATATACAAAAAGTTCAAATCTAACTGAAATTTACCAAACTGGCTAAAAACTGAATATGTGACGTAAATGTCGGTCCCGGGGTACCTGTACCTCCTTCACGGAAATAAGGATATATCAATATGTATTATATATTTTGTCTTCAAATCTTCAGAATTGATAGATAATTGAATGATGTATCACTGGTAGGAAAATCAAAGGGATTGGTCTATAAAAAGTATCTGTGTAAAAAAGCGTCCATTACTTATTGATCACCCCTCGTAGTAGTCATCTATGTAATTATACAAAGATTCAGAAAAAGACATAGAGCATCCAGGGATGTTCACATAAATTCTTCAAATTGTTCTACCTGCGGATTTTCTGCAGATCCTTCTGGTCGTTCAACTGTCGTATCTGGCACTCCAACATGTAGTCATCATTACAATACAATTAATGAATCCAAAACACTTTCTCCACCTGATAACAATGATCAATATGTTGAGACAATTCCATTAAGAGGTATACATTCTGAAGGTATTGATAATTAATATTGACAGAACAAATGGATTCCATCCATGACATAGGTACTCGAAATTTTGAAAATTAATGGTAGAACAGACCATGTGGGAGACAGTATGACTCAAACAATGCCAATCAAATCAATTGTTTAAAGATTCCGATAAATCGGGCTACGTATACCGCCGTATTTACATAAGGGGATTAGAAGGGTTTATTTTTTATTTAGGTATGCAAGCTATATAAAATTAGGCCTTCTCGCATGCATGTACTCGTGTGTACAATCAGCATGCCCTTCAATATTATATAAACACGGTGTTACTATACCAGGCTATTCAATATGTACTACATAATGTACACTATTTATGTGTGGGAATACGATTCCCGGGTAAACAAAAGACAAATACTTTTTATATGTCCAAAATGAGCCATTTGATTGATACATACACTAAATAGCTTCATAAATAACATCTACAAAGTACATCTAATAGTAATTTTCAATTTCAAAGGTGAAACTTCCCTGGTTACGATTATACGGTAAATCATCACGAGACGAAGATTGATCGCCTTCCTTGCTTACCTCTGAATCGTGTACCCGGTGATATCTTTATATAGTTTAGCGAGAACGCTGCGCCTGCGCAGTATTAAACTTTGGCGCACACTTTAAGATTAACTAACCAACGTTAGTGTGACAATGTGACATGCACTGGAATGTACAGTCTATATATCGCTGTCTCAAATATTGTTTCGTTTTCTTGACGTGAGAAAAATAAATTATGTCATTCGAAAATATTAACATATTAATGTAAAATATTAACGTAAGGATATGTCTAAATGATTTTATATTCATACTTTTATATTATTGATACAGTATAGCATACGAGGGTTGTCCCAGAAGTAATGCACTATATGCTCTAACTTTATCAATAATTGATATTTTTCCAGGAAATTTTCAGGAAATGTTCCTTAGAGACATTTTGATTATTCTAAAAATTTTCATGTTGACTGATAAAACTATATTGATGTAAAATCAAGTTGGTGAGTTTGGGTAGGGCGGGGTAGGTTATACAGTCACGTCAAAAGGAATAAAAAATTGAAAATATGAAATAATTAATCGACAAATACCATTTGGTGTAGATATAAGAAGTATGCTCAAAAATACATTTTAAGATACTAAATTACTATGAGCACATCCTAGATTTAATGGATGTATATTGTACAGTGTCCCATTTCACATTTTCTAAAAATATTGCCCTTTGCATGTTATGTACTTTTGATGCCTGTCAGGTCAAACACTCTCGGCAATTTCTTCCACTGTGACTTGTGGAGTTTTTGCCTCCCATGTTTGGAGTTGTCATACAAGGTCAAATTATCTCTTTTAAATCTCTTCTGCCACCCCATAATTGTAGTTCTATCTTGTATATACTCCTTATATACTTTCTTCATGGTAGCATTGTTTTGCATGGCTTTCGAATGGCCTCTCCAGGTGCCCCATCAGCTAGGAATTCTGAAGATTCAACTTATGCCTCTCCATACGCATTGATTTAGGAGTCTACACCACTACAACAGCATTGTTTTCGTACTATGGGAAATGATTTAGAAACCTTTCCCAGCTGTGCAAGCAGAACTTAAAGAAATGTTTAAAGCTAAAGGTGGAACAGTTCCTATGGCTGAAGAAACAGGTGAAACAATGTATCTTCAAGTGCTTGATCCTGAAGGATTAGAAAATGAGTAATATGAATTCTAACAGTCAGTGCTTTCAAGAGAAGAACACGATTCTTGCATTCCTCTGAATGATTAGATAGAAATTAATAAATTATTACCAAATCAATTGGAACGTTATATGAGAAAGGTAATCAGGAACTTTTGTGAATGTTACAAAGGAAGGAGACATTAGTACTTCTTTTTCATGAATCATGAATCGAGATATTTGAGACATTCACAAAAAAATATTTTAATCTAAAGAAACTTTTCAAGTGATTATCTTGTTAGCTATGCTAAGCTATTGAAATAAAATGAAAATGAAAGTTATTACTCATTTTGATTTACTTAACACAAACACAAACACTTCATCGCAGACTAAACCATCACCCAAAAAATGTAAATTAAGCATTCAACTAAAAAAAGGCGTATTTAATTCCTTCATTTGGTATGAAACCTCCAAAGAACTGACAGTGGAGTATATATTAATGGAATATGAGTTTAATCGTATCAAGACCTATGTTCATTGCATTATTTTTATTGTTGTGTTTCTACTATTGTGCTGCACTGAAAGACAAAGGTGAGTTGGCATTACCTCATACCTCATTCATTTTACTTCACTTTAAGGTTCCATGGTAAATCAATGTTAGTTTTCATTTTTTTGATAAAGGAGGAATGTAAACAAAAGATGGAGAGGCATTTTTAATTCTCTTCTCTTCTGCATTTCCTTTTGTATTGTGATAATAGTTTCTGAATAAAGGAGAGATGGGGACAAAAGGAAAGAATTGTTGAGGGAAATACATTTAGTATTTGTATGACTTTCAGATGACTGTTACAATGGCAATTATCTTCTAGTGAGAAAAGGTATGCGGCCAACATCAAATTGCACCAAGATTCAAACATTCGGGCAGACATCTTTGCAATCAATGCACAGCTACATGAGCCAACGTGACGTGGAGCATTGCCTGATGGCACCTATTTGTAACCACAACACCAATATGATAATATATAAAGATTATGGATATAATCCTTCTCTTAATATGTCCTCATACTCTTGTTCTATGTATAGATGTGAATCCAATGATGATTCGAATGATTGGGATTATGGATGGCAATATGGCAGGGTGTATACGGAAACAGCAGCTTATGCCTTACCACATCCTTCCAACGAAAGATGCCAAAACTCATACTTTATAAGGACGGCTTGGAATACGAGTAGAAACACACATGTAACCTGCTATAACAGTACAAATAAGGTGGTGGATGATATACAAGAATGTATGTCAATTGCATGCCAAGGGAAAGCAAATGTTTTAGACTACTTTAAGGACAAAACAGCATGCAGAATAATGAATTGTACTTTGAATTACAAGATTTGGGAATATAGCTTCTCAAAGAAATGGACAGAATCCGACAAGGTGGTAACATACACCCTGATATCATCACAGATAAACACATCAAAAACAACTATAACATCAACAAAAACATTAGGGAATGACACAAGTGTTACCATGAGAAATGTCAAAGAAGATACCACCGAGGATTTCACATCTTCAACTGATCAAATGAGAACTATCGCATCAGAAAAGCTGGATTTCAAAATGATTGTTTTTATACTGACAGGAACAACAGCAATCCTCTTGATATTAGTTGCTGTAAAAGTGGTATATGATATTGCACAAAGGTTACGAAGAAAGAGACAAATGCAACCTAGGAATATTTCCATACGCTCTTCAGATGCTTCATCCTGGGGATTTCCTCTACGGTATTCAGGTGTTTCTACGAATAGATATTCAGAAGCGTCAACCTCTACTTATGCATTGATAGACGAATCAAAAATGCTTCCACAACTTCATCAATATTTCCGAAACAGAAGGAATGATACTTTCCAAACAGTGCAGGAAGAACTTGCAGAAATTTTCAGAGCAAATCATAGAATAGACCTTAAGGTAGATGATACAGGTGAAATAATACCACTTCGAATATTACATCCTCAAGGAACCTAATGAGTTAACAATCCTACACAGTGTTCAAAATCTGTTTCAAGAAAATAAGTATGCTAAACGTTTTGCTGTTTTATAACAATTAAAAACAGAAGATGTAATGTGATGTACTATCCATTATGACAAACTATGCCATCTATCAAGTTTGCCTTGATTGAAAATTAAAACTTGATTTGTACTAGTGACCAATAAATAAATCAATACAATTACAATGATATTATATCTTTTTTGTAAGTCAAGTGGTTATGACATGGAAATATGAATTATTAAAAACAATAATAAATTGGATAAAATCAAATGAGCATAATATAAAAACAATTTACATGTAGGTACATTATCACAAAATATACTGACGTGTAAGACTCAGATCTGATTCTATTAAATCATAATGCGTGTTGAAGTTATTCATTTTGAATATTGCATGACATTTCTGAACACAATAAAATAGCACATGTATGTTAAAAAATATAGTAAACCCTTTCCCAATGTGAATATATGAGAAAAATGTTGCCCTGGTGACAGATAAGTAAGAGCGTTTTTTAGGGAAAAACTGCAAATTACCTTAACACCTCGGGAAAGAAACCTTGAATTTTATCACTCAAATACAATATTAATAAGAATTATCAGATAATAACAACTTGTCAAAATTGGTCAATAACTGTCATATCTGAAACCATTTTTTAAAATTTCGCATTTGATACTGGCTTCAAAGAAAATTCCCTTTGAAGAATGACTGATTTAGCCATTGTTTGGTATTTTGTCTTAGATAAGTAGCTTTAAAGTTAAAAACTATACTCTACTAATATTCAAAACCAAATGTCAGTTTATGTACATATATGGTTACTTTAATGAAACACAAGAGAGTGCTTGCAACGACGTTCCTGCCTGCTTTTAAATCATTCAATCATTTATAATTCTACATTCTAAATGACTTGTATGTATTTTAACAGATAAATATATTTTAGAATGAATGCAAAGGGTAACAGGCTGTCATAGCTTCAAAATTTCTAGAATGCTACATAAAGCAGAAATTAAAAAAAATTATGAAGCAATCTCTGCTTCAGGTAAGATTGGGTCAAAATTTTTATTCATTTTTAAAATATCTTTTGTCATACTTCAATCTTTCAATGATAATTGATCAGCATTTATTAATAATAACTTATTAATAATAAGTAGGCATTGATAGGCATTGAAAATTAATGACCTATTGTTTAATTACTACCTAATCACAAAATAAATAAACAAAACGAAAATGATGTCATGAATGAGAATAGGCACACTAGACACGAGGTATTGTGAAGCATTCTGTCGATTGAAACAACTTGTAGATTTATGAAAAGCATTTCATGAAAATGAGTTCCACTGTTTCAAGGATAACACTCGTTGCATACTTGTATTTTTACTACTGCGGTGCAGTGAGGGACATAGGTAATGTAAAAGGTATGTAATATATACTAAATTGAGATAAAATTTTAATATTTAGTATATTAAAATGATATGTTTTCACTTTAAAAAGCACACAATATATAGCATTGAATTTAGTAGCTGTATTTCCATTTGTCTTGTCTGTATCACCCATAAAACGACAAAATGAATAGTAAGGGATAGTAGTAGTAAGGATAGTACAATTGTGAAGAATAGGGAGATTTATTTTTTCATGAGGTTTACCAGTAAATTGGTGAATGAGGAGGTAGATAGTACGGTGGAATGTATTAGGTCTTCTATGATTTTTTGAAAATAACCTTTAAAATGTAAGAAAATCCGATGTGAGACAACTACTTTATTTCGGGGGAAATGAAATAAATTGTTTTGAATGCTTGATTATTAAAAAATTATGATACATCACATAAAAATATAAGCACCAATGCCAAAAGGGAAGGGTGACTAAAAGTGACTAAAAACTTAAAAGAAACTCGACAAGAAAAGCAAACTGTAAGTGTAAATCTGTCATAAGAAAAGTAGACCCTATATAGCCCAAAACCATGATCTAACGTGAAAAAAAAAATGTCTAACATCCCCCTCCCCCCTCTGATCGAGAACCAATATCACAATCCAGGACCTGGGCAGACTACAAGTATAAAGTAAAATGGTTTCTGTGGCTTCTAAAACAGGTAAAACATTTTAAGTGCTTGATCCTAAGACATTGAAGGTGGACAACATGAATCCCAACTGTTTTGCATTCTAAGTGATAAATTTAACTGAGTAAATTAAATTATAAGGTAAAAACTACAGATAGAGATAATTATTATGTCTATATAAAAAAATTACATATTTGATATATGAAAGACAATGTTTATTACACAAATAGAAACAGCTGATGTTTCAGATGATTGGGAAGAAAGATTTTCAGTAATACGCAAAGTGGGCCTTTAAAAAGTCACTTTATATGAAATAGGAATGAGCAAAAGAAAAATATATTGCTAATTTTGGCAAGTAGTGAGGTCAATATACTTTTTAAAATATCAACATTTCCTCATACCTTTACCCTTTGGTCATTATTTCAGCCTTATCACGCAATAGATTAACGAAACAAAAGTGGCGTCATCAATACCAAAAGAATCAAAGTACACTTCACATTAGCTTTGTGTATTACTTTTAACCGTTACTCCTTAGGATATTTAGAGAAGCATTTATTTTATAAAAATGAATACCATAGTTTCTGGAATTGCACTTCTATTTTTGTACTTTCACCATTGGACTGCAGTGAGGGGCATAGGTAATACAATATCTATTAAAATTGAATCATACACTTAAAGGATATTATGAAAATGATACGGTTATCACTTCAAACATATAAAAAGGTACAACATTGAATTTATTAGAGGAAGAATACAGCTCTCATAAATTCAGATGCAGAATAGAATGGGCAACTCCCTTGATCTATTAAAATATGTGAATTTATTATGCAACATTGAACTGTAAGGAATACAGGATATCTTGTTCAGTTAGTTCAAAATTAATTCATAAAATGTTTTAATTTCAGATAACTGTTATCAAACAAAATACATTATAATAGGTTGGGAACATCAATTCACCACTACCTGTGCAAAAATTGGAACAAATTTAAATGCTACAATCGATAACAGAATGGAATGGCTAATGGCAGCGTGTGTACAGAGAAGCAATGTAGTACTGTTAGATTATGATGATCATGAAGCTTCAATGTACAGATGTGAATCAAATAAAGATGGAACTGATTGGGATTATGGATGGAAAAAAACCATATCACAAGGCCTTTTACTTGCGTTTGTCTTACCACATCCTTCTTCACCAAAGTGTCAAGACTCCTACTTTATTAAGAGAACATGGAAAAGCTCTGAAAATATCAATGACATTTGCCCTAATATTTCAACATATAGGTCAGTGAATGATGTTGAGGCATGTATGGCAATTGCATGTGATAAACAAGCAGATCTTTTACACTTTTTAGACAATGGAATGTGTAATATTTTGTATTGTAAGCCAATGTTTGACTATGAATGGTTGGGCTATTATCACAACGAAGATACCATAGTATATACAGTGTCAAGAAAACATTTTGATGAACATCCTCTTTATACTTTACGGGTAACAACGATGGAAACAAGAATATCACCAACTAAAATATCAAGAAACATCACAATTGAATCAACAAGTCAAACAATTACTACGGGAGATAATAAAAATAACGATGAGACTACCACTAATATAACTTCTATGACAGACCATGTGAAACCTGAGGACTCACAGAATTTCGATTCAAAAACACTAGCAACAGTAATGACTGGAACTACAGGAATACTGTTAGGCTTGGGAATTGTATTAGCTGTTTATGTAATTATAAAAATAATCAGAAAGAGACACAGACCATCCAGAAACGGGGATTCTTTAAATCATTCAACTGAGGTATTTTCTGCAGATTCTTCTGGTTGTTCAACAATCACATCTAGAACTTCAACATATTACCATAAGTACTACACAATTGATGAATCTAAAATGCTTCCACAACCTAATATCAATGATCAAAATGTTGAGACAATACCACTGAGAAGAATAAATCCTGAACATATTGAGTGTTAGTTTTGACATTAATCAATACAAGGCATTGACAAAACAAAATGTTACCACCTTGTTGCTCACAATATAATGAGAACTTGTAGATATTTTGAAAAAATGGTCAATTTGAAACAAGTTGAAAAAATAACTTTTTTGACCCTGAGAAGGTCATAAAAGGTCAAATCTCAAAACTCAAATCTAAAGTCAAACTTGAACTTCTGAGAACTTGTATATGAATTCTAAAAAATTGGTCAATTTGAACCAAGTTGAAAAAATACCTTTTTGACCTTTTTTAACTTTTTTGACCTTGATAAGGTCATTGAAGGTCACATCTTAAATCTAAAGTCAGATTTGAACTTGTAGATGATTTTGAACAAAGTGAAGTTAGTTAAACAGTATTTGTGAAGTTATTGAAAGTTATAAGAATTTGTTACAGATGCCAACCGCCGATCACCAACCACCAATTGCCGACCACCGCCCACTATAAAAAGAATTGGAGACCATAACAGTATGTCGCCACTAGTGGTGGTGACATAACAGACTAACTTAGTGACTGTTGTAAATATCCCAAATATTTAAGCTCTGTCGACATTGGTATCATAAATGAGGAAGTACAAAATATTCACTCATTTAAAGCATTAAAATGGAAAACTAGAATTCAATTGCAATAATTTGTCATTGGCTATGTTCATAATACTACAGTACAGTATAAGAATTTGTGGTGTTTGAATATTTCTCAAAAATGCCACGTTTGTCAAAATTTCAAGTATATTTGACAGGATGAGGGAAAAATATTCAGTTATGTACTCTACACTGATCTTTTACAGTGGTTCTTTATGCTGGTGATAAAAATAAAGGTACTTTAGAACTATTAAAATGACAGGCTTCTAATGATGATATAACAGAATATCTATTTTAAAATAGGTTGTACAGGTATGTTGGTGATTGTTAAAACGAAAATGAAACTATGAAGTAACATCTGATTCATAATCTAACTCCATTCATAGCAAATATCAATAGGCATTGAATCAACATTTGAATTTTTGTATTTGGCATTCATAGGAAAAAAAGCGCATGAAAATAAGTTCAATGATGAGGATTTCATTTATCTGTTTCTATTTTTATTGTTTTGTTGCATTGGGACCTACAGGTAATATTACAGCTGTTTTATTTTTTGTTTTGAACGTTCATTTTCTATATACTGAAAAGTGCAAATGTATATTATTACTATCTATAGCTTATGTAAAATAGCTACTGTCTAATAATATAGACAACAATATACAAGTATAATTTAAGAAATATCACATTTCTAATGTAAATAAGTCAAAGAATCAACATATCTTAACATCAAGCCTAATTTGACATGTACAAATATTACTTATGATGTCACAATAACCTAAGCACAATCAATAAAGCTTGATAAATAAAAATAATAATGTTGGTTGTAATTCTTGTTGAATGTCCACTCCCTGTATGACATACTTAGTGGGAGCCCATGTTGCCATGCTAGATGTTCTGTGCAGCCATTTGTCCAACAGTATCCTATATGGATGACTCTGTTCCTGTAGAAAAAGACTGATTATGTCTTAATGATCTAGGCACAATCAATAAAGCTTGACATAAAAAAACCAAAAAATGACATGTACTTTCATTTTGTTCACCCCCTGTATGACATACATAGAGGCAAGATGTCCATGCTGGATGTCCAACAGTATCCTATATGGATGACTCTGTTCCTGTGCACTCTTAACTTCAAAATCAATGATTCATTTTCAGATGGCTGCTCTAATGACAATTATCATTTGGTGAGACATGGCTGGGGATTATCTTCAAACTGCACCAAAATTCGTAAAATATGGCCAAAAAACTTGAAAAAATGTCTCATGTCAGCATGTACATTTAGCAGCAATTTGGTCACTTTCAAATATGAGAGACATGAAAAATATTCCTGCTTTTTGTATAGATGTCAATCAAATAATGATGGAACTCACTGGAATTATGGATGGCAAAAGAATACAAATGGGAACTTGTATAATACACACGCTTATGCTTTGCCACATCCTTCAACAAAATGCCACAACTCTTATTTTATAAGGAAAACTTGGTTAACTCATAGAAATGCCAGTGAACTTTGCCCCAATAGAACAGCATATGCAGCCGTTCATGATCTCCATTCATGTATCGCACTTGCATGCCGTAAAAAGGCAGATGCTTTAGATTATTTAGTTGACATAGGAACATGTAAAATAATGCACTGCAATTCGGAAAATGAGACTTGGGAATACGAGGACTATTTCTCAAACAAATTGAGAGTGTCTGATAAAATGCTGACATATATCTTATCATCACATATAATTGAATCCAAAACAACGAAAGCACCAAGAAATTCTGAAACCAGATTTACAAGGCAAATCCCAAAAGTGACAACAAATGCCAATATTATCCAAGAAACTGTTAATAAAACTTGCAATTCCACGAATGACCAAATAGAAAACACTGGATCGCAAAACATGGATTTCAAAACATTTGCCATAGTGATGACTGGAACAACAGTTGTATTCTTTATAATAGGCACTGTTATAGCAGCATACATTGTCATGCAAAAATTCAAAAGAAAGAGTCAAACAACACCTAGAAATATCCCCATGCGGTCTTCAGGTATCTCAACAGTTAGATACTCCCAGGCATCAACATATATTTCACCTTACACAGCAATTGACGAATCTAGGATGCTTCAACTTCCGCAGATTCATCACCATTATGAAAATGATGAAATTGCACTTTTGGGGACTGCGATTGAGGAACGTGAACAATTCCACACTGTACCACCAGATACTTACTCAGACACTCAAACATTGAGAGTGAATGATAGAATAGAACATGTAAAAGATAACACAGGTGATATAATATATCTACAGGTACTGAATCCTGAAGAATGTGAAGAAGTCAAATAATAATCCATGTTGTAAATACTTTTGCAGTCTCTTGAAATAATCTGTGCGAAAACCATTCAAACACTAATAATATTTGCCTGATGCAGTACTAAAGCTTATTCACGGGGTACATGTATATATGCCTCATGTAGGAAATGGTCTGTATAGTAGCTGTGATTATCAGAAAGCTTTAGATTGATAAATAGATGGCAGTGTGCTTTTTTCATAGTATATAAAGTTTTTAAATATACATCTATAATACAATATTATCTATAATACTCTTAAAGACAAACCACACTGCCATCTTTCTGTCAACCATATTCAGCTTTTTATAGTCAATGGCCTTCAGGACTGTCAATATAGATAGCGAAAAATTCAGTGGGTTTAATAGCAAACTTTAACATGTAAAAATTGCTCCAAAAATCTCAAAGGATAGATTTTATTGAAAATATCCCAAACCTTTTGATTTTGAATCTTAAAACGTGTTTGTAAATAATGATGAAGGAAAATATGATATTTATTTAATATGTGTAGTGAATTTGAAGTTTTAAAACCTAGTAGTTAACTGCCATCTACATGAGTCCTGGCATTGAAATATAAATGGACTTGTAAAATAAACTGTATGCATATTACAGGAACATTTCAGGGAGTGCCTTCTGAAAATGATTAATCCTAACACAGGCAAATGTTCCTTATAGACAGAGTTCATTGATGAGTAAGTCAATGAGTCTTGATTATTCTATGTAAAGAGTTTCAAACACAAAGATGGTTTCCTGTATGCTGTTTTCTTACTTATTAAATATAAACCAATAATGTATTTATTGAAATGCTAACTCAGCATTCCCCCCTGTTATCCTTTCATGCTTTTTACCATAAGAAATGTCAAAGAAGGTAGCAATGAGGATTTCACATCCTCCAGTGAGCAAACAGGACCTATTCAATCAGAAAATCTGGATTTGAAAATGATTATATTTATACTGACAGACATAACAGCAATGTTCTTGATGTCATCCAGGAATATTTTCGTACGCTCTTCAGATGCTTCCGCCAGGAGATTTCATCTGTTCCAATAAGGAGTTTCTTCAAATAGATATTTAGAAGTGTCTGCTTCTACATCTCCCAATGCATTGATAAATGAATGAAAGCTTCATCAATATTTTCTGAACCGGAGAGGAACGATACAGGGGAAAATGAAACTTTCCAAACAGTGCAAGAATAAATTTTCAGAGCAAATCATAAAGTAAACCTCAAGGTAGATGATATAGGTGAAATAATACCACTTCAAATATCACATCCTGAAAGAACTGAAAATGTTTAACCATAATATATGTTGTTCTAACTTTTGAAAGATGAACAATGACAATTGATGTATTACATAGAGATGAAATCAGTATGTTAGACTTTTAATTGTTTTAACACAATCAGAAAATATACTGATGGTTAAGACTCAGATCTGACTCAAAATCATAATGCTTGTTACTGATCTGCACTTTAACAATAGGTTGACATTTCAAACCCTTCCGGTCCCTTAAAAACAGTAACTTCCAGGAGTAGAAAATCCTTCAGAGCCAAACATATTTTGGCATATCTTTTGTCATCTTGAACATCATGTCCAAAAGTTTATTTATGTCAATTTCTGCGTGTAAACTGCACCTTCCAATACGATCTTTGATTCTCCTCCCACAAGATCAGGGAGTATGTTGCTGTGAGTTAAAATTGTTAGCAACGTCAACATTATTATAGGTTTTGGTGACATTACAAAGACCTTTAACATTATCATTTAGACCATAGGGGTTAACACCATGTTTAAACGTAAACCAAGAAACCATCAAATGCAATGATATCATGGTCGAGAACTTGACCATGATATCATTGCATTTGATGGTTTCTGACCATGAAATACTACGAAACGGCAGTATTTTTTCAATGGAAAACTCCATGTTAAAAACGCGCTGTTAACCATGAAATGCAATGGTGCCATTTAACGATCATGATCAGCCATGGTATTACCATGGTATTTCATTGCATATCATGGCCATGTACCATGGTATACCATGGTCATACCATGGTAAGACCATGGTATACCATGGTATAACCATGGTCCATTTCAACATGGTTGAGTACCCAATTGGAGCATCCAAAATTGCTCTTTAGTTAAAATTCCAGTTCTAAATTCATGATCAGTTTCTCCTTGAATTTGAAATATTTTATCAATGATTTGAACAGAGAAATCTAATTGGGAATTGGGAATATATATAACAATGATCACCGTATTTAGCACCCGTCCCATAAAAACACTCTCAAAGTTTCACAAAGTTCAACAAATATCGAGGAATGACAAGTTACACCAAAACATCAGAAAAAGATTGACTATCAAAGGAACTCAAGCGCGGCGATAATAGAGTAGTCACTAAAATTTAATAAAAAATGGTCCCCTTATTCTCACGTCGTTTACACGACTTTTACATAAAAAGATGATCTATCATTAAATTAAGATCATAAGTCAGAACTTTAGATCGATATCAGCAGTCTTTAGTAGAAATAATGAAGATAATCCGGGAAAACCATTCATTAATTTGAGGGGCCCTTCTGGGTTTTCTTAAATATTGTATGGTTAGATTCTTGGTTTATTTTAGCGGTCCTTACTGTATGCGGCGACGTCTATATCAGATTGATTGAAATATGAGATAACTGCAATGCATACCACACTTTCTTAAGGCCCAAACATGTTAAACAACTTTTAGATGTGACTAAACCAGAGAAACTTGCCGCTAGAAGTTACAGTAATTTTGTGTACCCGGGTTTACTATATGTACTGGACGAAATGAATTAACTCAAGTTTTACTCGAGTTTTGGAGATATTTGGCAAGTTGAACTCGAGTTGGATTTTCTGGCGAGTTACACCTCTACTAATTAGTGCCTTTTGACATATCATTCACCATGTTAAATATCATAAATATTTTTTTATATAGAAATCAGTTATTTTTAATACAGGTCTCTTGCCTGCTTGTTAAAATAAAAGTACTTTTACTCTCTAGAGGCTTTTATCATATTTTTCTAGTCTAGTACAAAATCTTACCTATCAAAATACTGTAAATTAAACACCAAAAGGTATTAACAAGCAGAGTATATAACAAAAACACTTCATGTTGACTTGAACAGACACTCCAAAACTCTTTAAATTATGTTTTGTTTTCTAAAAAGGTGTATTTACTAGACATTCCTTCATTCGGTGTTCAACTTTCAAAGAATTGAGAGTGGAGGCTATATTTATAGAAACTCACTTCAATTGTTTCAAGAATTATGTTTATTACATTATTTTTATTGTCATGTTCTTGCCTTTGTGCAGCATTAAAGGACATAGGTAAGTTGGCATTGCAATCAAAATATCAATGGTTTTAATGAGTAATAATAGATGGTGGGTTCTCGATTTCACTCGAGGAAATCATTTCAAGTTTCCATGATAAATCAATGTTAGTTTCATATTCATTGGAACACGCCTTACCATCGACAAGGTACAGTGACAAAATATACCGTAGTACAGTTTAGATATACAATGTCACTATTTAACCGATTTGAAGCTAAGACAATGATGCAGGTGTGATGTAGGTTTTAAAAAATTAATCTGAGGAATACTTGAAAGAATTCATGTTTAATATTGTGTGTATTCGTTTAGGAAGACATTTAACTTTTTTATAACATTAAAAGATTTTCGAACAGTGCTTGATTTTTTCGTAGTCAATCTACCCATGAAAATTGATCGGTTGGACAATGTTGGGTTTTTCACATTTCCTTTGATCATTTTTTTCCCCTGTTGCCTAAGAGTGTCGATTATTTTTATGAAAATATGTTTCTCTATAGTTAAATTGTAAATGTTTGTGAGTACTTTGAATTTAAAAAATAAGCAATCAAATGACCAAATTGAAACAGTTTATGTAAAAATAGAAACATTCGTATTTATCCTAACTTTTGTATATTTCAGAAAGTAATGTGTAATGTGCAGCAAAGCTGTGGCCTTTTGTAATTTAGGGAGTTTCAGTCATGTTAATTTTTCCGAAATAAACATGGCAGAGAAGTATCAAAATATAAGAGGACACAGATATGATAGCTAAACTACAAACTAAAATATACAAAAATTAGGATAAATATAAATGTTTCTATTTTTACATAAACTGTTTCAATTTGGTCATCTGATTGCTTATTTTTTAAATTCAAAGTACTCACAAACATTTACAATTTTACTATATACTACACAATTTAGGACGGGTGGAGATTAATAAATATTCAAGTATTTATTGTAATTTAAAAAAATCAGAAATGTGCGTTGTCAACTCGAATGTACATTGTCCCTGTAATTGAAATTCATGAGATATACGTAATATTAAACAATGTAATGATTTCATTTCAAAATTCATAAGGGTTTTTATGAGTAACAAGTGATCTTTAACGATCATGTTCAAGTATCCTTTTTGCCTTTTCATTTTATGAAAGTTTTGTTGTGGTGGTGGTTAATTTGTGCCCATTTGGTGTTAGCTTCCAGCCCAAACTCCCATCCAGTGTCTTTGAATAGAATATGTTGAAGACTAGCACTGCCACAGAGTCTGCTTCCACTGTTTGATTATTTGGCATCTGTACCTTACATTTTGTTAGTTACATTGATAGATAGATCTACTGATCTATATTAGCTTATTGAATTTGACTTTTTAAAATCCTGTTTATGATATATCTGAAAAGTTTCAATAGTTCAATCAAATTGATGTGATTCTGTAATTGTTCTGTTTCAATTTTAAATGCATCTGACCCCCTGTCTGTAAGTGTAATGAAAAATATGTTGTCTGCATTAGGTTAACTGTGAATTGAGTAAGTTCAATGGGACATTATGTACATTCGAGTTGACAACATACACTTATGATTTTTTTAAATTATAGCCAAAATGTTAATACTTATTAAATCTTCAACAGACCTTAATTGTGCTGTTTAACCTTTAGCAGACCACCGGCGACCGCGTCCGCCCATTCAAAATTACCGCCAGAATCCACCGGCGGATCCGGACGACACAAATCTAACTTTTGAAAACTTTACTTTTTCCCGCCGTTCTTATGATCCAATTAGATTGCCCGATTTATTCAGTCCTTAGTAGGTGACTTCCTGTTGACCTAGAAATGGCGATGTTTCGAAAAATATTTCTCAATTCAACAATTTAAACAGTTTAAAGTCATTTTTAGTGAACAAATCGTACAAAATGACGGCCAAATACGATCACAACGAAAATGTGGAGGAAATGGATTGCGATTTCGAGCTCTTTAGGCTCTTGGAAGCCAATAATGGTCATCGAAAATAGAAACTAGAATATTTTCTGAACTGAAAAGAAGAACATTCGATCGCTGCAAATTCAGTTTTGGATTCTGACCAGACGTTGAATCTCCCGAGGGGCGAAACGGCGGATTCCGGAGGAGTATTCATGGTATATTTATGCCCAGTCGTGTTTATGTACGAGAAAAATTCATGAGAACATTTTTCTCATGAGCCACGCTAGTGTATCTTCCCTTTGTGAAAATTTTATCCAGATTCATTCAGTAGTTATTGAGATATTAATTATTTAGTCCAGGCATATCATTTTTGAAAAATAAGTCGGATGCGTGGGATATATTTGCTGAAATAAGTCAGAGTGCAGAAGGTTAAAGAAACATATTCTCATAAAAATCTTTGACACTCTAAGATGACAGGGGAGGAAATGATAAGATAAAAGGAAATGTGTAAAAACACAACATTTTCCAACCGACCAATTATATGGGTAGATTGACTACGAAAAAATTGAGCACTGTTCAAAAATCTTTTAACGTCATTAGAAAGTGAAACGAATACACAAAAAGTCAAACATAAAATCCTTAATGCATTCCTCAGATTATTTTCTTAGAACCTACATCACACCTACATCATTGTCTTTGCTTCAAATCAGTTAAATAGTGACATCGTACATCTAAAGTGTACTACGGTATATTTTGTCACTGTACCTTGTCAATGGTTAGGCGTGTGGAAGGGCCAGGTCAAAATGAAAATAAAAGCATGTAAAACAAGTATTGCTTTTCTATATTTCATTTTTGATTGTGGTAATAGTTTCTCTAAAGTAGGGGAGTGGAGTGTAAAGCTACTGTTTCAATATAAATTAGAGCATTAGTTGGAATGCAGATGATTTTCTATCATGGGAAGTTATATTCTATGATCGCTATCAAAATTCAAACATCTGGGCACAAGTACAAAGCTGGCAGATGTATATTGTTTTTTCCAAAGCCTAACTTGTAGATATGCTTGATTTTCAGATGACTGTTATGAAGCCAAATACATTTTCAAGGATATAGAAACTGGTATAGTTCCTAAGTGTAGAAAAGTTGGATCACGTTTGCATGTTACAAGACAGGACCATATGGAATGGCTAATGGCAGCATGTATACTGAGTAGCAATGTGGTAATGTTTAATCAAAATGATAAGAAAGCTTCAATGTACAGATGTGAATCAAATAAAGATGGAACTGATTGGAATTATGGATGGCAAAAGAATTTAAGCGCGCCACATAGTCTCTTATTTGCCTATGTCCTACCACATCCATCTACACCAAAATGTCATAACTCATATTTAATAAGGGTGACATGGTATCCCTCTGTGAATATTCATGACTATTGTCCTAATAATATAATAATAAATAAGCCAGTGAATGATGTTGAGACATGTATCACAATAGGATGTGATAAACAAGCAGATATTTTAGAGTTTACAGACAATAGAATGTGTAGAATAATGTTTAATTGTAAGTCTGAGTTTTACAATAAATGGATACGCTATTTTCCAAACAAAGGACCGATAGCATACTCCTTGCCAGGGAGACATTGGCATGAAATTTCCCTCAATAATTTAAAGACAACTACAACAGAAATGTTAAAGAACATCATAACTGAATCAACAAGTCAAACAATTACTACAGTAAATGCCAAAAATGAAGAATCAACAAGTCAACCAATGGAAAATGCTAAAAATAAACAATCAGCAATTCAAACAATAACTACAGAAAATGATAAATATAAAGATGGAAACACCACTTATATAAGCTTAGCACCTACAGCAGACAAAACAAAACCTGAGAATTCACAGAGTTTGGATTTCAAAACACTAGCAATAGTAATGACTGGAATGACAGTGTTTTTGGGATTAGGTATTGCAGTAGTAGGTGGTGTTATTAAACGAAGATTCAGAAACATACATGGAACATCTAGGGACCATAATGTGGAGTCTTCAAATCCTTTTTCTGCAGACTCTTCTGGTGGTTCAACTGTCATGTCTGGCTCCTCAACATATTACCATCGTTACGATGAGATTGATGAATCAAGGATGCTTCCCCAAACCAATAACACATACTCTTATGTTGAGACAATACCACTGAGAGTTATGTATCAGGAAGACACTGGAGATTAGTTTGACACACTGAAGGACCATTGCAAAAATCAACTGAGGATAGAAATTATATGTTCATAGTAAGGGCGTGTATATGTTCCTAATAGTGAAGCTCTGCTGATACTGGTATCATAAAAGAGGAAGCACAAAGTATTTCGTACTACTATAATTCTATGAATTATGTCAATCTGGATATTTAAAAGAATAAATAAGGTAAAAAGTGTCCTATTGCAATAATTTGTCATTAGATATATTCATGGAAGGCTAATAATACTATTAGAACATGTAGTATTTGAATATTTCTCAAAAATCCCATATTTGTCAACATTTCAAATTTGAGGGTGTCTAAGACATATCCTACATGGATCTTTAACAGAAGTCCTGCTATATGCTTTTAATAAGAATACGGGCACTTTAAAACTATAAAAATAACAGGGTCCTAATCATGATTATACCTATTATTAAGTAGTGTGTACAGGTATTTTGGTGATTGTTAAAATGAAAATGAAACTATGAAGTAACATCTGATTCATCCAACTCCCACACCGGAATAGCCTGACAAAGGTAAAGTCAGATACCGTTGTCACAAATGGTGGACATAACCGTCGCTTCTATTGTTTAATCACTTGGTTGCAAATTCTGTGCGATAATGTAGCATATGAAATCCCATTAACCTCTTGACTACCCAGAGTGACGAGATCACCTCAGATCAGAAATAACCTTGAAACCCAGAGTGACGAGATAATCCGTCACAAAATTGTTCACTAAAATTGCTCTTATTTGAACAATTTTTATCCAATTTACACAAAAATTGTTTTAAAATGTCTAGAAATGATCTCTGCTGTCTAATTTTACTAAATTGAACATCGTCTGTTGTATATGTATGTAGTAAAATGTCAAAAGCTGGCAAAAATGAAAATTTATCTGGTTTCAACCTATTTTAGAAACTGGGATTCAAGAGGTTAATCAAATTGGATCGTGAATCACACAAAATAGCGTCCGTGATATCGTCAATGACAATGGAATCTGAATTTGAGTAATTTAGAAAGACAACAGAATGGTAATTACAGTGTCTGTTGTCCCGTATCTCATTTTGATCGGTTAAATTAAAGACTTTATTTCGATGGTAGAACATTATTAACTGTACAATGAGTATTAAGGCACTTTGTATTGATTGTTGTTCCAAAGGAATTTAGTCTAGATACTCTATTAAACATACAGTTCATGAAAATCTAATTGAAGCGACGGTTATATCTGCCATTTGTGACAACGGTATCTGACTTTACCATTGTCAGGCTATTCCGGGGTGACTCCATTCATAGTTAAAAATCAACAAAGCAAATATAAACACCCATAAATGAACAATTATATTTTTGTATTTGGCATTTATGATGAGAATAAAGCAAGAGAATAAAGTAGTTCAATTATGAGGATTTTGTTCATATGTTTCTATTTTTATTGTTTTGTTGTATCGAGACCTACAGGTTATTTTAACCTTATTATTTTGAACACCCATATGTTCGTTTTCTTTACACTGTATAGTACAAATATATGTTATTGATATCTACAGCATTTGTAAAATAACTAGCATCTGATAAATTATATATTATTATATATATGTATTATTTATACAGACGATCAGATGTATTCAAAAGTGATATCACATTTTGAATAGTAAAAGACTAATCTATTACCCTCTGTAGAGAAAAAAGGTGCACAGTCCTTTATCAGTCATAACATTTTCAAAACTTTGGATAAATTTACCAAACCCATGTAGGCATATGGCGTAAATGTGGTGAATAACTGGTGGAAATTTTAAGAATTTAGATGAAAATTTAAAAAAGTAAGCAATTGTTGAATACATTGTGTCACAAACTCACTGAGTTAATTTTTTCCATTATAAATTACGTCATAAATTACAAATTGGTATTATACAGGGTAATACATTGCCCTCTAGGGCTGAGACATAACTGTCTATATGTTATATTCTTTATACTATTGTATAGCCCGTCCAAAATAGTCATAACTGACAGGTTTGAAATAAACATTAACACAATGGCAAAAGATTACATGTACTTTCATTTTGTTCACCCCTTCCCGTTGTATGACATATGAAGAGGCATGACAGTGATGTTGGTGCAGCCATTTGTCCAACAGTATGGTATAGTATGGATGACTCTCTCCCTCTACACTCTTGCTTCAAAATTAACTTGACAACAGCAACACCAAACTGTAGCAAATCCCATCGAACAGCCAGGGCTGGCATTTTTACAAACATAGTATATAGCAAAAATGGCCACCTTCTACCAAAAGTGTCATTAGACAGTGTGCCATGTTTATAGTATTCACATACCAAATATGAACAAAATCGCTCCCCTACTTTTCGAGTTATAGTAAAATACGTTAAAATGGCAGCCATTTTTCTGATTACCTAACATATAAAATATTATGTGTGCCTTCTCAGCTAGGAATCATGGAGCTTTCACTTAGGCTTCTCCTTACACATTGACTTACAGGATGAAACAACAATGCCAGTTCAATTTCATCATTATCATGATAAAGGTAGACGGAATTTAAGCATAAATGAAGTCCTTTGAAGAAGGATGGTGGAATGGTTCCTGTGGCTGATGAAACAGGAAAATATTATTTCCTGAAGTGCTTTCTCCTAATAGCCTTGCTTCAAGACCCTGAGCTATCTACTTTTAACCTCTTGACTACCTGGAGTGACAATATTTCTCGTCATCTCAAAAATGACCTTGAAACCCAGAGTGACCAGAAAATCAGTCACAAAATTTTTCACTAAAATTGTTCTTATTTGAACAATTTTCATCCAATTTACATAGAAATTGTTTTAAAATGTGTAGAAATAATCCCTTTGATCCAATTTTATTAAGTTGTATAGGTATGTAGTAAAATGTCAAAAGGTGGCAAAAATTCTCTGGTTTCAACTGATTTTAGAGCCTGGGATTCAAAATGTTAACTTGTGTTGTTGAGATAGGAGTCAGGTCCACAGTCTTGAAGCAAGACTAAATGCTAAAGACATTGAAAATTGGGAACAAAAGTCTCCAAATCCAAAGTTCAAATCCAAAGGATTTTTGAGAGAAGAACATGTTTTTGCATACTTAACCCACTCACTACGGCCCCATGCTATTTCGTCAGCAATCTGACGATGGTGTTCTGGACCAGCGTCTAGAGGCATGTCAGGGTGACACCCATCATGAATTGTATAAAATTGAAGATTTATACTTACTTTGTTGATTATATGTTCTTTTTTGATGTATAATATGGTTTAACATGAAAAAAACATAAAGAAAATAAAAAAAATTGAAAACACGACTTTGTTGATTTTTCCCGTGATGCACTTGTCAAAATGGTGGAAAATTTAAAACGCCCTGCTAGAGATGCAAAAACAAGAGCCTTACAGTTCTTTCAAGACGGGTTTTCACTTGATGGGGACTGTAGTGATGAAGATGGTTTACCAGAGCATGAGGAGAACCAATTAGATGAGGATTTTATGAGAGCTAGGTATGTAAAATGTAAGATGATTGTGTTGTTCGTCAGTTGTTGTCAGTTTCAAAAAATGAAAAAAAAACTTTTTGCAAGCAAAACACGAAAAAAAGTAATTATTCGAGGAAAAGACTGATTACCAACCTTTTTCAAAATACAAAGTACCATAACATGGTATTTTACCATAGGAAATAGCGATGAAATGTCCATAAAATTGCTGAATAAGTTACTTCCGGTCCATCGCGAGTGGGCGATAATAGGGTACATTCAAGTTTACGCACTTTTCTATCTATCTGCTTCAATAAACAGAATCAGTTAACCAGTATACAAATATGACAGTTGCTTCTTTATTTGTTAATATCTATAAATATTGCTTCTTTTACCCAGATTTCCTTGTCAATTCATACTACCTGCATCCCATGGCAAAATTTTCAAAATCTATGATATTTGAACAGGTCTTTTCAACATTTTAGGCAAATTGATGATAGTGATGCTGATTCTACAGCTGATGATGATACTGATTCTGATGACAGTCTTGCTGACAATGGTGTTGATTCTGATGATAGCCTACCTGATGCCCCTGGTCCAGGAGGTGATGCAGCACAAGGAAGACCTTTGCCCAGGGATGTGGCTAATGACCAGATAAAATATGGGTATGGTCAAAATGATATTGCCCCCAACCCATTTCAATTTCGTCCAATCAAAGAGCCAGGCATCCAACTTGGAAGGCTTACCCGTAATGGTCTACTGCAGTTTACCTCTGCCCTTTCCATATTTTCACTATTCTTCTCAGATGTCATTTTACAAGAAATAGTCAACAACACAAACCTTTATGCCTGGTTAAATATCTTAGACAAGCCATCATATTCTTCTGCTGATGGAGGCTGGCAAGATGTAACTGTCCCAGAAATTCGACAGTTCATTGCTATATTGATTTATATGGGATTTGTTGATGTGGCAACGATTGACAGGTACTGGTCATTGAAGACATTGTACAATGGACTATGGGCTAGGAGGTTTTTGTCCAGAGAAAGGTTTCAGGCAATTTTGGCATTTCTTCACATATCAGATCCAACACGAGAGGTCCCATTTGTGCAGGATAAACTAAGAAAAATACGCAATTTGATCGACCATATTCAGAATGTTTCAATTGAACTCTTTCAACCAGATCAAAATGTGTCCGTAGACGAACGAATGGTTAGATCAAAACATCACAGTGGATTTCGGCAATTCAATAAGGACAAACCTGTCCGGTTCGGATTTAAATTGTTTGTTTTGGCCGAAACGGACTCAGGATATACATTCAAATTCAAAGTCTACACTGGCAAAAACAATGAACCAATAGGTGACAATGGAGTTGCTTACGATGCGGTCATGAGTCTAATGCAGGGCCTATTAAACCAGGGATATCATGTATTTTACGACAACTGGTACAGTAGTGTCGCACTCGCAAATGAACTGGTATATAACAATACAGACTGTTGTGGTACTATGCGTGAAAACAGGGTCGGCGTTCCTCAGACATTGAAACATAAATGGGTCAAACCTAACAGAGGTAGTCTTAGGCTAGATTTTCCAGGGTCATTGTTGGTTTGTTGTTGGGCCTGTTGGTTAGAAATGGTTTGATGGCTTAGTTTTCAGCTTTATTCTTGATAACATTTTTATATTAACACATTTACCAGTTATGTATTAATATTATTATTACTTATAGAATTATATTTATTTCTTATATGATCATTTAACGTTACACTTAAAGTATCAATTTTCTGTTTTGAAATAATTTTTTCCCTTGATAATGCTGTTATAATATAGGGTAACGAACATTTTTTTGTGAAAAGAATGTTGAGAATAATAGAACTGTGGGTTTATTCACATTTTAGTGATATTATGTTCATTGCCATAAAACTTGCTAATTGAGATAGTATTGAACTGTATTTATTTCTTACCAATAGCTCATATTTCACCATGAAGTTTTACTTTACATTTAATGTATTTTTCTAGGTAATGTCAGGTATGTTAGGCAAGATAGGCTGTGCTTTCTTCAGTGGAAAGATTCCAAACTGGTGACCATGCTATCATCTTTTGGATCAGTATCCCAACATGATTTTGTGAGGTAAGCATAAGGCTTTTGATAGAAATCAGAATTTTCTCAACACTCAACAATTTTCTCAGAACTCTGTGCTCTTTTTTCATATGTGCTGAAATATACTTGTGACAGTTCCCATATGATTGACATTGCAGAACTAACTTTACAGTTTACCCTGTAAATTATAAATGTTTGATTATGCTAATTTCTAACTTAGGCTACTGCTATTTATATGTTTAGACGTATGGTGAAGCAAGCAGGTCAATGGAGACAAACGCTGGTGAGAAGGCCAAACATTATTTCTGCATACAATAATGGAATGGGAGGGGTGGATAAGTCTGACCAGTTGATTGCAAGGTAAATAATTTGATGGTTTTGATATTTTATTCCAGCATGCATTCTACATTTCAAAACAGATGGACCAATATCAATAAATATGGGTTATCTTGCATGTGTCTTAGTAAATTATTCTGTTCCAAAATAGTAAAAATACCATAGGCCTACCATTTACAGGTGGGGTGGAAATGAAACTTGATTGCTCTTTCTGATTTTCACATCAGACATTTTGATTTTATCAATAAATATGGGTTATCTTGCATGTGTCTTAGTAAATTATTCTGTTCCAAAATAGTAAAGATACCATAGGCCTACCATTTACAGGTGGAAATGAAACTTGATTGCTCTTTCTGATTTTCACATCAGACATTTTGATTTACTTTCAGGTACAACATACTTCAGAGGAGCAGGAAATGGTGGAAAGTGCTATTTTTTCACATGGTGGATGTTGCAGTAGTGAACAGCTACATATTGTTCAATCACCTCAGGACAAAGTTCCCTGACCACCCTGATTTGCAGAGACCAGCAAGTAAGTTGCAGACTTCTTATCACTTTGAGATGAAATGCATTTATATAGATTATTGTGAATGCATTTAAATGTACATAGATTATTGTATACTAAATGTGGTTTGAAAATAGTGATTAGGGTCTTTTGATGTTTGACTTTTTGAGTAGGGCTTATTTTCTCTGCATTATTACAAAATGTAGGTAAATTGCAATAACTATGTTATAATTTTTTTGTGTTCATGTTGACAATGAAGTAAAATGTTGCCGCTAACTTTTCCATTGATTCCTATACAAATACTATGCTAGCTGAGTAGCTGTATGTAATACTGTGGTATATTTTCAGGATATGGTCAACTCGAATTTAGGGAGGAGTTGGTGAGGCAACTTGGAAATATTGCCAATGATGAAGGCGTTCCACCACCATCATCATCAGCCCGTAACGTTCCCAAAAGTGATGCTGCAATGCATCTACCTCTCAGAACAGACAAGCAGAGGAACTGCAAACTTTGTTACCAGCAAAGTAGGACGGAAAGAAAATCAATTTGGAAGTGCAATGTTTGTGACAAATACTTTTGCTTGAATGAAAGAAACTGTTTCACAGCCTTCCATTTGAATCTTAGATAAAAGATAAAATTAATGGAGGTAACATTGAATTTGTAAGCAGAGGAATTGTAAGTACTAGGATGTTACCAGCAAAGTAAGATTGAAATTAAATCAAATCAGGAATGCAATATTTCTGAGATGGAAGAAACTGTTTCACAGCATACCATTTGAATTCAATTACTGTGTAGGTACTAGGTAACATGGAATTTGTTAAACATGGAGGTTCTGTAACCCAGGTATTTTTTTACGCGACTATATTTCATGTTTTCGCTAAGTAATTTTTGGATTTTGACACTATTAAATGTTTCGTAGGCCTATTTAAAGTGCCAGACTGTTGAAAGAGATTACCTACACTCAGGTGCTACTGTTTTCTAGTTAAATCACATTTTTAATACAATTAAATGTGTATTTTATTCTATAAAAGATAGATTCAAAATGAAATAAAGGACTGGTAGGTAAATATTGGTGTATATTTTGTCGTTATTACCCCAAAAAGTGCTTAAGTTGTACGTTGCATCTAAATGTTTATAAACGGTGTCATTGCGATGTAATCTCATTTGAATAATTAATCATATGATATAGGTTTTTGGAAATGTGTATTTTTAGCTTTAAAATGATATGTAGCATGCCAGGGAAGTATGAAATGTATTGAATGGAGGTTAGTCCTTACTAATGGGCATTTTTACAACGATTCGCGCATTTTTATTGCTAATCGCCATTTTTATGACTTTTCCCAGCATGTTCAAAGACCTGTAATTTCTTTATATGAAAGAGTTGGGAGGTCATTGATGGCTCATTGTAAAGCTCTGATCAAATGCTTCGAAATGACATATAACACTTATCCATAAATATGGGGAGTGTTGGTCAATCTCAAGGTAACCATGAAATTTTTGTGAATTTTTCACACTTTTTACAATCGTACAGTCATTTGTAACGTCACAATGACGTCATCTCATTTGCATAAATTAGCATATTTTATCAAAATTGGAAACCATGGCTTATAAGCTTTACAATGAGGTATAACTTTCCAGGGAAGTGTTAAAAGAATTGATAATAACAAACTTCATTCATGATATTGGCCATAGAGTCAAATGGTCAATGGGCATTTTTACAACGATTCGTGCATTTTTCCTGCTTATCGCCATTTTTATGACTTTTCCCAGCATGTTCAAAGACCTGTAATTTCTTTATATGAAAGAGTTGGGAGGTCATTGATGGCTCATTGTAAAGCTCTGATCAAATGCTTCGAAATGACATATAACACTTATCCATAAATATGGGGAGTGTTGGTCAATCTCAAGGTAACCTTGAACTTTTTGTGAATTTTTCACACTTTTTACAATCACACAGTCATTTGTGACGTCACAATGACGTCATCTCATTTGCATAAATTAGCATATTTTATCAAAATTGGAAACCATGGCTTATAAGCTTTAAAATGAGGTATAACTTTCCAGGGAAGTGTTAAAAGAATTGATAATAACTAACTTTATTCATGATGTTGGCCATAGAGTCAATAAATTCTTTAAAAATGGGCTGTAGTTAAAGGGTTAAGAATTATTAGATAGTGATAAATAACTGAGAACTAGAAACCACGTGAATTAAAATATTGTGTGAAAAAAGTAATCAAGAACTGTTACAAAGGATGGAGACATCAGTATTCCATCTTCATGACTCAATGTTCATTCACAATAAAATATTTTAATCTAAAGAGACTTTTATGCTAGTGTACAATACAATATCTAAGCTAATGAAATAAAATGAAAATGAAACTATGGTCATTTGACACTGCCAACATTTAAAAAAACTGTATAAGCATTCAACTAAAAAAGTGCATTTAATTCATTCAGTACCCAACCTTCAAAGAACTGAGAGTGAAGTATACATTAATGGAATATGAGTTCAGTCGTATCAAGAATTATGTTCATTGCATTATTTTTATTGTTTTGTTTCTACTATTGTGCTGCATTGAAAGACAAAGGTGAGTTAGCACCACCTCATAATCATTGATTTGACTTTATGACTTCAGTTCAAGGTTCCATGGACAATCAGTGTTCAGAACTCATTAAATAAAAAGTGTATGTTCCTGAAATTAATGCTCTTCACAGTCAAGTTGTATTGATTATAAGATATGCCTAAAGCTAGTGTCTTAGTATGCCTGAATTTGTTTGCTATTGATGACATCACTTTAAAGGCACAGAAAGGCACACATTTGAATTTTTCTTTTACAATTGCTCTGCAGTGACGGAAATTGGTAATATAATAATAATACAATAAACTGAAATAACATCATGTCCTTTGTATTAGGACGATATTTTTTATCACTTTCATGCAATATTATGAAACAGTTAGGGCTAGATCATATTGTCAAGAAGAGTGCAAACTCATTTACTGATATACCCTCTATTATAGAAATTTAATGTGTAAAGGTTAGAGAATATCATGTATAGTCACAAATTAACATTAGAAATGCTTGAATTTCAGATGACTGTTATAAATCCACATACATAATAAAAGGTGCAGTAAGAGCCATACCCTCTAGGTGTACAAAGATTGGAACAATTTTGGATTTTCCAAATCTTCGAAATCCCACAATGGAGCTTATGACAGCATGTGAACAGAGAAGCAATGTGGTATTATTTCTCGATCATAAAGCTTTAATGTATAGATGTAAATCAAATACAGATGGAACTGATTGGGATTATGGATGGCATAACACAAGTGACCTCTTTTTTGCTTTTGTCTTACCACATCCTTCAACACCAAAATGTCACAACTCATACTTTACAAGGAGAACATGGAAAAACCCCATGAACATCCGTGACAATTGTCCAAATATTTCAACATATAATGAAGTGGATGATGTTAAGGCATGTGCGGCAATCACATGTGATGGACAAGCAGATATTTTTGACTTTTCAGACAACAGAATTTGTACAGTAATGTATTGTCATCAGGGATTTTACAAAGACTTGGAGGAAAAAATTTCCAACAAAGGAACCACAACATATATGTTGTCAATGAGACATTTGGATGCATTTCCTCTGTATTATTATACACCAAAAACAACAATAACATCAAGGAGCATCTCAAGTGAGTCAACAAGTCAACCAATTACTACAAAAATGATAAAAGTAAAGAATCAACCAGTCAAACAATTACTACAGAAAATGATAATAAAAATAAAGAATCAACCAGTCAAACAATTACTACAGAAAATGAAACAAAAAACAAAGATGAAACTACAACTGATATAAGCTTAACCTCTATGACAGAGAAAACAAAGCCTGAGTCATCACTGTATCTGGATTTCAAAACACTAGTAATGATAATGGTTGGAATTACAGCAGCGCTCTTAGGATTAGGCATTGTAGTAGTCGTATATGTAATTATACGAAGATTCAGAAAGAGACATAGGACATCCAGGAATGTTTATGTGGATTCTCCAAATACTGGTAGTTTACCTCAGGGTTTTTCTGCAGACTCTTTTGGGCTTTCAACTTGGGGATTTTCTAGATGCTCTTCTATTCGATCAACCACTGTATCTAGCACTTCAACATATCTTCATCCATACAACATGATTGATGAATCAAAGATGATTCCTCTACCTCGAAATGTCTATCAAAATGTGGAGACAATACCACTCCGAGTTATACATCCTGAAGACAGTGATAATTAGCTTTGGCATGCTGATTAATCCATACAAACTAGGATACTGCTGCAAAATATCAATGTAGGATAACAACTAGGCTTTCATAGTTAGGGAGGGGGTGCAAATATAAGCTTTGCTGACATAGGTATTATGAGGCAGTAGAAAATATCTAATATTACTCGTATGTGGCAGAAAATTGTAATACTCAAATCTGCATTAACAGAATCAAAAAAGGGAAACCACTATTCCATATTTTGTCACTTGATATATAATGTCTTTTCAGAAAGGAGGAGGGAAATTAGCGCAACAGATTTTGGAAGTCATATGTTGGATTTTGGCCATTTTCTGAGGATTTGAACAATTGCATATGTTAGGCAAATGCATTACGTCCAGGAAAATCATTTCTAGAGATGATAAAACAATTTCGACTTTGAGATAGGGTAGATGCAAACAACCCACCCACATGTTTTTTCTGGAATGTTTTCCTGATTTTCAACCCCTTCCATCCTTGCTTTTTTAATTTTTCTTGCATCAATATGTTGCATTTTGACACATAGTTAACCACTTCAAAGGAATAAGTGAATCCTTCAGGGGTTTTAAAGATACCTATTATGGGTGACCAAACTTAGCTGAAAGCAATGATTTTTCCTATGGGAAAATAACATGGGAAATATTGTTTTCCACTTTATCCAAAAGGAATCATTTATTCCTTTTAAGGGATTAACTGTGTGTCAAAACCCAACATATTGATGCAAGAAAAAAAATTAAAAAAGCAAGGATGGAAGGGGTTGAAAATCAGGAAAACATTTCAGAAAAAACATGTGGGTGGGTTGTTTGCATCTACCCTGTCTCAAAGTCGAAATTATTTTGTCATCTCTAAAAGTGATTTTCCTGGAGGTAATGCATTCGCCTAACATATGCACCTGTTTAAATCCCCAGGAAATGGCCAAAATCAAACATATGACTGTCCAAAATCTGTTGCGCTAACTTCCCTCCTCCTTTGCATTTTTCTTTCAAAATTTTGCGAATAAGATTGTGGATTTTGAGATTCAAAAATTGTATGGATTTTGCATCAAAAAATTGAATTTTTAAAAAGAGCATTCAAGAAGGTAATGAAATAATTTATTTTTGAGATTTTATGCATCAACTTCAGTAAAAAACTTAGTTTCTTGCTTTTTGCATTTTTTGAGGGCAGGTGTTTGAGACTTAATATATTAGTTGGTTATCCTATTCTCTTGCAGTGGTCATTAATGCTGCTGATAATACATGGATTATATACAGGGTGTCAAATAAATATGTTCTCCCCCTTAATTTCAAGAAAATGAACTTTTGTGCATAAAAGTGCATGTAGTTGAGCTACTCATCTGAAACTTCTGTGAAGCATCGTTTGATGTGCTAAAGCACAATTCAGATACCATGTAGAGCAAAAAGTTATCCAACATTATGTGGATGTTAAAGCTTAAGGAGGGGAGAACATATTCATTTGACACCCTGTACATGTAATAATATTGAAAAACAACAGGAAGTTACCTGAAGACCTTCTTATGAAAACTTTGTCAATTTCAAAAGTGAAGTATGAGTGTGTATGTTTGAAATCCAGTGATCTCCCCAGGATTTCTTCTCAGGTGGATGCAAAATTCTCATTTTTTTCTTAGTTCAGGCCAAAATTGGTCAAAATATGCCAATTTTTCATGATTTTTCTCATTCTCAAGTAGGTGCAAATGGATTTTCAGGTGGGTGCAAGCCTAATTTCAAAATCTCAGGTGGGTGCTGCGCCTACTTGCTTTAATGCTGGGGAGATCACTGATTGTTAAAAGGAAAATGAAACCATGAGGTAACTTCTGATTCATAATTCAACTCTATTCATAATTCAAGAACAACAAAGCATATGTAAATAGGCATTGGAATAGGCATTTCTTTGCCAAGCTTTAACTATGAAGTGTAAATACAGTAAAACTTGTTTAAAATAAAAATATGGTGTTTTGCTATGAATTCTTCAATGATTTGCAATCAATTTAAACATCTCGATAATTGCCAATAGACAATATGAACAGGGCAAAGGGTCAGAGTATATAGGTTCATTTTTCTGACGATTTTTTCAGCTTTTGTTTGGTTTAAGGTGTTCCTATGTTAATTACAAATAGGTTGCTCTGTATGAAGATTTAGTATGAGGTGATTGGAGGAAATCAAGTCTACACCCATCTACCCTTCATGAGAGTTTGACTGAGTCTGTCCTCTGAAACCAGATCCTCTGATCTAGCCAACAATCAAAAAAATGCATTCGGGCTCATTGCATTCCTTTTCATATCTATTTTCTAAAAATACCCAAAGTATACTGTATTTGAGATGTTTACAATAATATAAACATAATGTATTATTTTTCTATTTTTATGGTTAACATTGTAATATTTGGGAGATTGTAAACAATTTTTCCCTATTTTGGCACTTTGAATCCTTTATAACTTAACCAATTTATAACATATCATAGATATTTTGGAAGATATTATATTTGAGATTGTAAAGAATATATTGGAAGGTCAATTGTAAATGGTGCTTGGAATTTTATCACTCCCTATAGAGCTGATTATGGATTGGTATAGTTTAGAGATCCCCTCATTCAGATCAATTTTTATTGGGGTGACATCTATAAATGAGAAAAAAATCATTTTTACAAAAAGAGAACATCGATGTGGATTCCTGTGATCTTTATAAAGATGTGTGTCCAGCTGAATATATATCCCTCTATAACAATAAATTTCACTGATATTTAGAATTCAAGAATTAACTGCTTGATAGATGATTAAATTTAATTAAGAAGGTAAACTACATGCCTATTTACTTTATTCCTTGTTAATCTCACCAATTTTCACTTATAAAACATGATAATATCATTGCTTTTATGAACAGGTAGGGCCATTATGTCAATTTTGCCCCTAAGCAGATACAAATAATGATTGATTTCTGTTACATTTACTTAGGTATCAACCCTAGTAAGTTATAAATGTAAGTCTACTTTTCTTCCATAATCAACCACTCAACTTCTTTGTTAACTCAACTTCCTACTGTCATCGAACAGAGTATGGAGATGTAAAGGATATAATAAGGGAATGATGGATTAAAGGTTCACTCCATGACTGAGACAACTGTTCTTTGTGGAGTTAAAAATTCCCATACCTGCATTCATCTTAGACAAGCACAACTTTCTCTCAGACGAGCACAACTTCATCTCAGACAAGCACAACTTCATCTCAGACGAGCACAACTTCATCTCAGACAAGTAAAATGAAATTACAGCATTATGCAAGTGTTGGATTTTAACATTCTCAACCAATGAGTGAAAGTATTACTATTACTACTTGGGATATTCTCAATGCAAATGATACATTCAATGAAAGTTAACTATCTTTTTTTGTGGAGCTGATACCATATCCAAACAAAAACATGAAGTTTTTGAGCAAGACATATTTCATTTGGAGGAAGATAAGGAACAATGATACAAAACTTCTATTTTTCACTTTTATAATGATGATTTATATCACATATAGGAATTTAAAATCAAAGCATTATGTACAAAAGCCCATACAAAGACAAACATTACGGTTGATAGTGCTGACATTAAACCGAGCAGACTCACTGAAAAAGTGCCTGAATTCAATCAACGAAGCAAACTATATAGGTTTTCAGGTAATCCTGGATATATGGATAGACAGGTCAACAGAGATGGAGGTTGACCAAGATACTTTAGAAACTGCTCAAAAGTTCAATTTCATTCATGGTGAGAAAATAGTTCATGTACATAAAGAGCATGTTGGTCTTTATGGGCAATGGATCAATACGTGGACGCCAGATCCAGCAATGAGAGAAATTGGTCTCATTCTGGAAGACGATGTTGACTTGAGCGTTCATTTTCTCCATTGGCTTAAACAAGCAAATGCCATATATGGTCGTGATCCAAGAATCAGCGGAATTTCTCTTTCGACAATATACCCAGATATGTTAGCTGCTTCCGCCAGATATCTAGCTGTCCAATCAGAGTTCAATCATTACCTGTACAAAATATCTGGCACTTGGGGTTTCAGCCCGAATCCGCACCACTGGTCCAAATTTCAAAAATGGTTTCACGAAATACGGAAAAATGCAACGTTTAAGCCTTACGTCGAAAATTTACACCAGACAGATGCGTACCAACGTCTTGAAGAGAAGGGCAAGGAGGGCTCCATGTGGTCGATGTGGTGGATTTATTACATGCATACACATGGTCTACACTGTGTGTTCCCAAACCTCCCAGACGGGCAAGTCTTCGCTCAACACCGACAGGAGAGGGGGCTACACTATAACAGACAGCGTGACACATGGGAAGACCACTTAGTAAAACAATGGAATATCTCATACATCGATTTTTTCGGACCTGTACCAAAGTATGATTACAAAGGAAGAATGTCGATCTATAGATACTAAAAAAAATCTATGCAAAATAAATGCTAAAAATATTACACATTTTATTATTTACAATGTATACAATCTCTGGAACAAAAGTAGATATAGGGACTCAGGATTGCCTTCCTGTCAAATTGTAAATAAGATCAGTTACCCTACACGCAGAATCTAGATATAAACTATCCTCTACCTAGTATAGAGTATATTACAGTTTAGGAGCCCCACCTCAAAGATTAGTGCCTGAGTATGACAGCCCAGGTAATAAATCATTTCAAAGATACCATGCTGACCCTTTCTCAACCAATCAGCGATGTGGAAGGTACACATGCTAAATAGTCGTGTTCATTAACTATGCGGTGATGTCAGAGGAAATGACCATATAGAAAGTTGTCCGTATTTCGACGACAAACTCTGATTGGCTTCAGGGATCTGATCTTCAGAGATTCATTGTTAACTGAAAGAGTAAAGACGAAGCTCTCTTTTAAAAAGTGAAGCCGAATGAATACAAAGGGTAGAGATCAGTAAGTCTTATAAACAGAAATGAACATAACTTATGACATGTGCTTGTGTTCTTATACCTATGTCTCTTAATTAGCAGTACAGCTACATGCACATCTAATTAGGGATATTATATCATAACATGCTCAAATTTCAATCAGATATGTACATTCATCTCACAGGTGTAGTTAGATCATTTTGCCAGTATACATACAAGTACAGTATATGCATGGGCGTAGCGCATTATTTCTAAGTAGTACGCCACCGTGGGAACAAGAGTTGAGCGAAGCAAAAAACAGCATTTAAGGGGCTCTCTGGGGGTTCTCCCCCAGGAAAATTTTGAAATTTGGTTGTATTTGGAGCGAATTTGCAACCATCTAGTACGCCTGTGTGTACCCAGCGTACCGGGCGCTAAGCCTATGATATGTACATTGTACTTAGTGCACTTAATCTCATGAATCTATTTTTCCAAAATATTTTCATCTAATATTTAATGTTTCTCCAGAATTTCAGTCTACAATTCGTAACACTTTTGATCTTAAGTAATTTCCCAGTATGCCTTATTGTAAATGTATGATTGATGAAATAAAGAGATATATTATACAAAAAGCAAAAATGTTAATCGTTAGTGCATGATCAATATGACAAGGTAGGTCATCCCAACTACTGTCCATTCTCCCCCCCCCCTCTCAGTTCAACAGCATAATTTTTAATCACATGACACTTCTTAAACTGTTACCATGGTAAGTACAATACAAAATCTGAAATACAAGACAGATGACCCTCTGTTCATATATTTGTTAATATAAGCTCTACTCTGGGATGAATTTGACGGAATTCGTCGCATTATCTCGATATTAATCCTAATTAATTTCTTAATTGCATTTGGTGCATTTGTGCATGCGTACCTCAAATGTTGCCCTTTGTTCTATGATCATATTTACAAAACATTGCTTTAAGAGGCCCCTTGACCTTAATCCTGCCCCGATAAAGTCACACTGTGATTCATGTACTTTTCTAGTCTTGCTTCAAATCTCTGGACACCCCCCCCCCCCCCTCTACTTATGGGTGGGGGACTGGGGGTGTTACAAGGGCTTTAACAGAACTAGTACTTTTATGTTCAAAAGAAACTTTATTTCGTAAATAGATGTCTCTACCAGCCTCAAAGATTGTGAATATTAAATCACTTGATAAAAGAATGCACTAATACAAGTCTAAATCAAATCTCTTGAATACAAGCTTTATCTGTTGTGTAAACAATGTAGGCGGCAAACATGATGTTTGACCTTCTTCTGAAATTTAATTGCGAGAAAAGCATGAGAGAAAATATTGAAAGATAACAACATCTAGTACTTTTGTATTGCATTTATATATGAAATATATAAGCTGAAATGTATATCTTGAATTTAGCCAAAATAAAATGGTTCAATTCCTTGAAAGGGATAGGGGAAATGTAATATTTTGTAAGGGTTATCAATAACATAAACAACTTGAGGTGTGATAATCTTGATTGAAATGTATTACCCACATAAATCTATTTAAGTTACTAAATCAAGCATTAAATATAGAGCATATACCATTTCTAAAGACATGTCGTTTATTTATTTGTCCATCCTACGCTGGCGATCATCGAAAGCTAGTTGCTCCTATTTGAGCTAACCTAGCCAAGGCCCCAGGTATTCATAGTCTAGCAGTGTGGGATTCAGAGGTCCTATGTTTAATTTGAATTTAACACACTGTCTGCATCTGGGGTCTGTATGGTTTAACTTCACATATCAGAAATTGTTAGTGTCTCTTGATTAGTGTTCACCCCTAAAGGTGTCCCTGGTTCGTACATGCATTGAAATGTTGATGGATGGAGAAATATGTGATCATCATATCTGACCGAGTAGCCATGAAAGACAATATATTACCCTACCTGCCTAAAATTAACCATAGACTTATAATAACACATCTCTGGTCTAACATATCTTGTATTTCTAAAAAAGTAAGTTATTATACGTGTATTATTATTTACACATGTCAAACTTTATTCTCTAATTATCCACTTCCTGAAAAAAAGACAAATTACGATCCTTCATCTCTTCATGTTGAGGCATAGCTAGAGCATGGGATTTTTAGTACAGATATACAGAGTCCATGGTTGCATCAAGTCTGATAAACGGGTGTGTTATGTACAAAAATAGCATGAAATATGAATCTACTGTACCTTAGATTGCAAATATGTACAGTCCGTGTAAGCTCCTGCCTTATTAGAATTAACCACAATTATCACCTCGGCTCCACTTTTACTTTCCATAAACTTTGCAAAAACTGAAAACTTATGTCAACAGCCTGGACGAGCACCAAGACCCAACAAACACTAAACTAAGCTAAAACCTATCTAACTATAAGAATATAAATATAACAAAATCATAAGCTTACCTGCCGGTCATAAAGATGCCTGAGAAAAGCGTAAAACGTCTTCGAAAACAAAGGCTAAAATATCATAAAAATATTTTCCGAAGTTTTGATATTTACTCCAACTTCCGGTTGTAGATATACGGAGTCAAGTTTGTTAAACTTCATTCAGGGCTTAATCAAATAATCGTATAATTCATATCAAATTGAATGTAATTAATTATTAGATTTAAAATCGGCCTATATATTCCAATTAGACGTTGATTCGATTAATTCATCCTTAATTGATTTGACCTACTTAAAATTCCAACCAATCAGGATGCTCCTAATTCGATACACAAAGGGGAGGTTCAACATGGACGGCGAAATATTTGGAGCTGCGATTTTGTTCGCATGTTTTTCCATAATACTCACAGCTGAGAATGCAAATATTGATAAAATCACGAGCAAGGTGGAGGAGAGAGTCGAGGCAAACCATCGATTGGACTCTCAGAACATATTTATGTTCATGTCACTGCTTATTTTGGTTATATTAACAATATGGCTCTTCAAATACAAAAGATTCAGATTTGTTCATGAAACCGGTCTAGCTGTTATTTACGGTAAGTTTTCTCATCTAGGTGTTTACGAATATGTTGCAGACAATATTAGGCGTATGCAGAAATGAACAATCTTTCGTAAGGTATATGTTATATAGCTCAGCTTCAGATGTTTGTCAAGATATCTGATGTCAAAGTTCATTGTTTTTATTTTACAATTTTGTAAAGTTGACACTGCAAAAGAATCTAGATTCAGAAGAGCCACTCTTGAATATTCTGGAAAGATGAGAATTCATAGACTAACACCAATGCACTGTATGTACACTGGAGATACTGCCTCAACTGCCATACGATTCTTAACACACTGAAGGTCAATACGTCTGCAGAAACAGACAAAATACAGAAAGAAAGTTCTCATAGAATTTTTCATGGATAGTCTAGATGTCAGATTGACACAAATACAGTATATAAAACGTATATGCAACTGATATATGTCCTTTTTCAAAAATTGCTTGATATATTTGTTATGAAATCGTAATGAAAAAATACTGTTATGAATTTTTTTTGTAAATTTGTGATTCATAATCACATGGCTTATATTCAGATTAGTATTTATAGGTTATATTCAGATTAGTGTTTATAGGTTATATTATGATTAATTAATACACCTTTGACTATCTATCTAGATCAACTCTGCACCTAAACCAATTACTTTTGACCAATAAATTTTGACATCACTATGTATTAAAATAACAATCAATAGAGTACAGGAATCCATGTTGAAAAAAGGTTACTATCTAAAAAATTTACCATTTACAATACAAGTTATTAATTTATTATTAAACCTTTTTGGGGAGATTGAGTGTCACTAGTATCAAAAGTTTTGTATGACTGAATTGAAAATATTATTCAAAATAAAAAGGGAACAACAACGATATTAGATCAGTTATTTTTATTAGCTCACATGGTGAGCTTTTGCAATCACTCACTTGTCCGTCTGTCTGTCCGTCTGTCTGTCCGTCTGTCTGTCTGTCCGTCAACAATAGTGGCACGTTTTAAAACCTCTGTCGATAGGATTCCTGTTTTAAGTTATTTCTGTTCAACATCAATACAGAAAACCCCCCTATGACTCCTGGTTCAAAAGCTCGCCTATTTTCAAAATGGCCGTCACTTTTGTCTCGGGAAATTCACTTTTAGTCCATTTCCTAGCTAACCTCTGTCGATAGGATTCCTGTTTTAAGTTATTTCTGTTCAACATCAATACAGAAAACCCCCCTATGACTCCTGGTCCAAAAGCTCGCCTATTTTCAAAATGGCCGTCACTTTTGTCTCGCGAAATTCACTTTTGGCTCATTTCCTAGCTTTACAAATAATTTCAGGTGTCCTACATTGTAAAAATCCATGTCAATGTAAAAATTAGATATATGAAATAATTTTGTTACAAAAAATCAGCGAAAAATTGTATCCATTTTTTTATTTTCAGCCATTTTAGTTAACATTGATTTGTCTATCTGACTCGCGAAATCCACTTTCTGTCAATAACAGTGGCACGTTTCAAAACCTCTGTCGATAGGATTCCTGTTTTAAGTTATTTCTGTTCAACATGAATTCAGAAAACTCTCCTATGACTCCTGGTTCAAAAGCTCGCCTATTTTCAAAATGGCCGCCATTTTTGTCTCGCGAAATTCACTTTTGACCCATTTCCTAGCTTTACAAATAATTTCAGGTGTCCCACATTGTAAAAATCCATGTCAATGTAAAGATTAGATATATGAAATAATTTTGTTACAAAAAATCAGCGAAAAATTGTATCCATTTTTTTATTTTCAGCCATTTTAGTTAACATTGATTTGTCTATCTGACTCGCGAAATCCACTTTCTGTCAATAACAGTGGCACGTTTTAAAACCTCTGTCGATAGGATTCCTGTTTTAAGTTATTTCTGTTCAACATCAATTCAGAAAACTCCCCTATGACTCCTGGTTCAAAAGCTCGCCTATTTCCAAAATGGCCGCCATTTTTGTCTCGCGAAATTCACTTTTGACCCATTTCCTAGCTTTACAAATAATTTCAAGTGTCCTACATTGTAGAAATCCATTGCAAAGTAAAGAGTAGATGTATGAAATAATTTTGTTACGAAAAATCAGCGAAAAATTATATCCATTTATTTATTTTCAGCCATTTTAGTTAACATTGATTTGTCCATCTGTCTCGCAAAATCCACTTTTGGACCATTTACCTTAAACCCTCTGTCGATAGGATTCCCATTTTAAGTTAATTTTGTTCAACATCAATACAAAAAACTCTCCTATGACTCTTGGTTCAAAAGCTCGCCTATTTTCAAAATGGTTGCCATTCTTGTTTCGCGAAATTCACTTTTTGCCCATTTCCTAGATTTACAAATAATTTCAGCTGTCCTGCATTGTAAAAAGCCATGTCACTGTAAAAGGTAGTTGAATGAAATAATTTTGTTACAAAAAATCGGCAAAATATTATATCCGTTTTTTTTATTTTCAGCCATTTTAGTTAACATTGATTTGTCCATCTGTCTCGTGAAATCCTCTTTTGGACCATTTGCTTAAAACCTCTGTCGATAGGATTCCAGTTTCAAGTTATTTTTGTTCAACATCAATACAAAAAACTCCCCTATGACTCCTGGTTCAAAAGCTTGCCTGATTTCAAAATGGTCGCCATTTTTGTCTCGCGAAATTCAATTTTGGCCCATTTCCTAGCTTTACAAATAATTTCAGGTGTCTTGCATTGCAAAAAGCCATGTCACTGTAAAGAGTAGTTTTTTTTTCAGCCATTTTAATTGACTGAGAGACAGATGGCTTGAAATAATTTTGTAACAAAAAATCAGCAAAAAATGTGACCATGTGAGCCCAGTACCCACGGTACTAATTTTTAGATTTATTTCATTTTTATCTATGATAATTCAAGTGAACGATTTCATGAGGCGTTTCAATCTATCCTTTGAGCTAAAAATCATATATTTTATAACCTGGGGTATCAAGGTAGGTCACCATATGCCAGTCTAAACTCTAAAGGTGGTCCTAAATTGAATGAGGAAGTCAATCTGAATAATATATTTTTCCATTCCAGGTCTCATTATTGGAGCTATCATAAGGTATGCTAGTCCTAAAGTGGTCCTAAAACCGCCAGTCATAGATTTACCTCTAGCATCCAACTATACTGCGGGTGACCCCCCTGAAGTTGTTAAAGTCTCTATACACGATGAAACAAATGTTAACTCAACAATTCAATTCCGTTACCAGTTCCGGGATATTGTCCAAACAGAGGAGGCTGAGTACCAGGAGGAGGAGCTGGTACAAAAGGTAAGAAATCTGGGTAATGACATTGATATATTGACTCTGGATGAGATTGGAGTATTTATATGGTCCTAAAGAAGCAGAGGAACATGCCAATGGAGTTGTACATTAATCTAATTAAATATATTTGATGAATCAAAAAATCAAGTAATCTCGTTTCAAGCCCCTTTGACACCCCTGTGACGACCCCCCCCCCCCCCCTCTTCTTGACTATTCAGGTATGGAAACCTCACGCAGAAAGGTTTGTAGTAGGGGACACAAAGGCTTGTAGCTAGACTAGAAATTAAGTGACTTGTCAGTTTTCTCCATATTATAAATGGCCTGACCAAAACCATTAGTGCCATCAATTTTTCCCTTTATATTGCAAGCTTTCTATTACGTTTTTTCTATTAAACTTGTGGACTTTCAACTGGTAATTGCCATGTTTATATATGGCAATAGACTCACATTTCTGTGTTGTGGGAAATTACATTTGTAATAGAAACCACTGCAATTTAAACTGTCATTCGTGAAATTGATTTAAAAATGTTCTTTTGAAATTAACACAATTGATTAGATATAGACATTGATTATAAGTCTGTTCAGAATATATGATCCATGTTTTTGTTTGAATTTTATAAGATAGACACTCAGATTTAATCAAGGAAATCATTGACATTTATAGCAGTTTGATAATAATTAATTGTACATTTGATTTAATTTAAATGACTGTTGAAGAAATATATCTATGAAACAAATGAAAAATATACAGGGCGGACCAAAAATATCTACATTTCTATATGGCGCAGTGCTTGCATTAGGCTCAAGAAAATTTGAGTCCCAATGAGGGAAAACAAAACCCCAATTATTCTTAATCCAATGTGAAAAGAAACAATGTCTAATACCCTACCATGCGTGCAGAGTCTAGTTATTAATTACCCTCTTCCTAGTATATTTATATTACAGTTTAGCAGCCCTGCACCAAAGATTGGTGCCTGTGACAGTGCAGGTAATTAATCATTTCAAATCTACCACGCTGACCCTTTCTCAACCAATCAGCAAAGTAGAAGGAATGTGTGCTAAATACATGCTCATTAACTATATGGTGATGTCATAGGAGATGACCATATGGAAAGTCGTCCATATTTCGACAACAAACTCTCATTTGCTTGGTGAGATCAGAGATTTATTGTAAACTGAAAGAGTGAAGACGAAGCTCTCTTTTAAGAAGGGAAGTCGAACGATTGCAAAGGCTACTAATACCCCTTCCCCTCCATTCAAGTTCACTTATCATACTTAACTGAAGATAGATAGTATAGTACATACATGTATTTATAGGTACTTGACATTGACACTTATTAGATACATGAAGGTTATCTCAACTGGCCACAAACTATTCATTCATTACATAAACTTATCTCATTCTGTTATCTTTGAAGTACTCAAAGACCACAAAGTGTTTAGGTTTACTATTCCCACAGAATTTGGTATTCACTTCTAGAGGCTGGTGTATTAGAGACTGGTATTCATAAGAAAGTAAATTTTCCAGTAAATCATCTTATTATCTATACTGTATTTACCAGAGACTGGTATTAACTAGAGATTGGTATTTATTAATAGAAATTGGTATTTAATAGAGTGATATTCACTAGAGAGTGATATTCATAGGAAAGTATTCACCTGAAAGTGATATTCTTGAGAGGAGATGTATTTACTAGAGAGTGGTATTTACTTGTAAATGATATTCTTTAGAATGTTTGTATTTTTAGAGACTGGTATTCATTAGAAAGTAGAATTTTCCATGTGCATCATCTTATTATCTATACTGTATTTACCAGAGACTGGTACCAACTAGAGATAGGTATTCATTAATAGAAATGATATTTATTGGAGTGATATTCATAAGAGAGTGGTATTTACCTGAAAATGATATTCTTAAGAATGTTGGTATTTACTAGAGAAGGGCATTCATGAGACTAATACTTGATTAATATTAATTAATACTTACTGATTGATATTCACTAGAGTGTGATATTTATAAGAGAGTGGTATTCACACAAAAGTGATATTCTCAAGAGAAGTATTTCAGAAAAGTGGTATTTACAAGAGATTTAGTCATATTCACTAGAGACTAGAGAGTGTCCAGGAGACTTGATATGATGTTATTCCTATGTGAAATGTTATAGACATTGTCATTTGCCTCAGTATTATTACATGATGTCCTGTTGTATTGCTAGAATACAGATTAGAATATGTCACTTTGACTCTCTTGATATAATCAAGCAGTCTTATATTGTGTTATCTAATTATATCCCTTGTCTTTCATTTCGGTTTTATGACACTATTGTTGTGTGAGATATTTATAATGTTCTGGACCATATAATCTAAAGTTAGAAGTATGTATGGGTACAGGACAGTAGAGTAAAGGTATAGCATCTTAAAACCCTTCATCTTTTTCAATTTAAAATTAAAAAGTTAATTTTCCCATTGAACAAAGTTTTTTCATGAAATGATTTTTAGCATAATCTAATAGCAGCATGTTGCTTTTATAGCAAATAAATTAGTCTGTGAATAGATTAATGTACTTATTACACAATTTTTGAAATGTCATAAGATGTTGAATTTTGTAAACCACATCATTCTCTCACCTTTCTGTACATGATAATACTCTATATAACTAATTAATTAACTCTCAACTATATAAAAAACAGACCATAATATGTAAATCATGAATAAGACAAAACCTCCAAAATATGAAGTTTTTAGCTCTTGTCCTACCAGTTTTCTGGGAGGTTTTTATGTTACAAGTGAAATAGACCTCATTATTTTCATATAATTGATTATTTGTTTCTTTTGTTTTCAGGCAACCTTTGACCCGGAAGTGTTCTTCAATGTATTATTGCCTCCTATTATATTCCACGCTGGATACAGTTTAAAAAGGGTAAGATGAACTTCCTGTTGGGGCTACCTGTTTGTAAATCAGGGGTTTATATAACAAGACGTTATAATACAGCATGACAGATTAGTAGATGCATCTAATTGCTGTCCCCAATCCTCAGTTTTATGTGATTCTCAAGCCTGGTATAATTCTGCATAATCTTGATGCACAAAAACCATGTAGGAGCTCGAAAAATTCCAGAAAAGGCAAATGTTCCACCTAACTACAATTTAGATCATACATGACCTACATCTTAGCTAGTTTATGTACTCATTACATCCTCGGACAATGTCGGCTAAAGGACTTTGCCCAATTCCAGTAACATGAATAATTTTTAAAATCACATAACTTAATTTTAATTTTTAATATAATAATAACTTAATTTTTACTGCATGAAACTGAGGGGGAGTCATCATTATAACACACTATGCATTGTTCTAAATTGAATATTATTGAGTTGTGAGTAGTGTTGTGATTGTAATTTGACACCACTCTGGTAGATAGAAGCTGAACCACTGTTGTTATTGTACATTGACATTTAATACTTTTTGTGATTGATACCAGCATCGCTCACAAATTCTGGTAAACTATTTTCATCACAAATTCTGGTAAACTATTTTCATCACAAATTCTGGTAAACTATTTTCATCACAAATTCTGGTGAACTATTTTCATCACTCATTTGCAAAATCTTCGGAGAAAGCTATAAATTGAATTAAAACTAAGTTCACACCGACGGCGCTTGGATACAATGGATAGCACTTTAAAGCGCCATCAAAGCGCCATTGGTGTGAACTTTGTTTAATCACGCTTAATCCTTGTTATGATAGTGAAAAAGTTTACAAAGAGATGTTTGAAATAATAAACACAATCACTGTTAATCACTTCAATTCTTTCATTTTTCAGCGTCATTTTTTCCGTAACTTCGGAGCAATTGTGGGGTATGCATTCCTGGGGACAACAATATCCACACTTGCAATTGGGTGAGTAGAGCCATTTTAGTGAGATAGATATTATAAAATGTCTAAAAGTGTCTTAGTACCCTGCGTCTGTGATGTTCATATAAAGTGTATAGAAAGTGTATGGCGTATAGAAATTATTTAACTAGATGTGCACTATATGCACTTAAATAAGGATGAAAAAGACAAATGATTGACATGGCATAATAAGAAATACTATTTTTATTAATTTAAAAACTGCATTCCCAGGCCTTCGATCTCATTTGCTTGTTGAGTTATGGTATATAGGGGTATAACATTGACTTGAAACAATACTATTTCATCCTTGGCCCAAGAGTAATTCATTGCATTACATTACATTACATACATGATCTGCTATGAAAGCAGTGAAGGACCGATCTTGAAGGATGATACTATTTATAATGTTATCTATTCTATTGTTTGATGTAGAGCAGAGTATATCAGGTGAAGTGGTAAAATATGTGTACACATGCTTCACTTGTATCTTTATAAAGCAAACAAATATATACAAATTATTGAAATATCTGCAAAACTGAATGTAAATAAAATAAGTCACAAAAGCAAACATAAGTAATGAGATGTTGTATTTACTCAGAATTATTTTTATAAACCAACCATTAATGTCATTTTGTAAACATAATTTGTCAAAATATTCATTAATCTTTTTATGTAAAAATTATATTTTAGTAAATGTCACATTTTGAACACAATATGTCACTAAGTAATTCTAAATGCCATATACAGTAATACTAAAATAAAATGCCACTATTTTTCCAAATGTGAAGATTAATCAACAGTCAATATGCAATTAGCAATAGCCTGAAATAGGCTTGAATGGTAAAATAATGTAACGGAATTATCATTAAGTCACATTGACTGTCTGTATACACAAAGCACAACAGTTAAACCTCTGTATAATGAACAGTTTTGATATAGCCATTCTCCTAAAAAAAGCTAATGGAGTTAACACATATACTCATACATTGAGGATATTGAGTGTGTTGTGGGAAATATCTTATTTGTATTTACAAATGTAATGGAATTATCATTTAATTAATTGACTGTCTGTATACACTAAACACAACAGTTAAACCTCTGTATTATGAATAGTTTTGAGATCCATTCCCCTCCCCACAAAAATAATGGAGTTTATAACACATATACTCATACATTTAGGATAAAGAGTATGTTGTGGGAAAATATTTTATTTCTATCTACAAATAGGCGAGGGCTAAATGGCAGTCTACTTGTCATAAATTAATTTTCATGTGGACAACTAGGAGCTATTTTTACGAGGAAGATAATACAAGAACTGGTCCATAGGTTCTAGCTAATCAATGCAAGTCACAAAATTGTATTGCTATATGTTCCAAAGCATCTATTGCATCAGGAAGAGAGCAGAAGCTTTAAATAAAGAGTTACCCATATAGAGAGTGATACTATCAGAATTCTGAATTTGGTTAAAAAATCTGTATCAAAAGTAATCTAGCAATAGCCAGTGCAACTGCCTCTAGTGTAAGACCTGTTTATGTTTATACTGTCATTCTGACCAGAGCTGGTCTCAGATACTCAGCTTGACAAAAGCTTGAGGCCTGATACACAGCAGGCCCATAGCCAGGATTTGCCAAGGGTGTTCACTTTTTGAAAAATTCCAGGGGGTTCAGTTTTGACAATTTTTGTTCGAAAATTGCCAAAATCACTTAAAAAGTGCTCAGAATCATGAAAAACTGCATGATTTTGTAAGAATGTTTGGCTAGGCGGGGGGGGGGGGGTCGCTTGAACCCATAGAACCCCCCTGGCTACAGGCTTGGGTACAGGTTTCGCTTTCGCTGGTATTTGGTTAGTTGTTCGATTTACAAGTATAGAACAGCATGACCTGGAAAAACACTAGAATATGCATAGCATATCCAACATGTTGTTTGACTATTTATTTATCATTTTGGGTTCATCAATTTAACCTGGACATACTTTAGTTGTATGTTATCTATGGTGTGTATATACAGTACTGTACTTAACAGTGTACATGTTTATGTCAGTCAGTGCATATAAATGATGTATGGTTTTTGTGAGGTCAATGTTTATATTTAATTGGACATCATTTCATTCTTCAGTTATTTTAATAGAAGTAAGATCATTATTAGAAATGGCAATCTCAGTTGTTTGTCAATAACTGAAAGTTCATGTACTAAGAGATACCACAGTGGACACCCCCCCCCCCCTCTTCACCCCCCCCCCCCCCTCACACACCCCCCCCCTCACACACCCCACACATTTTCCCATCAAGATAATCTTGAACAATAACATATAACATATGGAAAGCAGTATTTTCTTGATGATAGCCATTTATATATGGACTTATGAATATATTATCTATTTTTGGCATCCAGTCAAAAGTACTAACATGTACATATGCAATATAACATGTGTGAGTACCTTTTGTATGAGGGATAAGTGTTCATTTCATTCAAGACCTCAATACTATATGCAAAAAATGGATTTTTGGGGAAAATTGCATTCTGACATCTTAACTATGCTGATGATTTCACTTCCAAAGAGGGAAACCTGTATGAAGAGGAAACTGCAATTGACTGGGTAAAAGTGTTCAAATTAAAGAGCTAGTGTTCAAATGCAAAGGTGTTGTTTGCTGTACATCAACAACTTATAGAGGTGTTCAGAAATACAGGTTATGCTGTACATGTATTGTAAGAAAAAGTCTACATTCAGTGAATATTGTGTGCTGGGACCAACTTAAGTTCCAGCCATTACTTACAGGCTTTACTGTGTTTTATGTATGTATATCAGCAACACATGTTAAAATATTTTAACTTACCCTGGCAAGAATGCATTGTTACCGGAATTCCATAGTTTAGGGTCAGTAAACAACTCTCTGCTTTCTGGTCTCTCTAATCCATCTCTCCCTGGCGACACCACATCCCGGCTATTGTTTACCATAGCAACGAGCTCAGAATGGGGATCAGTCCTATGTGGTCGACCAGCTGAAATATCCATATCATCTGAAGCCATGTTATGATATAATCCAAGTTTCTTGGGTAAACTTTGAGGAAAAGTTGGTTTAGATTCTGTTTAGTTGAAAGTTTGTAACTTGAGCTTGCCTTCCAGTTGCCTACTGTATTCCCTACTACATCTTTAGTGGGTGAATAGGGATGCAGGAGCAGGGTTAGATTGAATGATTCATTCTAGTGAAATGTCTTGATCTATAAGGGCCTTATTGTGTGGTTCTTATAGGAAGTACTTTTTTGAGTAGATCCTTTTCATTATTGGTCTCTTTTGATAGTGTTATAAAGAAATAGTATTTGTTTTTCTTGAGTTTGTATAAAAAGTTTTATCAATTTTTGCAGCCTTGTAAGAAAGTTTTCCCCATTTGGGTTGACTCAGAGTCTGCAAGGCAAATCATTGCCATTATTCTCCCAGAAGTGCCAAAAAAGATTGTAAATAGGGAATTATATGTAAATGGTTGCTTATGAGTGGAAATTGGGAAAGTATTTCCTGTACAAATTTATCCATAATTTCTCTCATTTTGAACTTCTCTAAATTCCCATCAAATATGTTCTAAATATGCATTAATTTTATTGCTTTTTCGTCCTTCGATCATAATGTTATATAAATCATATCCCTTTCATAATATTTCACAAGATCTAAATCAGCAATTTGAATTATTTGTAAGGGATGTTCTAAAAATGAAGCTAAGTGATGAGTCTATGAGTAGATCACTGCATCCACTGGTTAGGAGCTTAGTGAAGCTGCAAATCAACAAACACCTCTAGTGTTGAGCTAGGATGAATAAATAAAATAAAAACACCTTTGCTAAATTAACTTCTTTATTTTTGAGACAATAGCTGATTTTCTCATAATGTTTCTCTTGTTTTATATCTAGTGATTTGCTAACCTGAATAGGGTTGTACAAAATAAAATATATCTCAAATAATGTGATGGTAAAATGTATTATATGCATAAAATGCATTGACATAGGAGAAAACTTGTATGTACAGTAAAACCTGTCTAATTCGAACACCTTTTGGGACTGGCCAAAAGTGTTCAGATACAGCAGGTGTTCACATTTCAAGGACAGAGAAAAAGTGTTCACATCGAGAGATGCTCGGATAAGAGATGTGCTTGGATATACACTAAACAGGTATCACTGAACAAATTATGTCCAGTGAAAAGTTAAAAAGCATCTGACCCCCCCCCCCCCTCCTTCAACTTCCTTACCTCCTTGTCCGAGATGTTTAAAGGAAGGTCATCACCTGCAATTTGTTACAGAGGAGATGTTTAAAGGAAGGTCTCAAGGGCTTGAAACAAGACTAGAAAATATGTTATCAAACTTAAAACAGAGGCTTGAGTCATCAGATAGAAACCTATAAAATGGGATACTTAACCATGAACAATTACAACTGCTGTCTTTTTTCATTAGATCAGGTTTTAGATTACAATACAGTCTCTTGCACAGTCTGCAAAGATTTCATTGATTTATATTGGCCTATTGTTTAATTTGTAATACTTTCATGTGGCTGTGGATGAGACTGAAATGAAATGTCAAATGACTTCCGAGTTGTATTTACATTCTCTTCAATAAAACTTACGAGGCAATTATTAAGCCTTTTTCTCAAATATCCGCAAATGAAGAAAACTAATAATAAATACATATTTCAAATGAAAAAATAACATGTTAGTCCATGCTAACAAAAATGCTCTAATATACCAATAGAAAATTGAATCATTTGATTTTTTATTTAGTCTTTATGTCACTGCCACAAGTGGTGACATGTTGTTATAGACTTATAGTCTCCACCTTTTTTGGCTGGTGTTTGGCATCTGCAACAGCATTACGCATCTGTAACAGTGTTTGGCATCTGTAACAGTGTTTGGCATCTGTAACAGTGTTTGGCATCTGTAACAGTATTTGGCATCTGTAACAGTATTTGGCATCTGTAACAGTGTTTGGCATCTGTAACATCATTTGGTAGTCAGCATCTGTAACAAATGGCAGGTGATAACATTTTGCATGTTAATGCCTTGTTTAAGTTAAAGAATGATACAAATTCGTATAATAGTTTCTCTATAGAATATTTCTGTAAGAGCTCACTTTTGTATGGCTCTGTGATATCAATTGGAACGTGACAAGAATTGACGAGTCTTACAGGTGTCGGCTTATAGGATATTAAACTTGATATATGTCTTAATAAGTTAGGTTGTTAAGACTTCCCTGTTTGTATTGAGAAATGAGAAAAAATGAGAATTTTCTTTTCTGTATGTTAAAGCTTGGCTTTACAAGTACATGTAATAAGGTAAAATATCAAAGTGAATCGTATTAGAAATCAATTTATGTTTGAATTATGTTTTATATTATTTCTTTTCTGTCAGAACTTAGTGTTAACTATATCAGTTAACTTATCAGTTCACACTAAGAAATTAATTTTCTTCTTCTTCAGGTGCCCTAGTGAAGAATGATTAATTGTTCTACTTTGACTACCTTAATATAAAGAAGAAATACATAATGGGGAAGGGGATTAGAATACATAGGGAAATATATAATGGGAAGGAAAAATACATAATGGGAGAAAATGAATATTGGGAAGGGGAATACATGATGGGGAGGAAAAATTATGGAGAGGGAAATATATAATGGAGTGGGAAAATTTAAGATGGGCAGGCAAAATATATAATGGGGGACAGAAAATTCATATTAATAGATGGGGATACATAATTGGTAGGAGAAATAATGGTTAGCATGATATATAATGGAGAATGGAGGTGAAATGTATAGACTAATTTGAGTGAAAACATGTGAAGGGGACCGGGAATACATAATGGAAAGGGGAAGTACATGTCATGGGGAGGAGACATACAAAGTGGGAAGGGGAAATTCATAATGGGCACAGATACTTGATGCAGGAGCTTGAGCAATAAGGTTTGATAGAAGACTAGAAAGCGTAAATGGAATTAGAAAACAGATCAGGTCACCTCTGCATTATTGTAGACATGCTGATACTCGTCTTAAAATAGATTATAGAGGAAGAGATCAGAGTGCCACTTGTGCAATATTGTAATAAAAACAGCAATTTTGTTCGCAAGTTGAATGCATATCTAATTTCTTTGACAGGTGACAAAAATAGCATTTATAACATACCTATGATGATGTATAGTGCAAAGTGTACACAAGACAGCGGGCCAATATAAGTTTTGAAAAGCCCGCACCCGCTAACTTTCTGATTGGTCAAGGTGCTGACGTCATAACCAATCAATCGAAGATAAAACTGCGCGAGCAATTTTTCTTAACTCATTTCAATCATTTTCAAACCATTTGTTTGTCAATTCTATAGGAAAACGATACTCTCTGACCAGTCTACATCATCATAGGTATGTTATAAATCGTTTATGTCACTATCGTGGCACATATGCCCTCGGTTCTCAGAGATCAATGTCCCTCCCAAGGTCGGGCCATATATCACTGAGACCTCGGGCATATATGCCACGATAGTGACATAACCTCTAAATATTGTATAATAGCATATATTGTTATAGATAGGTTCAGAAATGTGGCGAACTTAAAGTAATCAATTAAAGCTGCACTGTGTCAGAATCCGACCTAATGAGACAGTACTGCTTGTCAAATTCTTAACCCTCCCTACATCGGGGGGGGGGGTCTAACCTTTGAATAGTGCATTGCTGTTATGAATGTGCTTTAGAATATTAGAATGGCTTGGCAATTTGATGGTATTCAGTTTATCATGTAAACCAAATTCTTTAATTGACAATATTGTTGTGTTATCTACAGACTGTACTTGACCTCCTTATGAGGGTCGATCAATAAGAATTGCTTCTTTGACTATCCATTTACTATAGATTTTTTTATCAGTAAGAAAATAACATATTTATCAACCCGCATATTTTTAAGAACTTAAAGAACATCTTCGTATCTTGTTAATGTGAATGTGATTGTGTAGCAATTGTAGATAGTTGAGTACTTTCCTGTAAGGAGAATTTCATTATGGTGACATTTTAAAATGCAAATTAAAGTGAAAAAGAGTGCAATAATCAAGGAAAAAACTAAATGTACTTTTAATGAACACTCTAAATTGTATAGAAATCTGAGATAATTAAGCAGTTCATTCAAATTTTAGAGAGTAAAGTGGGAAAAGGCATGACCGCAATTATGGTTTTCTCACATGGTTATCAAGTGTGCATATCTTGAATATGTATATTATACTCAAATATGAGCTAAGTCCATGGGAACCAGGAAGCAATGATATGAAGAAAAAATGAATACAGTGCTTTAATGTTGCGGAAAATATAGAAAATTGCATTTCTATTCGTTAGTCTAATTCATCAGTTTAACTCAAATTATTGAAACCAGGAAGATATAATTTTAGCAATATTATCTATGTGTAAACTTAAATGCAGCCGAGTGTACAGCCTCCAAAAATTTAGCTATAAGTTGTTATATAGAGATTCCGGATTTCCGGTTTAATATGCATATATCTTTAAGAATGTGGATACTATAAGTTATTGAATGATTTGAAGTGCAATACGGGATATATTCTGCTTGAGAAATTTTGTATTGGAACAAGACGAAGTCAAGTGCCAATACAGAATATCGAGACAGAGTATATCCTGTAATGCACTTCAAATCATTCAATAAAATTTTTATTGTGTGATCCTCTGTATTGCTACTGAGATTGTCCCCTCCGTACCAATATTTTCTGTATTGCAACGGAGATGATCAACGGGGACAATCTCAGTAGCAATACAGATTGGTACAGCACAAGAACTGACCAATCAGAGGGCTTCATTTTACAGATCATACGATAAAAGTGTTTGATGCATAACAAGTGCTTTCTGTATAATTTTATCATGGCTTGACGGGGTTCATATTTTGAGGTTTTAACATGAAAGAGAAAAGTGTTCCACATTTGGAAATTTTTTAGAGAACTATTTGAATAAGAGAGGAAATGTCCAAATATACAGATTTTGTTTAAAGAATAAATACCGAGATTTTATGATTCATGGTGTTATATATTGAAAATATTATTATGTTCATTGTTAAAAGACCGAAATCGCGTAGCGATTGAGGTCTTTGGCAATGGCCAGAATAAAATTTGAGGTCATATATTTGACATAAATCATAAAATCGAGGTCTTTGTTATGATTTGAATATGATAAAACATGGACGTATATCAACGAAACACAACTATTTGCATTTATGAATTTTAGCGGTCATACATACTTCAATATAGACCAGTAAATCAATTGTTCTAGCTATTGTGAAATCACTTATCATATTAGATTATAATTTATTTGGTCTCAAGAGTCACATGATATAAGACTTCATATTAATATATTATTTCTATGTTTCAGATGTGTGCTGTATGGAATAACAAGAGTGATGCCATATCTCAATCTGACCTTCACAGACACATTGTTCTTTGGAGCCCTCATCTCAGCCACAGATCCAGGTAAACCCCCAATCCCCCACCCCAATCCTCTAATCTTTAGGGATTTGCATCATCCTCCGTAGATATTTACATCATTGAATATTAAAGCAGTGGGTGCAGCATCCATTTGATATTTTGAAAAAATGAAAAAATATCCAATTAAGATTTTAATTAAGTGTTAGTGCCCACTCATTTGCAACCACCTGAAAATAAAAATACATAAATTCACCATATTTTGATGAATCATAGTCAGGATTGTGTAAATTAGAATATTGCACCAACTTTAAGAATGATTAAATACAGGAAGAATACGGGACTCAAGGGTGTATATTTCTGTATAACTTTTACTGTAGAATATATACAAAACTAGTTATACCAGTATTTTGTTATTATGCAGGTTTTAAAATGAGAAAACAAATTTTTATGCAAAAAACTTATTTATGAGAAAATGACATAATTAGCAAGAGTAACATGTGTTTCTACCTGCATGAGATAGAAAGTGTGCTGAAACTGATGTAGCTTAAAGCCGACAACATGTTGCTATTCTCAATAGGCAATTTATAAGTATCATATATATATATATATATTATACTATAACTATAAATATTGTATTTGTATTGTATTTTATTCCAGTGACTGTACTTGCCATATTCCACGACCTCCACGTAGATGTTGACCTTTATGCACTGGTGTTTGGAGAGAGTGTCCTGAATGATGCTGTGGCCATTGTACTATCTGGGTAAGTTTTCAGATAGTTCCCAATTTGACCAACCTGTGAAGAGAAAATCAAGGGAAACCTAGGGCAACACTGTGACACTTCAAAAACTGTCATAATATGGATGCAATCCCTCCTGAAAATTGAAGCAGAAACTTTGTCTTAAGAAACAGGGCTCATTTTTGGTAGAAATGTAATTTTAGAATCTTAGAAAACATTTTTGATGGACAATCAGTTGCGTTAGATTTTGACAGTTCTATGCCTAAACAACCCTCCAAACATAATTTCATGAATTGTATTATTTCCAATTTGATAATGTTTGGATACATTCCCTCTAGAAATAATTTTTGCAATTAACTAAGTCTAATGAAATAGCTCTATTGCAGCTTAATTGATTATATGGCAGAATATCTATGAGATGAAAACATAAGTCCAGGCCTATCAGTGATCTCTAAGTATTAGAGCAACCGGGTGCTGATCCCTCTTGAAACTTTGAAAATGCCATACCTCATATTAGAGATCTGTTTGTACCATATTTAAAAATAGTTACACATTGAGGTTGAGCTATTTTATTATGTTATTAGGACAGGGCCACCCTGTTACCAAATACACATGGGGAGATCACTGCACACGATAATGAAAAAACTTAAACATAATATGAAAAGCTGATAAAAATTAATACAGTGAACTATTACTAATGAAACGACTCTATTTTAGTGTAATAGAACAATACGGAGACTTACAAAGGTCAGAAATGGAACATGGTTTGATTATTAGGGTGTCTTAACCATATAGAAATTATTATGATGGTCATGGTTAAATTTGTAAACTACAGAGGAATAAAGAAATTGGACATGTAGTGAACACTCAAAATTGTAGAGAAATACAAGAAAATGGAAAAGTCTAAAGAAATAGCCAGAAATATGAACAACTACCTCAGTCAGTTTTTCACTGGAACAAAAGTATTCTTTAAGAAACTTCCTCATTGAATTATTAGCCTTAATGGTACATCAAAAATGTGTGAATAGTGATCACATTTTAGGTGTTCACTAAGAGTTTCAACTGAACATGGCCATCATGAAGTTTTTAACTGTTGGTGTAATTGTTTTCCAAATAAGAAAGTAAAAAGTAATGATGTCAATTTAAAAACAATATTTGGAAGGCCACTCCTGAAAATATGTGTTGTTATAGGTGGTGTTCCATTTACGAGAGTTCATTTTTTAACATTAAGTCAGTTGATATTGGGACTCTGAAAAGTGTTCCACTTACAGGGGTGTTCCATCCACCTCTAGAGGTGATCCACTTTACAGGTTTCACTATTATTTTTGAATCATCATTCACTATATTTTGTGGAAATGGCCCCTGTTAAAAATTTCTGAAAATATATCATGCATCATCTTGAGCAATAATCAATTGTTGCATTATTTTTTGTTCAGTCATATATGCATGCATAAATTTGTTCAACTATGCAAAGTTATCACCCCATGCATATTAACATTTAATGGCCATGCATGGACAAACTAACGATGTTATTTGCCATTTTAAATATACTAAACATCATGCTTTTTACTTTCTGAAATAGGGTACCTTCATATTATTTAAACGTAGGGAGTGGACATTTTCAACTGTAAAATACCTAGTTTTATTTCCTAAAAGTTTTATGTAGGTTTTGGATTTGACTTTGGTAGTGCAGTTTTCTGACTAAATATTGTGTGTGTAACACATTCCGCCTTTAAGGTGTTTAAGGTTTGGGTGAAATCTTCCCTAGATCCTTTTTGTTTTTATTATTCATTTTATCCTTTTGTTTTTTCACTTTTTCATTTATGTCTTAAATAATAACAATTGTAAAGAACTGGAATATAAACATCCATGTTTAAAAAAAAATTTAATATGAAGATATTCACAAATGCCAAAGTTTTATCTTGAGAGTATAACTTTTGTCTGTACCATATTCTGTTTTCACTTGACAATGTTAAGGTTTGTCATTGATAAAGTACAAAAAAAATTATTTTATCCATTTTTCAACATTTTCCCCATTTATCATATTAACCATATTTCAACCCATACTTCGATAAGAATTTCCAAATTTTGATTTATGCCTGGGTTGGGGTAAAAAATACATATTTGCCATTAAATATGCTTTTCAATATTCATAATGTTATCTCATGTTTTTCAGGTCCGTAGAAAAGTATGGCAAGTCCACTACCGGGGCTACATTTGACGCAAAGGCCTTCTTCGAGTCCTTGGGGAACTTCCTGGGTATATTCAGCGGGGCATTTGCCCTGGGCACACTCGGTGGCATGATTAATGCATTAATATCCTTTGTCACAAATTCAATGAATAATTATTAAAGTTGTTTCCTCTTGTATGTGGTCATTAGCATCCTCATCCACTCATTCTATTGCAGTCAATGAGTTAATGGCCGATAGCTGTGCACAAGGATCTGATACAAGACAACTGCAAAATACTCCTAAACTTTACTTCATACAAAATGAATTCCTTTATAGATTATAGGGAACATATTGAATATGGAATATATTATCAAGACAAAATAAGTGTAGATAGCGGTATTTGCCACATTGAGTGATTTTGATTTTTAGAAATGCTCACAATACCATGGACAGTATTACTTTTCCAAAATGAAGACTAAATGTGATATTTATATTCCTTAAACCCCTTTGTACCTTACTAAATACACAAAGATCTCTGACCATCCCCTGTTAGAGACGACCTTGTTCTTCCTGGTCAGTTATTCCACATACTTGGCAGCAGACGCAGCTGGGCTCACAGGTAGGGAAATGTCATGGTAGTCATGGTTTTAAATGCAGAATGTGGAGAAATAGAGAGAAATAATGAGAAATAAAGTATACAAGTGTAAATGTTAAGGTGACCATGTTTTAAAATGCAAAATAAGGAGAAATTGGGAGAAATTATGAGAAATAAAGTATACAAGTGTTAAGTTGATACTCTGAATTGTATGGAAATGTTAAGGTGGCCATGTTTTAAAATGCAAAATAAGGAGAAATTGGGAGAAATTATGAGAAATAAAGTATACAAGTGTTAAGTTGATACTCTGAATTGTATGGAAATGTTAAGGTGGCCATGTTTTAAAATGCAAAATAAGGAGAAATTGGGAGAAATTATGAGAAATAAAGTATACAAGTGTAAAGTTGATACTCTGAATTGTATGGAAATGTTAAGGTGGTCCTGTTTTAAAATGCAAAATAAGGAGAAATTGGGAGAAATTATGAGAAATAAAGTATACAAGTGTTAAGTTGATACTCTGAATTGTATGGAAATGTTAAGGTGGCCATGTTTTAAAATGCAAAATAAGGAGAAATTGGGAGAAATTATGAGAAATAAAGTATACAAGTGTTAAGTTGATACTCTGAATTATATGGAAATGTTAAGGTGGCCATGTTTTAAAATGCAAAATAAGGAGAAATTGGGAGAAATTATGAGAAATAAAGTATACAAGTGTTAAGTTGATACTCTGAATTGTATGGAAATGTTAAGGTGGCCATGTTTTAAAATGCAAAATAAGGAGAAATTGGGAGAAATTATGAGATATAAAGTATACAAGTGTTAAGTTGATACTCTGAATTGTATGGAAATGTTAAGGTGGCCATGTTTTAAAATGCAAAATAAGGAGAAATTGGGAGAAATTATGAGAAATAAAGTATACAAGTGTAAAGTTGATACTCTGAATTGTATGGAAATGTTAAGGTGGCCATGTTTTAAAATGCAGAATGCGGAGAAATAGAGAGAAATAATGAGAAATAAAGTATACAAGTGTAAAGTTGATACTCTGAATTATATGGAAATGTTAAGTTGGTCAACTGCAAAATAAGGAGAAATTGGGAGAAATTATGAGAAATTGAGTATACAAGTGTAAAGTTGTTTTAATGTTTTAAAATGAAAAATTAGGAGAAATGGGAGAAATCATGAGAAATAAAGTACTGTATATAGACATAAAGGTAATACTCTAAATTGTATCGAAATGCAAGAAAATCAGGATTTCATTTCAAATTATAAGGAAATACAAAATTGGTTGAAGTATGTCAAGGCATGAAGTTAAGATTGTATTGAGTTTTAAATAAAACCAGATATTTAACATTTTATGGAGAAATAGAATTAATTATGAGGTGAAGGTATTATCTAGAAAATGTTTTCATTTATATCAATTCAATTTTTGTAATAAACAATATGTATTTATTTTTTATTGTAGGTATTGTGGCCATATTGTTTTGCGGTATTAGCCAAGCTCATTACACTTACAACAATCTATCTTCAGAATCTAAGCTACGCACAAAACAGGTATGTCGATGTCAGTGTTATTAAGGAGGCTTGTGACATTTAACACATTGCTTCATTCAGTCATTTTCACATAAGGCATAGAAATATGTGACTATATTCCAAAAAGCAAAGCTCATTTTATTTATTTTCTACACTAACATAAAAGTATATTTATCTGTTTTATATGTGACTTACCTTAGTGTAACAAGTACTCCTTAACGTCAGCTGACCAGCCATATACCTTAAAGCAAGTGACCTTTGTGTTCCTGGGTTCAGAACTACTGACCAGCTATATACCTTAAAGCAAGTGACCTTTGTGTTCATGAGTTCGGAACTACTGACCAGCTATATACCTTAAAGTATGTGCTATTTCTATTTTCAGCTGTTTGAACTCCTGAATATGTTGGCAGAGAACTTTGTGTTCTTGTATATAGGAGTCTCCACTTTTACATTCACAAAACACAACTGGAGGGTTGAGTTCATATTCTCAGCTTTCGTATCCTTTAAACAAATCAAAATTTTGATTTAGTAATCATTTTTTAGCCTATAATATTTGTATTATGTACCATTAAAATATTCTTGGTAAAACTTATACACAATACTCATACAAAATTGTTAAAATGTTGATCTTTATTATTTGCAAGTTTCATTTAATTTCATTAGAAAAAAGCAAAGTTAGAGTGTGACATCCAAAACTTTTGGATCACCCCTCGTACATAACAAACCGCTAGTCACCCGAACATAGAATTATTTATTGTAGAATTAAGCTTTATTATTAAGGATAGATGTTATATATTTATTTACAATATATAATAATTAAGGTAATGCTCCGTTTTGTGCTTATAGTTGTATTGATACCAACTTTGTTTTGTGATCCACTGTTTCAAATGTTTTATTACTAAAATGTTTTTTGCCTGCCATTGAATTGAAATGTGATTTTGTTTTGTTTAATAATCAATTTTGTGCTATTGCTCTCTCAGAGTATCTCAGAGTATTTTGCAACCAAAGCATGATATTGTTTGTATCTAATGATATGATAAATATTGTCAGAAAAATTCAAATAATTAAGCTCAATTTGTGGTTTATTTTGCATGCATGTTTTTTACACCCATGAAGCCATTCCATGATGAAAAATGAGACGGAGGAATTTAAAGTTAACGTGAGTGAGCCCATTTTTAGGCGTTGCAAATATAGTCCCTGAGCATATGGTCTCTGATATGACCATAATGGAATCCAACTTACTGTTATCTGCCAATTTGAAAGTCATGTGAAAGATCCATATAAGGCTTGTGGGACCATATATGGAAAACTAAGGGAAGCCCCTGATACCAAGTGATGCCAATGAATTATGGGAGCTACTCACCTTTTATGGGTCTCATAACTGGAATGGCTTCACATGTGTGTTTTCAGCTGCTTTGTTGTCCGCCTTAACTAAGTTTTCAGCTAGCCATTATAGTTGGTAGAGCTCTCAACATCTACCCAATATCATTTTTGCTCAATTTAGGAAGAAAAAATAAAATAAACTACAATTTTCAGCATTTAATGATGTTTTCTGGTAAGTGTATTTGCTTTATTTATAGTTTAGTCAGTGCACCAATGGTCATGTACCTTTACTTGTTGTTTAATAATGTCAATTAAAGGAGAAATGTGCCCAAATATTTGGATATACTACTCCTTTAAATGTCTTCCCTTGAAATTGAAATATGTAAAATTACATGGCCATTATTTGATTTTATGTCACCACCAGAAGTGCTGACATTTTGTTATAGTCTCCAACTTTTTTTTGTGTATGGTGTTCAGTAGTCGGCATTCAGTGTCTGTTATAAATGGCATGTAGTGACATTTTGCATGTTAATGCCTTGTGTTATAAATGAAATTAATATAGTTAGATATTGCCCCATTTTCATTTTGCCAAATTTCTATTTTTCCTTAGCCTTTATTTTACATTGCTAACATAAGATACCCCTCTTTAGAAACCATAGATAGCATGATATAAGGAAACACAGGAATCATCAAAATAGAAATAGTACAGACGTACATGTTCACTGTCAACATTCTGAATTGTATATAAAATCATGAAAATCAAAAAGTTCTTTCATATTCGGCCTATTGACCGAAACCCCTAGAAAACGGATGTTTTGCTCGAGACAAATCCAATCAGCAATATCGATTAAACGTGAAATTCTTTTTGATACATAGATGGCAGCATTTCCTTATCTCTGTCAGATTTCCATAGTGATCGCCCGTGCCCTCAATATTTATCCGATCTCGTATCTTCTCAATTTTGGGAGGCAGAAAAAAATCACTCCGGCTTTCCAGCACCTCATGATGTGGTCAGGTAGTTAGCAGGCTATGATGATAAGAAATTAATTACCCTTCTTTATCTATTCTCTACTGTCCTATTGTCTCCATCTTATTAAAGTGATACAAAGTTCCAAATTTTTGACGAGCTGCTGCAGTGGTGGATCTTCAATTTCAAAGGGTGGAAGGCAAAAAAAACAAATTTTTGTTTGAAAATATTTATCCAGCTTTGAAAATAAAGCCAAGAATGAAAAAAATTCAGGTCCCCAAAAACCAGCCCTGGGAAGATCCTTGAGTGTATTGGACATTTAGTAGATTGGAAAGCAAGGTCAAAGGACAGAATGAATTGCTCAGTATATAAGTGAATGTTAAATATTCTAAGGGGACAGTTCATTTGGAGGTGGTAATAAACAATATGTAACAGCCTTTAAAGCAAAAACCTTTAAAATGCTTGCTATTTCCCTTGGAGAGTGAGATGAACTTATTTCTGTATTTATTTTTAGGTCTACGTGGTGCCATAGCATTCGCGCTTGCCATCAGAAATACATCAAGTTCTGTTAGACAGCTTCTGTTGTCAACAACACTAGTCATTGTCATAGCAACTGTGATAGGATGTGGAGGTTTCACCACCCAAATGTTACAATGGCTTAAAATACGGTAAGAATGGAATAATATAGCTGACAAAATGTTTAATAATGTAGTGAATATTGCATTGTCTTTTAAAAATTGTACAAACTTGTAAAAATATCGTGAAAAGAGAAAGTTTGCGACTTTATCTGTACTATTGTTTTACAGTCTCTCAAACTTCCATCTTAAAATCATCTTTAAAACTGTTGAACTCTTAAAATTCTCAAGAAACTTTTTGTTTGTAGTTTAGAAATTCCTAGATTTAAAAATCAGTCACTGAGTCAAAAAATACTGTGTATGCTTCTCAATATCTCCAAAAATAGATATTTATATTTCTTTAAAAAAAAAATTTTCCAGAGTTGGTGTAACTGATGATACCGATACACACAACGAAACCACTGCAGTAAGAAATGTAAGTTTACTTAAAAATCATCCCAATATTTTACATCTAGTTTTCCTATATGTATTTCACAAAACAAATGATATTGTTGTAACGGGCTGTGTTCTTTCTTGCTAGCATTACCACTCTACTATACCTTGCATTTGGTGTTCATGAGCAACCCATTTGGCTTAATAGTATTGATTATGTTATTTTTTTTTATTTGTCTGTTCTTTATTAATGGTTTATCGGATGACTGTAAGATGTTAATAAGGTACTTTCAAAAATATAGTAAACAATACAATTCGACCAACAGTGTATCTTATGCATTTTTAGGGGTTAGGTATAGTAGAATAGTAGAGTGATTATTGGGATTACTGGGTACTCCACCTTCTTGAGAATTTAAGGATATCCAAGTTGAAGATAAATTGCACACAGTTTAGAATCATTGAAAAGTCATTAAAATGACATATACAAGCAGCATTACAAAATTTGTGCAATCTTTATAATCTGTTAATCTGGTAGTTATACAAATAACTTGTTTACAAAAATAACTTGTTTACAAATAACTTGTTTACAAGTCTGGAATTTAATTTTGACTTCTCGGTGATCCTGCCTTCAAAACTAAAGTTTTGCACCCAGTTTGGAAAACCCCTAGGGAGAAAACTATAGTGACATGCTGGATGTTTAAATCACACAGCCGTGTGCAAAGCTACAGGAATTGAGCTGATTGTTCATATATTTACACTTTGCATATACCTAATGGAGATTTCAAGAATATGTAACCTCTAGATATACTGCCATTTGATTGACATATTGCCTTTTGATCCATGACTTATATTCGCAGGCAGCTACATTTCTCCAGCCAAACTTCAGCCAAATTTTGTTGTTGTTATTTTTTGTTGATTTTGCCACTCACATACCTTTTTATGCTTTGGAATATGTTGTAGTTTAAGCAATATTCACTGTGTTCATGCGCAAGATTGTAGTTTCACCTTTATGATCTTTATATTGTTGTTTGTGATAGCTTGATTTCCAGCTGATATATAATAATGCTTGTAGATTAAAATAATGATTCCCAATTTGACCTTATAAGCTTTATCAAATAGAACCCTGGGTAAGACCCTCTCCGTTTTGAATGTTTTAGCTTCTGCTTCATGACTAGACATTGTCAAGAAAGAATGAGATAAGAGTTTGGAATATTTTATTCACTCCAATGAAATATCATTATCAATCATCAATATTTTGTTTCATTTTCTCCAATTAAAATCTTAATCTTGATATAAAGAGTGTAATAATTGACCCATTTAGACTATGCATAAGAGCCCATGTTGATTTTTCAAATGTGGTTGTATACGTAAACTATGTTAACATAGAATTGGCTGAATGTTCGTACAAGATTCATCATTCATGACTTTTATGTTTGTTTGTCTTTAGTTGTCAAACGAGAGATTGAATGAGGTAAGACTTATAACCGAACCTCACATTTCTATTAAAATCTTTCTGTTTCTAAAATTAGTAAATGCATAGATGTTAGAAATCATCTAAAATAAAACAAATATATTTTGCTGAACTTCATAAATTGCAAATTACTTTCAGAAATTAGCTTTCAATTTTGTTGGGCTGTGGGGCTTTTAAAATATCCATGCCTTTTTGCGCTTTAATGTTCCTAATCCCTTGTTTTTTAATTTCGCCCCTAGGATTTGGAACGCCAACGAAATTATAGAGCTATACAGGAGGGTCGCACTGGAGGAGATAGGTCAAATATGGTTGGTTGCATTGTTGCATGTAGCGTTTTGTAGAGGGTGAAAGCTTCTTGTTCTGCCTGTCTGTCATTTAAATCACCCTGGTTTTGTGGGTGTTTTTTTTCCTAAATACCTCCAAACCTCTAAAAAATCTAAAGATTGGACAAATAAATGCAATTAATCATAGAAAATGAAATCTGAGATTTTCCTTGTTAGTGCATGTGTTATGATGCCACTGCCAGGGCTATACTTCCACATCTTCTAATGTAAATTACGTGATGGTTCGTACATTTGCTCATACCTCGTTCAATTCTGAAACCTTGTACAATAGCCATCCAAGAACCAGGGTGAATTACAATTTCTCAGGCTGCAGATTTTGTTGGTCTTGTTAATTTATCTCATTCTAATCCTGCTTGAGGTTGAGTTGAAACTTTACACCCTTTTGGTTGTAAAATAATTTAGACAATGTCACTGTTAATCTTAAATAACATAATGTTATACTTACTTAAAAATAGTCATGTGTAATATTCTCAATACTTTCAGTCTTTCATCTAAGTGGCTCACTGTTTTACGCTCATAGCACTGTGTTTTGAATATAATGTCATTTTAATATTCCAATATGAAGTGTAATCATTCCTTATTTCTTTTCACCTAATAAGCACTTTTCATTCTACTACAATACATTTTTCTTATCAACGTTATTTTATTTTACTGATCGCCATGGTTATGGTCAAGGTAATTAGCTGTATATAAGAACGTGTGTTGAGTTAGTGCAGAATTTGTTGAGTGTTATCGTTATATTCCTTAAGGTGGCCCAAGTCAGATACCTGTGGGACCGTTTAGTATGCTGGTCTTTGTAAATGGTCCTAGACTTGGCCCACCTTAAAGTTTATGCCAGCAAATGTTAGCCTGATGTCATGCTCTGAGTAACTAAATTTAATGTAATCTCTACAGCACAAATGATAAACTCTTGAACAGTTTGTTCATCTATTAACACAGTTTGATGACCTTTGACCTTACAAATTTCAGCTGACCTAAATTTGAAAAATCAACGATTAACACTTTTCAGACAAATGAAAATGGCACAACATATCTGTCTGTGCTAATGATTTTCTCCAATGGTCTATCTTTTTTCTCGTTTTGGAATAGTCAGAATTTTCTTGGGAAATTTCCTTGTGCCATTTTCTGTAGATATAGCATTACTCGTATATCTAAAATAAACACAAACATCTCTTTTTGGCTATTTAACCTTAATTTTATTCTAGAATTAAATATTTACTCACTGCATGACCAGGCTAACATTTACTGCACAGCATTTTTGGAGTTGACCTGTGTGTTAGATCATTTAGTATGTTGCAAAATATGTTGATATGTTGCACCCAAAAAAGTCCCACATTTTAGTGTGTTGCAAAACATTTTTATGTTGCACCCTCAAAGTCCCACCTATTATTGTTTTTATAATATTATTATGATATACATGTATATTATTATGATATACAGGGTGTCCCGAAAGTATGCCCCCCCCCAGGCAGACATATACCAATGTCTCCATAGTATGTTTCATATATCATTTTAAAGCTTATCCAAAGTTACATTGATTCACCAAGTATCATGGTTCAACTCTCAAATGTGAAAAAATTACAAGCATTTCAAAATTTAGTGTTTGGTCAAAATTCAGTTCAATTTTACACCAAATCACTAGTCAATGTGTCCTCCCGGGCCATCTTAAAAGCAGCAATTCTTTACGGGTCTGATGAATATTGAGTTGGAAAAGAGAACGGTGAGGGTAGAAACTCTAAGGAAACACTTCTAAAGTCCCTTAACAGGTTTTAAGAGGGTTATACAATTCCACACCCCTATTTGAAGGGCTTTTAAGGTCATATTTGAAAATAATTGCTGCTGTTAACATGGCCAAGGGGGGACACATTGACTAGTAATGTGGTGTAAAATTGAACTTTATTTTGACAAAACACTAACTTTTAAAATGACTGTAACTTTTTCCCATTTGGGAGTTAAACCATGATACTTGGCAAATCAATGTAACTTTGGATAAGCTTTAAAATGATATATGACACATACTATGAGGACACTGGAATATGTCTGCTTAGGGGGGGCCCATACTTTCGGGACACCCTGTATGTATAAAGTATTGTGTCCCCGTAAATACATTCCTGCTTGATGCATATTAGATGACAAAACCATTTAGTGGCATAGCTTAGAAACGTAAGGCAAATGGCAGCAGGTGAAGTAGATTACATAGGGGATTGTTTAACATATATTCTTCATGATTTTCAGAGCATCATAAACCGGCCCCTAGCCAGCTTTTGGCTTGGGGGTTCACTTTTCAAAAAATTCCAAGGGGGTTCACATTTGACAACTTTGGCTGAAATCTTAAAATGGGGAAAAATGCATGATTTTAAAATAATTTTTAGCCAAGGGAGTGTCTGCTTGATTTAGATTACATTGTACAAGAGATAATTCTAAAAGGAGAAGCTTACCTCAAACTACCAAATAAGGGGTTTAAGTGTGATTTTTTCATTTAGAAAAAGGCTTAGAAAAGCCTTGAAATGTGAACACCTCCCAGTCAAACACTTCTGGTCTGTTCCAGTATGTTCAGAGATTAGACAGGTTTTACTGTATTTGATTGAATAACAATTATCCAGAGTATCACATATAGAACATTTCTAAATGCCTTTTATATCCACAGATGGCAGAATTTTTCTTAGGAAATACATATACAGGAGCGATGTATTATTAGTGTATTTATTTAAGATGTATTTCCTAAGAAAAATTCTGCCATCTGTGTTTATAATCACCACCAGAAGTAGTAGTATATTGTTATAGGCTTCAACGTTTTGTGGACAGTGTTTGGCCATTGGGGATTGATGTTTGGCACCTGGCAGTTAGTGTTTGGCTTTGGATGTCTGTAAAAAATGGCAGGTAGTGACATTTTGCATGTAAATCCCTTGTTTGTATTATTGCAGAGCTCTGAGAACACAAGTAGTCCTGTAGGATCCCCCAGTGAGACAAGTGAAGCAAGTACACCTACAAGTCAAAGTGTTGAACCTGTCAAGTCCGCTTACCTCATTGATAAATGGTCAGACTTCGACAGAAAGTATCCTTCATAAGAATTTGCATCATCAAGATGCTCGTGAAAATACCTTTTTTACTCTTTAACATGTTCATTAGGTTGGATTATTAAATCACTAAAACACTTTTTTCTTCTTTTCACAACCTTTATTTTGAAAACACAGAGCCTTTTTTACTGTTTTTTTCTTCTTTTCACTGGTTGAGTGTCAATTTCACACTGAGCCCTCTGTACAAAATTAATTTCTAATTGGGGAATGTTATTTGTTAAAGGTCCCATGAAGAATTTAAGTCACAAAATCATTCTATTATATCAAAAGTTCTCAACTGTCATTTTGATCGATAATTTTGAATTTGATGCATTATTGAAAAATGTAATTTTCTAAGTAATAAATTCCTAGGTTTATTATGCAAATATACTGGACTCAATTGTAAACACTTGCTGAATGTTGATATTCCTTAACAGTCGTTAGATATATGAAGCCATTATTCACACATAGTAGACCACTATTAACAGAAACTCTACCAGGCTGCTGCCTCCCATTAGCTAGACTTCTTACAACTGACCGACAGTTGGCCTCTGTAAGTACCATATTATACACTCACCTTGTTCCTCAGTGTAATGGCAAAAAGAAAAATACTTTTATTTTATGTTAATCAGACCTTTACTTATGGACAAAAAACTTGGAGAAATTTCATAATTGTGCTTTTTCCAGTATTCAAGAAATGACCAAAAATGTGTGACTCTTTCGGTCACTCTGAACGAGTTGGACCTTATTTGAGCTAGTCTTATGACAAACGATAATATTATATATCTCCCAAGTGTTTTGTAACGAGGCTTGAATTGAGCATCTCACAGACTGTTTTCAAATGTGAGAGGGGCCCCTTCAACCCCCCCCCTCCCTTGCCAATTTATGTTATGAATGGAATTATGGTTTATAAATTACAGGATCCTCATCGAACCACTGGTGAGGATGACCTTGAGATTATTATAGATGACAACGAACTAACATATGGGGAACAGTCCAGTGCTAGTATACATGATCCCACACAGAAAGCAACTCTACAGGTAACATACTAGCCTGATGTATTTGGTGTGTCATGATATATATATTGGGTGTGTCATGATAAACATTGGGTGGGTCATTGTTGGGTTTGGTGGCTCATCAGGTGGGATCAGTTGAAACTCATTCTAGAAATGAATATTGTGACAGCGTCTTGAGTTGTTCCTTGAAGGATACTGTTCAAACATGTAACCCCAATATAGCAATTTCTTCCCTTCCTACTTTATGAAGATGGTTTTACGTTGTTTTCCATAAAAATAACAATTAAGTAATTAGTGCCTCTGATAGTGTTGATAATAGATATGGGGAATTAATTTTAAATAGGCAACTATAACAAATGGTCAAAGAACATATTGAAAAAATCAGCTGTTTTAAGATTTAGTGTAGATCTTCTAAATGTAGGGAGTTTCTGGAGCACTATATGAGATACTGTTATATTGTTGACACACCAAATATATGTTGTACCATCATGACACACCCAATATGTAATACATTCTAGTTGCCCCATGTATAGACTATATAAACCAGTAGATATATAGTAGTCATAACTAGTCAATTTAGTGCCGCAAATTAATTTTTATTGTTTATTTTGCTTTTGAGAATATTTTACATTATTAATATAAATTTAAATTCATTGTGAAATAAATAATGTGACCATTTTTTACTAAACAGATACAGATAAAGTTACAATAGAGAATGTCCACATAGTTCACTTTTCCCCAATGTTATCTGGTGAATTAATTTGTATGGAATGAACCTTATTTTACCCAGTGTTATTTTGATGAAGTTTTTGTCTGCAAATTACAAAAAATTATAGATTTCATCCCTCTCATTTACCAAATCAGCATTTTATTTCTACGCATTAATTTGGTTCATAAAAAATTAGCCACAACTTTTTTATTAATATTTTTAGTATTGATTTGCTTCAAGTTGTTGACAGTTAACGGCATTTCTTTTTAGAATTGATATAACTGCACAAGCACTATGTATCAGTGAGATATTGTTTCATTTTGCTTCAAAATATTTTTTCATAAATTTTCAAATTTTTACTTGCATCCAAAATCTGCAAAGTAAGGATGGATATAATCATTCAACAATCTCTGTGCGAGGATAGAATAGAAATCATCCATGTAATCCTGTATATCTAATATCCAATTATAGTTCACTACCAAATCAATGGCAGTAAATGGGACCAAAAAAGCAATAAATTGAGAGCTTTTTTAATTTCACTGTATGTGTATATGCTATTGAAGCGACAAATGTGATTTATCAATCTTACCCGTCTGTCTGGCGGCTCTGGCCCCATATCTCCCCTACTTATACTGCCCCCTGATCCCCCCTCCCCCCATCTTTAGTCCCCGATATATCCTCACATACATTATAGTTACCATGCCAGAACGAATCAGGATTCTATATTCACATTGTGTTGAAAAATGTAGTATTTTTCCTTACAGTATACTTCTTGAATTTAAAATATGGTTTTGAAAAAATAAAAATGTTGGGAATGTTCTGTTGAAAATAAGATGTGACTTATTCTGTCATGGTTACTATGGTTACATTTAATGAATCATTATATCCATCCATTTTCACTGTAATCTATCTCCTTGTCTTGTATATTGAATTGTGATATCCACCTATTTACATTGTATTCTATCTCCTTACCAACACAATTTCATGTTTTCAGCCATTATTATCGGATTATTAACAGCTCACAGGTTCCAAGATTTTTTCATTTTTGTTGTCTCAGTAAGAGAGAGGTGATGTCCCATGATTCAAAGTAGGCCTGGTTATCAAATCAAAGGTTTTGAAAATGAAATTCTGTCCATATATGGTCTACTTCTGGGACATTTCCTCCTCTGTGTAATTTTGATAATTTTAATCTATATTTAATTTATGAGCTTTTAATGGATGATGCTAATGATGGATTAAGATACAATTCTATAATTAGAATCACCTTCATTATGTCACCACCACAAGTTCCAGGTGGTGACATATTGTTATAGTCTCAAACTTTTTTGTGGATGGTCTTCGTTGGTTGGCGTTCAGTGTCTGTAACAAATGGCAGGTAGTGACATTTTGCATATTAATGCCTCGTTATTATGTTATGTCATCATCCATTTAGCGGGTTACATGATTGTCACAGATGAGGAAGTTCATCTCTAAACGACAGAAATCATTGAACCAATTATAATTTTGATTTAATTTATTCTTTACCCTTTGTTATGTTAGCCATTTAAATTCTAAGTTAAAGTCCTGGCTTAAGTTGTGCATGTTTACGGGGGCTAGAGGATTAAGCTCAGCTTTATGTTTACATGTTTTCATGATTTTTTGGTACGTTTGGGAAATGGTGGAATAGTAATGGTGATGGTCAACTCATTTTGTCACAGTAGGTGACTTGTCACAATGCTATGCTATGTCACTATCGTGGTGATTTTTGATGAATTGGTAATTTGTAATAGTGTGACAGTTGGGTAATTTGATACTTGTAAAATAAGTTGATCAAAGATAAAATAATGTTTACTTGCATGAAGTCACATTTTGCAATATATGTAACATTATTTTAACATGTGAAATACATGAATTATAAAACCTGTATAGTGGTGTTACATACAATATCAGTATCATCAACTTATATAGTTATTTACAAGTTCAATCTTATGAGTATCTAGTTTTCATATTGCAAAAAACTCTTATGTTATACTGGTGTTGACTTAGATTTATAAATGTGTTCCTGTTATAAATGTTTCCTATGTATTCCAACCATTCAGTCTTGCGTTAAGCCCCTTCCCTCCTTTAATATTGAGTTTGAGAGAGAATGGGGGAGGGGTAACACTTGGGCTTGATGCAAGAATGTGTGTTTTACAGAGACAATGACCAATAGAAAAGTTTCATTCGGATATAAAGATGGCAGCATTGTCTCAATATATACTCATTCGCACTATTACCTTTCTTTATGTGAAGTATACATAATATCCATCCCATGATTTACACTGAGCAGCTCAACTTCATTTACTACATCATGTTGAATGCTAATGTAACCCTTGTCTAGACTATACAAAATGTTCATGCCTGTGCTTGAGTTTGCTTGAGTTTGCAGTATAATTGTGACACAGATTGGATATTATCTATGAAACTAGATTTCTATTGGCCAGTGCCCTATGTTGTTGTGTGTTAATTTTTTTCATGTCGTTTTGGCTGTTTAAGGTTGAGGTTCATTCAAATCCACCCGGGGCCCAATCCACAACTGATGACTGTCAACTTTTAACTATCTCAAGCCCATCATCCTCAGATGACGTCTTATTAACAGCATAGCGATACCTCTGTAGCCCACCAGGGGGCATGAGCAAGACAGCGGGGCCCCGAGTGTGTAAGAATTTTTGTCGCCTGCCTGCGTTCATCACTGAAATATCATGGAGAGTCTTCATCTAAAAATTCATTTTTTGAACAATTCTGAGTAGAACGAAAATTAGATTTAATTTTCTGCTGATTTTTACAAGATTTTTGCATCTTTACTGGCCTCCATGATGTTTTGATGAAATTCTTTGATATAATAAGAATCACCTTATTTTGCAGATCTATTAAGGCAGCTAGCTAGCTATGTAGACATATGTGCTAGTATAGAAAAAGTGTGAGGAGGTATAGGAGGGGTATTTTGGTTGGGGGAGGGGGAATATTGAGAGGGAGGCTCTTCAGAACTATTAGAGCAAAAATGAAATCATGCAATTTTTCAAAATATGAAATTTCAATCCAACATTTATTTAGTGTTATTTATTTTTAATAGTCCTCCTTCCCCTCCCACTGTGGAATTAGTCATAATACACCCCCCCCCCCCAGTCCCATTCATTCATAAGGACATAAATCCTAGTGATGCGTTTTATTTGACAACGATGTGGATTTCTTTTAGATTGAAGATTTCTCATAATGAAGGGGTAAATTTTAGACTAATTGCTAATAATTACTTAAAGTGACACTGTACCCATTTATCTATAAATGACACTGCCTTGTTCATATACTATTCATCAAATAATTATTTAAAGTGGCACTTTTCCTAGTTATTGAATAATTATTTAAAGTGGCACTCTCACTTTATCTATATCCATTTAACTGTACATTTAATTACCATTTAACATAGAGAAATAGCTATTAATATGTGTGAACTATTAGTTGCAAATTAATCTTGGTGAAACTGAATTCAGATGTGTTTTCATTCCTCCGGACAGGTCTTAATGACACAAACAGAACAAATGCTTACAACTTTTATAACCAAATTAACGGAACAACTGTTCTTATTCTAGCTGAATGTCCAACTTAAATTTTTTTTGTTGAATTTTTTATTTCTGCATCATAACCAAGAAATATTGTGATTTTTGACAAGAAATTGCAATGTTTCACTTTTTGTCTTTAATGAAAAAATAACTTAAAAATTGCAACTTTTCGATGATATATTTTTTTACTTACCAGGGGTCTGTCATTTGATAAAACAAAGTAATGTGATTCTTGTAGCTTTTTATTGTATTGCTGTGAATCTAAATTTAACACTTTCTTCTATTTAGTTTACTAATACTATTTTGTACTGTTGATTTACGTAACTAAATGTAGTCTAAATATTTTCTGTTGTTCATTACATTTTCTCAGTTATATTTTGTCAATTGTTTGGTTTCTTTCATTCTGCAATTGCCAATAACACTTTTTGAATTGTTATTTAAATTTTACTCTTACTTTTAGAAATGGTTAATTCTTCTTAATTTGCCTTTACTTTTGTGTGCATTTAGTATTCTTTAGATTTTACATTTATCTAGTTAAGATGCATTGTGTGGCCTGCTTTAATGTAGTTTGGGCACTTGAAATAGGCCAGGAACCCATAGCCCTCACTGATAATTTCAAATTCTTGAAACATCATACGGTTACAGATCCACAAGTCAATTGCTCTCAGATTTCTCAGACTAACTCTAAAAGAGACAATTAAGTTGTGCATCTGTAAGGTAGTGTTTTTTGGAGAAATGGACCCCTGGATAATGCATGGTCTGAGTTTGTATTGAGTATGCTATGGGTTGTCCTTGTTTTATGGGGAACAACAGTTCAAGAGCCATGCTTAAATAACAAATCTTTTCATATGCTAAAGTAAGAATCAAAAATATTAATTAGAAAAAATAGCGCTTCATAGAACAGTAGTAATGTACATTTCATTTGATTGTTTTGCTAGTTATTGCGTAGAATTTGAGTATTTTTGTATGCTTTGTTTTTAATACAGGGTGTTCAAAAAATGCAACCCAAAGAAATCGCTATATCATGAAAAATACTACTTCAATTATGTTCACAGTCTCTTTTTTCTTTCCTGAAAATATGAACACAATTGGATTAGTATTTTCCAAGATATAGCGATTTCTTTGGGTTGCATTTCTTTTAACACCCTGTACATCTATCACTGTTGTCATATTAATTTGCTTATAGTATTTTTCATCAAGTATTTATTTTTTGCTTGTTATTAAATTGAATTTAAGAAATAGGTGAAACGTTTTTCAATGAATTTTAAGCTTTGCTTTGTCATGTACATGTACTGTGTGTTTAAAATGGAAGATGTCAGCTTTATTCAATGGCAATCTACAGCAATATTATGACATATGACAAAAGACAGATGAGGATAGGGTGATTTGGGGTAGGGGGGTTTATTGAGATATTCCAGTGCTTTGATGAAATCTCAACTGGTTACAGCAAGGTTCAGGGTTCAGTTTTCAAAATCTCAAATATGTAGCATATGGATTTACAGTTAATACAGGAGATTACCATGGGCCCAATTGAAAACAGCCCTGTTACAGAGTGAATTTTAGGTTCCCTTGTGCTATATTTAGTCTTGCTCAAAGACTGTATCCACCCCCCCCCCCTGTCACCTTCACTCTTTACCTGGCAATATACTATAGAGAGAAGGATAAAGGGGGGGGAGTACAGGGTCTTTTAAGCAAGACTATGCTATATTTGTAACAAGGAGCAGCCGCTCGCTTCAGTGCTTTTAAAACCTATGTGATTTACAGATACTAGTATATCTTTATTTTCAAAATTATTTCTTGATTTCAGGTAGATGATTCCCAGACTGTGGTATAATAAGGAAAAACGAGTAAGGCAGAATTATGGACCCACTGTACCTAAACTGATTCAAATATGGACTACTTAGCATGAAATTACAACCAGTAGTCTTAAAAAATTTGTAAATTCAATTGATATACCTCTACAAATTTGGTTTATTGTGTTGAGGTAGGGGGTAAAACTTAAAAACTCAGATTATTTTTTCATAGAATATAAATTGATTTTTAAAAGAAACTGGTTGTTTTTTCAAAAGACCAGCAGCTGGTCCATGTTTGAATTAGTTCAGTTAACATTGAATTGCCTTAGATGTGATTGCTTCTAACTCACACTTTTGAGGCTATTGTCTGAGACACATTGTGGGTTGACGAGTTGTGTATTTGCACCTGTTGATCAAAATCCCATAACTAATGCCTTGGTCACATTTGCTCCGATTTTCACTATGGCGCCCTACCGATTGAGTATTTTGTTCAAAATTGAATACAATATTGAACAAAACACTCAATCGGCCAGGCGCCGGCTGATGGATCGGAGCAAATGTGACCCAAGCATTAATGATACAGTCATGAAATGACTCTACTCATACTGGCACAATATGACAGGTCTCTTGCAAATGACAGAATGACAGGTGCAATGTAGACAGAGATGAGAAGTCCCCTCCATTCTATAACATATCAAGAACATTATTCAGATCTGCTCCATTTAAAATGTGACGGGATACTGGTTAAAATGAAATGCCCAAAATATGAGAAATATGACAGCAACAAAATATGTCCCATATCATGGCAGACGCTTAAAAATTAAAAGTTCCATGAGGTTTCAAGGTCTTACTATGGGAACCATCGAGAGATAACAAAATGGGACCAAGAAAATTTTCATATTTATTGATGAGGTGTTGGGATATACAAAGTTTATATTGTAGTTTATTCTAAACTTTGACAGGTCTCTTTTAGAAGTATAACATATGCGTTTAATAGTACCTTGTCATATTGTGCCAGTATTTCTCTAACTAGTATCACACATTTTGAAATATATGGATGCTATGTAATTATCCCATCGAACGAAGTTCGGAGGGATATAGGGAACGCCTCCGTCCGTCCGTCCGTACGTACGTCCGTCCGTACGTACGTCCGTCCGTACGTACGTCTGTCCGTCCGTCTGTCCGTCCGTCCGGGCAATAACTCAAATACCGTTGGCCCGATTTTGTTCATATTTTGTACACATATACCCTATGGGGGTAGAAGTTCTGCTCGAAAGCCAATTTTCAAAATGGCCGCTCATTTCAAAATGGCGGCCATTTTAGTGCCGATTTTACAGTAATTTAGGTGCAATATGTAAAACTGTAATAGCAATATGTTTTAAGTGTAGAAAAATGATAAAGGACATTAATAATGCTACAAATGTAGATATTAAAGAAGCACATGGCAGCCATCTTGAAAAATGGCGGCCTTTACTCGTCATTTTACGATTTTTGCTGTAACTCAAAAAATAGTGGAGCGATTTTGTTCATATTTGGTATGTGAATACTATAAGCATTGCACACTGTCTAAAGACACTTTTGGTAGAAGGCGGCCATTTTGAAAAAAATTTTGAAAAATGGCCGCCGCCATTTTAACGTAACTATAACTATAACTCGAAAAGTAGTGGAGTGATTTTGTTCATATTTGGTATGTGAATAGTTTAAGCATGACACACTGTCCTATGACACTTTGGGTAGAAGGCGGCCATTTTGAAAAAAAAATTGAAAAAAGGCCACCATTTTAACGTATTTTACTATAACTCGAAAAGTAGTGGAGCGATTTTGTTCATATTTGGTATGTGAATACTATAAGCATGGCACACTGTCCTATGACACTTTTGGTAGAAGGCGGTTATTTTGAAAAAAATTTTGAAAAATGGCCGCCATTTTAACGTATTTTACTATAATTCGAAAAGTAGTGGAGCGATTTTGTTCATATTTGGTATGTGAATACTATAAGCATGGCACACTGTCTATTTCTAATGACACTTTTGGTAGAAGGTGGCCATTTTGAAAAATGGCCGCCATTTTAACGTATTTTACTATAACTCGAAAAGTAGTGGAGCGATTTTGTTCATATTTGATATGTGAATACTTTAAAAGCATGGCACATTGTCTTATAAAACTTTGGGGAGTAGTCGGCTTTTTTGAAAAATGGCCACCATTTTTATGTGTGTTATTTTACAAGTACGTGTGCGATTTTTCAAAAATTTTA